GGGGGAGGGGGGGAGGGGGGATAGAAAAGAGGCGTATTGAATTAGGGGGTTTAATATTGTAACTTTGTACGGAGTAACAGCTGACCTGAAGACAAAATGCGTGATCAAATAATCAGCCTCACTAGGCCCGGCCGAGAGTCGGTTCAGAGCCGGGATTTCCATGTGTATGTTAGGGAACTGGTCTGGGATCTGAGATAAACGCCAGAAGCTTGAACTACCTCTGTGTATCACCCTATCATATCCGTTAGTAGCTAGGTGATCGTCCTGACGATCTCAATAATTTAAATTAGTCAACGCCCCGCAACAAATATCATACTAGAAAATAGGATATTCTTTGCTTTTGGCGGTTGGAAACCCGTTGGGCAGAAGATTGTGATGCAAGACGCATGCAGAATAACCTTGGAAAGTCTGATCCCAGGTGCTGGGAAGTGAGGTAGCTCCGAGACACTAACCAGAAGAGAAAGCTAATCATCAAATCAACCTGAAAAAGAAACGTATCAGAACGGTGATCGATAATACCCAACGAATATGCAAAACCCGAAGCCCAACAAAAAGCAAAATAGAGCAACACAGAGCAACACAAAGACGCAACCTTCTTTCGAAAGCCAATAGTCTGCACCGCCACCATATCAGCCGTAAGTGGCTCGAGCGTGGCTGAATTGTGGCTAGATCTGCAAGGAGTGGCTGAATTGTGGCTGTGGATATGGCACTTTCCTAATTGGGCAGATGCACATGGACCCAGATCCAGAGTTCCGGACTCGGATCGTTGATCATTGAATAGGTTCATCTAAGATCCGCTTTGCCGATCTCCAGGATCTCATACGCGGTTAGCATGTGAAGTTGTGAAATTCAGTCTGATATGTCATTTTGATATTAGAATTTGGAACTTTATTAGAGTCCCTGATAAGAAGTTTGCCACTCAAAAGTATTTGCCTAGATTCTTATGGGAATTAGAAGAGGCGGTAAAGAAGTAGGCATTTATTCAATGAACTACGCATAAATGTGAATCAAACTACTACCTACATGTATCTAGTTGCATGATTACTATCGCTACCTAATCACCAGACAACAGGAGTGCATCATGTAGCCCTGGATTGATATCTCCACTCAAATATACGTATAGGCAGCGATAGTCTTTTCATTCTTCAAACACCGTTTGAGAACGAATAGCACCGGCCTAGTATAATTCGACGGAACTTAACAAATGCCGAGAAACTCATAGTCTGGTTGAATCCCAGCAAAGCTGACTGCAGTGGCTGCCAGTCCTAGAGTCAGATCAGGATGTGTAACCTCAATGCTTATTCATAACCCTAAGGATAATGAACTTGCGCTGGCTAGGATTAGCCCAAGAAAGATTGCTATATGTGAGCGTATGAGAGTGACTTGCCATCTGAGAATGCATTGAACGGCGATAATCCTTGGGGTAGGTTTATAATAGGCCGAATGTGATTCAACCCATGCGTGCGATTTGGCTAGCAACATCAATATGTATCTCTAGAACCTGACCCTACCGGCGTTTCTTACGTTCCATAGTAAATACCAACGCTCTTGCTCATTCTTGATGGGTCATGACTTGGATGAACCGCAAATAGCTCGATATATAAAGATGTGGAATCTCGAGCATTCTAGAAAATTTTGCGACTACCATCTGGTATTTACCACGAATTTTTAGTTGCAGGAGTAAAAACATCCCGAAGAAATATGGTTGTGATGGATCGAAGTAAAATATAGTAGGAAAGTACGTCTGTGACTGGCTATTTCCTCATCTCTCCAACCTCTCTAACTTGCACATTGCGAGAAGACAGTCTTGACGGCATTTTGTTCTCTATATCCTTACTGGTTCCTGGACTAATTCCTGGAGAGTATACCCAGTTTCCACTACATGGCGCCACTAGCCACTCGACAGAGCCACTCCCTGGTTCCTGGTATCCCACGTCCCCCCAAACGACCCCCAAACATACCAGTCGAAGTCCATAAGGAAATTGACCCCATGGTGTTCTTTGAACTATTCGCCGGAACTGTTGGAATATTCATAATCGCAGTCTTCATTTGGAAGCTCGGGGGTTTCATCAGACGGTTCAATCGAAACAAGGTGCTGAAAGCAGGCAAAAATACTAACACCCGATACGCACGCACATGGTATGGCTGGGTCACGCGGCCGACACACGAGAGAAACAAGAGAGTGATTCATGACTTTTTCGCTCAAATTTGGAGGCCAATGACGTGGGGATCGACTCGAGACGACTATAGCTGGATTTGGTGGGATCCTGGAAACGTGGAAAAGCAAAAGCACCGCCGAGAACAGAAAGGATTTCGTTGGGTACCAGAGTACCTCAAGAGCTATGATGATTCTCCGACTGCCGATGAAATCTGGAATCCTTGTTCACGACCCAAGTGTCATGGAGCTTTGAAGGACAGTGTCTCAATCCCCCAAAATGTTCCAGCGCCGGGCTCTACGCGGCGGCCGCAAGCGCAAGAAGGGATATCGGGACCAACCCTACCACGGCCATCCGCGTTGATCAACCATCCACCCGTTATAACTCGTTCAATCCTAGAGGAACTTCTCAGGGACCCTCTGCGGCCGAATGATGGCAGTTATGATCACCAGCCTTGGTTCAATCCTTGCAAGAATGCACCAAGCCTGGCTACCCGCGCACCGGTGCCATTTCATCAGGTCCAATCATTACCGTGTCGACAAAATCAATCCTACCAGATCCGAGGATCGATCCCATGGTTGCGTGGTGAGAGATCCCAAGATATCTCATATCATATCCAATCTGTCGTGCAACATGATAGTTTTCAATATGAGCTAGCGGAACTGAGTGGCTCAATGCACACAGAAGAACCTAAACCACTTCATCGAAATGCCAATCACCGCAGATACCGTGGATGGTCAGCAAGAATGCAGATGGGACCGAAAGAGGCAGTCTTTGATAACATAGGAGATTCATCTGGTCCTCCTGGGACACCAAAAACCGAATTGCTGGTCAGCTATGTCTCTGACCCGAGCTCTTCTCTTCGTGGTCACCTTAAGCGGCCGCGAAACAGCACCGAAGGGTGCTTGCATATCTCGGAAGATAGAAAATCTTTCAGACTCCTCGTTGAAAATGAAGTTTTGTTGTCGAATGAACGGCGGACATATAGCAAAACCATTCAATGGAATTCGGCCCCAGCAAGAAGTCATTTTCGAGGAAAGGGGACCAATTCGAAAGCGAGACCACCATTATCCGATGAATGGCAATTTATGTGTGACCCAAAACATCCTGTCCACTCCCGCCGTCAAGAGAAAAGACCGGGAATAGAAGTCATTCGATGCCCTGCAGATCAAGTCCAGCTCAAAACAGGATGCGCTGTCGATGAGTTGAGTGATTGGGAGATCAGAATGATGGAAAGGCTGGATCGGAAACTGTTATGGCTCTTCAATGAATTCACCCCTGGGAAAAAGCCATACCATTTTGCCTTGCTAGCCAACCACTGGTTAAATAAAGAAACGTGGTATGTTTACGATCCCGTATCCAGAGTTTCAACCGACGGACGTCGGATGTGGGGAGACCCACGATTCAACGTTCCTTATCCACAGCCAGTCTTCAGCCCTAGACCAAAGTTCCCTGTGTCCGAACGGAAACGTGCGCAGACTCCTCGTATCGACTCCTGGCGGGCCGCAGTGAATAAGCAGCGCAAGGTATCCGGCATACGAGACGCTATTCGCACTATTACATTGTATGATGAATCGGCCGAGGAACCGCCAGATGGTCATATCGATCCAGGCTGCTGGGTTTTGCCAAAACCTCCTCAGGGCTTTGAGATGTCCACTGCGCAGAAGAACGCCTGGTATGAAGGAGGGGCAGGCTGGCAAGAGAAGCTTGACGATTGGCAGCAAGTTCATCGGGGATACCTTCTTCACAAAGCCCTCCACGAAGGCCGAGTCAACCGGGGTAGGGTTAAGGAAGTGGCAGCTCAAGTCAACAAGTGCTGTCGCACTGCATCCGAAAAATTGATACCAAGCTCGGATCTCGGGAAAAGAAGAGCTTCAAACCTCGTCTCATGATTTTTCTCGGACCCGTGACTTTTCACGGTCCCTTGTGTTCGTTTTGTCCTGCTCTACCATACCTGTAACCCAATCAAATTCCACACTCCACACTCATTTGAAACACACCCAACATATCCATCACTTCTGGTGCCATACGTTCACTACCACCATGTCTGTCGCTGCATCTATATCATTAGTATACCCCGGGAACCCCGGAACCGAACAAAAATAGATATCCTTGCCAAAAATGCATTTGAATTGAAAGCCTGATCTAAGCGCTGGGGTAATCATGGAACATTGTAAGCCACCATCCTCTTCAGAGCGGCCGCGCTGCAAATTCCAAAAAGCCAAAACTCCGGTTGTCCATATGTTGTTTTTCGCTCCGACAAGTCCCCCGCCGGAGTCGACTTTTGGATGTATAGTACATGTGCGGGGGAGTAAAATCCGTTTAGAAACCGGGAGGGTTGACACGTTGGCTGACACGAGTCCACTTGGGCAGCTCTGAAGGTAAAGAAAGTGGTTAGCTCAGCCGATCTACGCAGTTACGAATACCAATTGGTGTGATCTGGGAACCAAAAGTAGGGCGAGGACATACTGTGAATGCTCTTCCGGTAGCTCTTCTCCTTCTTATCGAAGAGAGTGTACTTGTCCTTCGGCAACATTTCCTCCTCGCGGGGCATCTCCGCAAACCACCGGGTCACAGCCTTGGAGGTCTGGCCATTGCGCTCGAGTGCGGCGCTGACGGTGTCGACGACGCGGTCCACGGAGCGCAGGCGCTTGCGCTGTCGTGCCTTCTGGGGGGAGGAGAGACGCCACGGGGTCTTCCTATTATTCGGGAAGGAATGTTAGCTTGGGTTCGAATGATTGGGACTTTGGTGAAAGGACAAGGTACGCACCAGAGAAGACCGCCAAATAGTGCTTGGGTTGATTTGAACATCGTTGGTTGGTGGTGCTGTCAGGGTGTAGCCGGGAGAAAATCGTGCTCGGAGTCGGGAGTGTAATTGGTCCGTGCGCTGGATGTATAAAAAAGTTACTGATGGAATGTGTCCATTTACTGATCGATACAATTGAAATAGGAGTACTAGGAGATTATTGTAACTCACAAACTGAGGTCAATTGTATGTCGTAAATTACAACTAGTTATATGATTGAAAAATGGTAATGCTGACCTCTGCTGATTTGCTGTGAATGGTTACCCCAACCAAAATCATGTGATTCCGGGAATCTGTCGATTTCCCAGGGACGCGATATTTTTCTAAATCTTCACTCGAGTCAATTACACTGCTCTTCGGAGAACATACTCCTTTCCAAGCTAATATTAGCTTGTGTGAAGCTTCTTTTTGTTCATGGATTGTGTATAGCAGTCTTACACCATCCACCATGGACTCGACCGCAACGGCGGAGGCCCCGTCCCTCCCTTGGAGGGCTTTATCCAACACAACAATGTGGGGAGTGGCGGGTTTATGTCGCGGTTTCCTTTCAGTTTTCTGTCATGCAGAATGTCATGGAAAAGAAGCATTCACGGAGCTGTTAGACTCTCGACATGACGTTTCGCAACGGACACGAGGATTGATTACAGGTATGCCGAGATACGACAAGTTCATTAAACCAGTGCAGTTGCTAATTGATTTATCTGAAAATAGTATCCAATCACATCAGTGTGTATGTGCCTCCAACAGCCTTGGATTGAGACTATCCATACTGCAAATGTGAAGATGGCTGACATTGCGCCGGAATACCAGAATGGATGACCCATTAATATGGGGTATTTTGCCCGCGCGATTTTGGAATAAGCGGTGGTCTTTTGGAAGCTACGATATTTGTTATCAAACAAGGTATTTACAAGTTTGCCCGAGTGCTCTTTCCCTGTATTGTTTTGCTGACTGTAATCCCAGACCACTGTCGCTCTTCTTCACTATGGGACAGGTCCTACCCACCCACCGTTCCGCACATTCTACATTCGGTGGCTTAGCTCAACCCGCTGTGACCCAGGCTATTCGCTTGTTATCGAAGGGACCTTTCCCCGTTGACCACCACCGCTCTATACCTGAACGTCAGCGCTGGAGCTGGCATAATGTCTGTGTCGATCCCTTCTCGGACATCCCAGTCGCCTACACAACCGATGGCCAGGACTCGCATCTGGCGCCTACTGCATACTCCTGCAACTCGAATTCGTGGGTCCATATCTTCCCCGAGGGCAAGATTCACCAGTCACCACGAAAGACCATGCGATATTTCAAGTGGGGAATCGCACGGCTTATCTTAGAGCCCAAAGAATGTCCGGATGTGGTTCCGATGTGGATTGAAGGCTTCGACAATGTCATGCACGAGAGTCGGGAATTCCCGCGATTCCTTCCTCGGCCTGGCAAAGATGTTAGCGTTACCTTTGGCTCCAAGGTAGACTCCGATGCTGTATTTGGGGAGGTGAGATCTCGCTGGCAGAAGTTGAAAGCGAGGGTCGAAAAGAGCTATCCCAATTCCCGAGATCTGCCCCTGGGTGTGCTAAGTGATGAGCTGTTGAATGATAAAGAAGCTGTCGAGCTGCGCAAAGAGGTTACATTGAAGATCAGGAACCTTGTCTTGGACGTTCGCCGGTCGCGCGGATTGCCCGATGAGGATCCGAAGGAGGGCTTGGTGGATACCTGGCTGGAGGAGGGTGCCAAGCGTGAGGGCCATATGAAGGATGATTCCTGGGTCCGGGATATCTGAGAACCGTGTGCATAGATTGTATAACATTGTATAGATTTGAGTATGAGTCACGGGTATTGACTCACTTTGAGCATGATTACGAGCAGTGATTCATCAGCATTATTGACTGCGGGCACTTTCCGCCTTTCTTGTAAGCCCTAAATGTCAGCCTCTTGCGCTATACCCCGTCAGGCAAAAGGATTATGTGGGGGCGATAACCGATAAAGGCGGGAAAGCATCCCGGAGACACTTCACTTTGTCAAACACGCAGCTCGACCGCAGATGCCCAAAAAGCACCAGCGGTTTCACGCAAAGCCAGCCAACTTAGCACATCACAGCCTTGCACCATCTAGGTCTCGTCATGATGGCGGGTCTGGGGTCCAGGGCTCCGCGTCAGCGACGTCAGTCAACGACTTAATCAGTCACCTCCGCCGTACACAAACCCTTAGTGCTTCCCACGATGATTCTCCAAGCTCGCAGCGTGCCCAACGCTCGTTTGTGGCTCCCCGATCGGTTCATCCGTCCCTTCGAGATGTACTCGAGCTCCCTGCAACTGCGCCGCCGCGACCTCGCCCCGGTCCTCGTCGTACGGTATTCGGGGTTCGTCCACCTCGACCAACTGTCGGGCCTCCGCCACCTGCAAGTTGGCTCTCTGGAAATACGGACTCGGCGAGAGACCAGGGATTAAATCACTGCCTGCCGGGAGCCTTTGAAGAAATCCACCGGCTGGCCCGCCTCCCAGGGCCGCCGTTTCCGGACCAGAGGAGCCTGGTACATCTGATGCTGAAATCTATGGCTTTGAACTGGTGTTGGCATGTTGAATATGATGGCCCTTTTCTGTCCCAGCTTCCAAATCATATCAAGGAACTGTTGCTGAGTTATGTTGCTGTCTACGCAAGAGGCTCGTCTCTGAGAGGGTACATGAAGGGGCTCAAGCCGCTCTTTTTGACCCGGCAAGATCAGGATCAAATTAGCGAGGAGAACCCAGATTTCAAAGAGTCGGGAGTTATTGATGCGGATTTCAAAATCGTCCGATTGGACCTGGGAAATGCTCTAGGAAACTGGATAACTTTGAAGCAGCTCACAAACGAGATGATCCTCTCGCCAGCTCCAGCCGTGGGTGTCCCAAGCGACGAAATAGGGGAGGTTGTACCAGTTTCATGGGATGAAGCTGTTCACAACGGCAGAGGGGAATCTATGCTTGATGATCTTCTAGCTCCGCCCATACCAAAAGCCATTACCCAGACCCTACGCTTCCCGGAACTCCGCGCCTTATCCCTAGCACATCCGACACCTAATGCTGCAAGCTGGAACAGTCTTCTCAACCTAGTAGCACATTTGCCCACTCTCACTCATCTCTCGCTTGCCCATTGGCCCATGCCGTGCCGTAATCCACGCTCTGCCACTACTCGAATTCGCGGCCCAGTGGCCCGCTTCTTGACACCAGACGTCCTTGATAACAACTGGGCTGAAGCTGCGAGTATACTTCGCCAGCTCTCTCGTTCGACCTACTGCCTGAAATGGCTGGACCTCGAAGGCTGCGGCGAGTGGCTACCAGCCTTGAAATGGGTTGGGAAAGACCCAGATGGGTTTCCACAGAACCCTGATACTGTTGGCCCAGAGTGGAACGGATCTTGGAGAGATATCGAATGGCTTGGGATCAGCCCTGGTTTTCTGGATTTGCCGAAGTCTCACGACTCGTCTCATGTACCGTCCCATGAAGTACCCGTCCCGCAAACAAGTTCGTCAGATTCGTCTATCCATGCATCCCACCTTCAAATTGCGCGTGATGTGATGCGGCACATTCGGCAGATAAGGAAGGGGAGGAAGTGGCTCGAAATCGAGCTCGGGTTAGGGCTGGATGACGTCGAACCTGAGATAATCAAATCGTTGGATGGGCAGGAATTGTCAGTTTATTTATGAGTCTGCCGTGTGCGCCATGATCCATGTACAATACACATCACTGAATTGAAAAAGAAAACATCCTACGCATGTAATCAGAACCGCAAATTGAAACTATTTTATTCATGTCTGACTATACAATGGTATCCGGACAAAACGCCCGCAGATTTTAAACTATGCAAAACTATTTCTTGGAACGATTAAACGTCTTCAGGGGATCAACCTTCCCACCAGACTTCCCACGAGCACGGTTGCGATCTCTCGCCTTGCGGATGCGATTCTGCTTCGACTTCGCGAACCCAACGAACCCAACACTCTCCTTCGAGAGACCCTTACGTCCCTTAGCAGGCATCAGGTAATCAGGCACATGCTTGAGATGAGCCTGGACACGCGCAGCGCGCAGCTCGCCGTCGTGGCGCAGCTGGCGCAACTCGTCGGGGTTTTCCTCGAAATGGCGCTTGAGCTTCTCGCTCTTGATCAGTTCCTGGCGAATCTCGCGGCCTCGTGCTTCTTGAACAGCGAGTCTGGTCACGGAGCGCAGGGCATCTGTCATACGGTACCGGAAGGCGTCGACTTGCGTCATCTCGAAGTGGTAGGGCTTGACTTCGTGGCCGAGCTTGGTTTGCCGCTTGATGATCTTGGCGAGCATGGTTTCGTCGTGCTTTGTGCTGGGGATTGAGGTGGGTCGGTGCTTGCCGTGCTGCTCGGTGGGGATAACGAAGGAGAGAGCCATTCCTGCTTTACCAGCGCGACCAGTACGGCCGATGCGGTGGGTGTAGGATTTGGAGCTGGTGGGGAGGTCGAAGTTGAGGACGCAGGCGACGTTTTGGAAATCGATACCGCGGGCAATGCTGTAGTCCTTCTCTTTACTGGTCATCTTGCGGCGCTTCTTAGCCTCCGGCTTCTTTCCCTTTCCGCTCTCATCAACCGCCTCTTCATCCTCGCTGCTTCCCATCTCTTCCTTGGCTTCCTCTTCGTCTGCCTCCTTGACTTCGCGCGACTTCTTCGATTTAGTCACTCCCAGTACTGCTTGCTCGTCGGCTGCGACAATGATATCGTAGACGCCCTTATTGAATTCTTCGACAACGTGGATTCGCGAATTGATGGGAAGTTCTGAGTTGAGGACACAGCTCTTAAGACCGAACTGTTCGAGGAAGAGCTTCACACGGTAGCATCGGTCGACATCTGCGACAAAAATAATGACCTTGCCCTTAATCAGCTGCAGTTTGAAGATAACGTATGTGAGAAGGAATTTCTCGTCTTCCGCGCATCTGTAAAGAGTAGAGTTAGCAGCTGCTGAAATAACGGATATAGCATATTGTCTTACCGGACAACAAACTGGCTGACACCAGCACCCTTCTCTTCCTTCTCTTCGAGCTTAAGAATCACAGGGTTCCGGCAGTACAAGTCCTTCAATGTGTCCACCTCCGAAGTGAGAGTAGCACTCATCAAGAATGTCTGCGCTCCTCGCGGGATAGCCTTGGAGAGAGCATTGATTTCCTCGTCATAACCGTATGACAAGACCAGATCGGCCTCGTCGATAACCAAATGGGTTATTTTATCGAGCGACAAAGCGGAGTTGTTAACATTGCTGTAGACTCGGGTAGGCGTCGACACAACAATATCCGGGAAATCGGCTAGCATCGAGCGCTGAACTTCATCAGACACCTTTTGTGTCAAGTTGACTGAACGAATATCCTTTCCGCAGAAAATAGCGAACGATGTAATCACTTTCTGGACTTGTTCTGCAAGCTCGCGAGTGGGGACAAGGATAAGAGCGGTTGTGGCTTTTGAGGAGGGATCAGCCTGTTGAGCTCAGTTAGTTTTCTTTCTATACGAGGTACACGTAGAGCGGGAACGAACAGTCTTCTGCTGAAGGATGGCTTGCAGGATTGGGAGAACATAAGCGGCGGTTTTGCCAGAGCCGGTTTTCGCACGGGCTATTTCTGTCAGTAACTGTCTTTGATTTATCGATTCAAGAGTCTCATCTCACCAAGAATATCCTTTCCTTCCAAGGCAAGCGGAATCGCCTTTGACTGTACAAGAGTGGGTTTGGTGAACTTTTCCTTGATCAGGGCCTGGCGCAATCGAGGATCGAGATTGAGGGCTTCAAAGTCGAGTTCTTGGTCCTCAGCCCCAGCAGCCTCGGGCGAAGGGACATCGTTTGCGTCCAACTTGCGTTTCATCGTGATTGTACTAGGCATTTGCTTGATCGAATCTGCGGGAATTGAAACTTTTTTGGGAAGTTTTATCGGGCGGTGAGAGTATTGCAGGCGGTAAATTCGAAGATTTTATGTTGACATAATCTTGCTGCCTCAGGCTGAAACTCCATAGAACAACTACAAATGATCGAGGAGAGGACGTGATTCTTTGGGATTCGCTCATCTAACTGCTTTATAATAGTCATTTTAACTTCTGCTCTGTAATATCTCTTGTGAATATTCGTAGACAGGTCGTTTTTGGCGGCCTACCTCCCAGCTGAAATATATCTCGGTAGTTGATATAGATCCTATTATAGACATGGATTTTTCGTGGGTCACTATTAAACAACGAAATGTTCCTGCTGAGTCAACATAAGCTGGGATCAGGACTCAAGATGAGATGGCCTTGACCTGTGCCCTGGAGTGTTCGGAATCGATGGATCAAAACCGGTCTATAGTTCGCGGCGAGTACCCATGAGCTCTTCGCTCGTTTTGCAACCTGCTGCAGCAGAAATTGCCTATGATGCAATGGCGATCTTTCCCGGTCGTTATAAACCACTGGTATCTCCGATTAAAGAGGTATAATTCCACAACATCCCTCATGATGCTCACCGTAAGTGAACCACGGCATCTCTCATCATGTTGCCCCCGTTTTTCGAGGTACAAATGTCATGGAATCCGAAAAAGAAGCGTTTATATTAATAATCGCTATATATACATCACCCCGTAGGCTATATAGACTAAAACCGAAGCATCCTGCATCTAAACCAATTCCCCGATGCCTCACGCGATTCATTCCTATTTGACAAACTCGCCGTGGGCGTATTCCAGGAATCTCGCCCGAGACGCTTCTGTGATCTTGCCCACGGGGAGGACCTTGACATTGTGCTCGACGGTATAAACTTTACCAAAGTTTACTCGGGACATGGAGTCCAGCTTTTGATCAGGCCTGGCAGGATCAACCTCTAGGGGCTCTTTCACCATCCGGGGCTCAGACTGCACAGCCCGAGGTCTATTACCTCGCATATGAATGATGGCATATTTGCTGCGGTCAATCCCGGCTTTGGCCACGCCTTGCCCACTATAGGTAGTGATGGGTCTAAGATGATGGATCAGTATGTTGCGATGCAATTGACGTTCGATGCGAACATTCACACGTACACACACCAGCAGGAGCCCCTCTGCTCTTTGACTACTACCATGCGTCGGATGCTACTGTATATGGGCTCTTGATACTTACCCCTGGTGAACGGGCTTGAAGATGTATGAGAAATCTTCTCGCTGAGAATAGTTCTATGACAGCCTGCATTCTCATGCCAGAGCATCGAAAAGACCTACACAATCGCAATCAATTATTAGCAATGCTTGAGACTGACACGGATTGAACAGGTGAACAAACCCTGCCAACTCGGAAAAATCTCCGAGGATCGCTCTGCCTCTTGTAGCTTGATCCATGTGAATTATCGTCAGCTTATTGTTTCGGGTATGTATGAAGCGTGCCTAGGCCGTTGCTTACGAGGATCCAGCGTTTCACGTTCGCCGTTACTGCCAGGGATCACGTATGCTGGTTCTAATGACTTGATAAATGTCAAAATCAGCCAATTAGTTGAAGAGGATGGATAAGTCTTTACTTACCACCTTCCTGTCATACTTTCGTCGGGCATCCCCCAGCATGGGTCATTGCAACGACTGTAACTGCTGGCCCCGTAGGGCCGCGAGGCTGCATGATAACTTAACCTCAATCACTGTAGACCCTCGACGTCGACTTGCGAAATGGATGCATCACTTCTTGATGGGGTGGTATTCTGGATACGGTCGGATATACTTGCACGCCCTGTTCTGCGACCGGTTGTTTCTCTGGCTGCCTCGTACTGTAGTTCCTGTGTCCATTCAGAGGCGGACTGCTCGCCTTGTTCTCTGTTGTTTCTGCGATTGGGTACGTGCCATCATCTAGACAATGATTGGCGAGTTGCTGGTATCCGGTGGGGGGGGGGGGGGGNGGGGGGGGGGGGGGAGATTGGTGATTGAAACCCATTCGATCATTGGTATACGTTTGGCCGTGATCGAGCTGATCCTGCCGCTGTACATGATCTAGGCGACCTGCATGACAGCCTGGCCTTGGGACGAATGATGTCTGATGCTCATATGCATCGTATGCATCTTCGGGCTTGAGAAACACGGATCCGGAGGTGCTTTGTTGGCGCGCCACGACACTTTTATTTAACGCATTACTTCCCCGGACTTCTCACACAAAGAAGAATGAAAAACTAACCTGGAACCTTGACCTGCTATTTCAAGAGTTAATGCGCTACCTGGGTAGTCCCATTCGTACAAAACCTCTCCTTTCGTTTGGTCAGTTACTCAATCATTCTTCATGTAACCAGTGATGCCTACCGGAATGGTTGTAAATAGACCGAACCCATCGTTTGCTCTCAGGACGAAGTGCCCAGTCTGAAGCCATGACTTTGACATATGGGACCAAGAAATCAGAAATTCAGGAAGATCAGGCAGATACAATATATGCCTTCGGGGTTGGTTCTCTATCTCTCATTTGGAACTCCTCAAGTACATACCTACCAGACGGCTCCGCCCGTCACATCAATAGTCTCTCAATAGGATAATTATTACTTGCATGGCGCGTATGGCATGAATCAAGTTGGTTTCTTATCAAGCGCTCACTGGCGGAATAGAGGTTTTAGCAACTAGCACATAATGACGGACCTGGAGTATGATTCCAATGACATCCCGGATAAATGAGGGGGATGTAACTCATTGGCTGATATACATCAAATCCTTTAGCTCAGGATTTCATACGCTCGGGGCAGCCAACTAAAAAGTGAAGCGCGGGAGCTAATGCAATGCAGGAAGATTACGGACTAACGGACTAACGGACATTGGAGATTACCAACTTGGGCATCAAAGCCCCGAGACAACCTCACCTCACCCCACTAGAACCCTGAACTCCAAGGAGAACGCTCCCCTATTTCCATATCTTCGGAGAATTATTCGGTTTCTCAATAGTATTATTTCTTTCAGGGCTGTTCAAAATTGCTTACCGACATTCGAATGTGTCGGTCTTCAATCCCTTTTGCAAAATATGACCGGGGGGTACTGTGAAACGCTTTAACAATGACATCTTGGCCAGGGGGCATACGGGATCTTTTATCCCAGGTGAGTTGACCTATATCAATATGCAGGATACTCGACACTCATCGCGGTTTCACTATGTAGCCGCCGTCCACGGCAGACTACTATACCAACACTGGAAGTGAAGGCTGCCTTCCCAACATCTCATTTGCCCCAATTCCATGGCTGAAGGAGCTGCAAGGGACCGCTAGAGCATCGAGATCCACAGTGTCAGAAACTTTGCAACGATTATCATCACTTCCTTCAGGTGATGGTGTTCCCAGAACGACATCAACAGCGCCAATATTCGGATTTTCCGGAATAGACATGGTAGATAAGGGCGATGAAGCCACCGAAAGCGAGTCCTCCTCACCACAAAATCTCCAACAATGGAATGCATATGAGGATTTGACCGGATCATCCGTATCATCCTTCCGGTCTCAGTACTCCGCGGAAATAAATGAGCCAACCAACTGGTATGGCATGCCTGCGCCGCCCCCTGAATCAGCGCGTGACACCAGTGCCAAGGTGACGAAGCTTATACAAGAAGTACTAAGCACATATGAAGATGTGTTAGCCAAACGTTATCGGATCCGGGAAATGAGGCACATGCTTCGACAGAAACGTGATCAAGAAGATGATGTGCGGGTTGTATTACAGAGCAAGTTGAATCTCATAACTACCGAAAACGTATATGAGGATCTTGCTGCGATCAATCAGACCATCAATGACCTCCAAGTTGCGACAGCGTCTTGCTTCATCTTTGAAAATGATTATTATAGACAGGAAGATGAATTAGCGCAGGTGGAGTACGATTACAACAGACGTTTGGAAACATTGCAAGCCATCTTAAAGTACGAAGGCCACTTGTTGGCACAGATCGAGCCCATTATCTCGGACACCGAATCCTCCTCTTCGGACTACACCTCTGAGTATGGCGACCAAATGGTGCCCCAAGTGGCCGATTACCTCTCCATGGTCGGCGAAGTACGCATACTCACGGAGCGGTTGTCGGAGCTGGAAACATACTACCAGGTGCTAGTTGACCAACGCGAGCTCCGCGAACGAGTCGGCATCCCACTCGACAGCGGGGCCCTCAACTTCCTCCTTCGATACCCAGATAAAAAAAGCAAGATCGAGACCGAGTTAGAACTAGCCCGCCATAACGTCGAGGCGCACCCGGAACATGTTTATCGCTCCGCGCAGATCGCACAAGAGGAAGATAAAGAAGATGAGGTAATCCAGCATTTCATGCCCAAGAAACCAGAGGACCAGACGTACAATGATCCTCTGCATTTTTCGGAATTTGAGGATTCATCGCCTTTCTTTGCATCCGCGCACTCACAGCCTGTCAACAAAGGCACTTTTGTGAACCGATGGCTTCTTCATCGGCTGCAGCACTCGAGAGTTGAGATTATGCGGTTTAAGTCTGCACCTGAGCTGGTGGATCTGGATAGAAAGGGCTGGGGGTCAGAAGATATTAGCAAGATGGCGATGATGCTTTGGTTTCAAGATGGCGCGGCGAGTATGGAGCATATTATGAGTCGATCGGCTGGGTAGTGTGCATATACCCTAGTAGTATTAGGCGTTTTTAGGCGGTGGTATTGGTTTTCTCTCTCTTCTTTCGTACTATTCGGACTATAGATCAAGGCTTGATCTATTCCTTGGCCACATTTCAACCCTAAATTTGACTACTCTAGAAGGGGTTTGAGCGTGATTCTCATCAATTGCTCATTGACCTCATTGTTTCCAAAGGCATTTCTATCAAACTTCATCCATTCAAGTTGTTCAAGTTAGTTAGATGTCACATTGACTTCAATGTTCCTTTGGGTATACATGCGGCAAGTGGGAGACAGATCAATTCGAGCCTGGTTTTAGAACTCAATGCTTTCGAGTAAAAATCTCATCTTGAGCATTGATTGCAGATCGCCGATGTTTAATGAGGAAATTGCTAATGTGGGCAAGTGTGCGTTGGACACTTATGGGACGCTCAGAGAGCCTACTCTAAACATGGCCAGTTGGTTCAATAACAGAAAGGTACCTATTTACATAGAATGTATTGCATCGAAATGTTATCCATTCGCGTCGTGATTCTGTTCATTATGTACATGACCCAAACAATTTCCCATATCCATATCCATAAGTCGATCGGCATTTGCCGTAAAAAACAACGCTATTACCATAACCCAAAGAATCGTTGAACGTTCAAAATCAAATCCCATACATCAAGTTAGGTATCTCTTACATCAAGGCGTATCCCAATCTGCAGTCGCAGTTCAAGAGTATTGTGTCTCGCCCTCACTATCACTCAGACTATCACGACGGCGGCTCCGTCCATCACGGCGATATCCCTTCGTCAAGCCCGGAATTGGATGCTTGTAGCTCTTGGTACCAGAATCCTCGGTGTCAACGTTGGAGTATTGGTACTCGGAACGGGAGCCCGCAGATGAGAAATCGAGAGGCTCAGTGAAGTGGCCCGGAGGCACGGAGCGGCGCTCACGTTGCTTGCGCGGGCTGCTAGTACGAGATGAAGGCGCGGAAGGTGGGGCAGACGGGGCAGCCTCGCTGCGGCGATCACGACGGCGGTTGTGGCGGCGGGTGGATGGGTCGCGGACACGACGCTCTTCGGTTGTTTGACTGATGACATCCTCGCTGCCTTGGGTGAATGAGAAACCGGAGGGATCGCGGCGCTGACGGCGTGGCTGCTCGTATGCAAAGTCATGAGATTGGCTCATCTCGCTCTGTTGGTAGGAGGTAGGCGGGGCAGATGTGTCGTAGTCGCTACCGTTGTAGGTTCCATCGGCTTCACGATTCATGCCGCCGATTTGGGCAGGCTTCTCTTCTCGATAGGCGCGTACGTCGGCATCGTCTGCACCCTCCCACTGCTCGTGCTTGTTGCGTCGGAGGAGCTTCTCTTTGGCGCCTTCTCTGAACCTCTTGCGTCGTGACTTTTCCTCTGTAACAGTCGTCGCTGTGTCGGTATATGATCCTTCTGTAAACGAGTATCCGTCATCGGTGTAGCCCTTGCCGACAACACTGCCGCCACCGAGCTTGGTACTCGCTGTGGCGTTACTGAGAGTCTTTCCATCGGGTCCCTTTCGTCGTAGAACAGTGGACTTGTAGTCGTCCCAGTCGCCCTTGCGCCAAACGAACCCACCGTTCTTGGCCCAGAAGAAGAACCAAATTCCCCCTATGACAAACAGCAGTCCAATAATGGCAAACAAGGCCATCAGGCCTTGCATCTTGATGCTGTGTGGGTCGACGGTGCCTTGGCCATATTTTGGCTGACCGGAATCATCTGTCGAGGAGTCGGTGCGTGGGAAGAGGTTATGGGTATTAGGGTCAGCGGAAGATAATGTATCAGCGATATTCTCATTGCTAGCATCCCGAACATATAGTCCGCCAACGGTTGCTCCTGGAATGTCGGGGGAGTCCCCGATCGGCCAAACTGGAGGCATGATGGAACACTAGAGTGGTCGAGAGCACCCGGCTCAAGACTGGACTCACTATCAGATCGTTAGTATGTCATCCATTCCAGAAATTGACAGATGAGATGTGTGAACATACATTGAGGCAAGTGATCAACACCAGATGGAGATGGAGATAGATCTCTGACACGCTGGAATGTGGTATAGAATGTGGGTGTGGAATGTGGGTAAATTCGAAGCACAGCGTCTAGATGGGTATCAGTAGGAGGTTGAAGATAAGAAGATGGGAAAATACCAACCCAGATATGATTCTGCTTGATGTCCGGCACAAAATTGAGGAGGTTGGAGGAGAGGCTGGGGACTTGTGTTTACATGGTGGTTGTCACGGGCAACTCGCTTACATCATCCCCCACACTGCCCAGGCATCCACGGGTCCATGGGCGGGTAGAGTTGGGTCACCCGTGGGTCGATCTATAAAAAGGGTCGATCACAATTGACTTCTATTTAGATCTGAAACATGGCGTTTTAACATGGATTTAATTATGGATCAATTATATCAAGTCGACAAATGCCACCCGCTGGAAGCCTCTGACAGAGGCATACACGGTCGAAAGCTGTGATCGCGCCCAGACAGCTTGCGGGGTATCAAAACCAACTAAACAGCAAAAGCAGGAAAAAGCATCAAGGCCGATGGACGATAAAACAGACAAGGAGATCAACGAGAATGTGAAAATCAACCGAATCAATAAAAAGCCCAAAAAGAAAACTACGAGGCTCCCAGCGGAACCAAATACCCACAAGACACATAAAATCATAGATATGGCCAAAGAAAAAGATGACCTGTTGAGACATGACAAGTAAACAGATATGGGTATAATCTCTCTCCGCCACTCGGAGTCGCGAACAAAGTAACCGGGAGAAAGACACAGGCCCAACGACAAAGGCTATACACGGAACGCTGACAAAAAGAAGACATCAGAAAGTAAAGCACATCAGACTTGTCATTGCAGGTCATCAGAATCGTACAATCATATCGAGCATAACAAACACATCATCATGGGGTTCGTGCCCGACCATTTTGCCCAAGCACACAAACATAAAAAGAAAATCGAGACAACGGTTGCAAATGAAATCACACACAAAAAGTCCTCCCAGTTTGGCGAGACTGTTGGGCAACAGGCAGCTCTAGACGTAATGACAAAGTCCAGTATGTTCCCCAAGTCGCCCAACAGAGTCTCGCTTTTGGTAACCACAATTGTTTTTTGTTGCACAAGCACCCGATCCCGAAGAAGAAAAAGAAAAACGCAACATATGCAAAGCAATCGAAACTTTTGACAAACAAACAAGGCCAGCCACAAACGGCTATACAGACACAAGATGGAATCACAACAAAAATATACCTAACCATGAAAAACTAAAACCAAAAAAAAGACAACATCTAACAGGGTGGGTAACGAGATCAATTGTAGCGAGTAGTCCCGTAGGCAGACTGGCTGTCTCGACGACTAGATCGTTCCGACCGCCTATCACCCCGGGGACGCCGCACCACATCTTCAAGTTCCCGACGGCTGGAGCCGCCTGCATAATCAGAGCTGGAACTGTTCACATGCTGCTTGGATGGCCGCGGGCCGCCGATGTTCAATCGAACAGCCCCGGTTTCCCCAGCACGAATGTTAATAGATTTGCCAGCAACTGCTTCAGATGTAAATCCAATTTGGAATCCATTCAACGTGAGGGTCATGTTCTTATCTTCCTCCTTCCGTGAGGGTGTGGCACTGCCGCGGCTCGACCGACTATTCTGGCTGCCGCTCTCGCTCCCGGGGTGGTGAGATGCTTTGGCAGGGAGCAAGGCCTCTGTGGAGAGAGGCAGTGCAGCTGTTGAGGTTCGGCCGGATCGAGCTGCCTGGTAGTTCTCAGCTTCGCGCTCACGGTCTTCAAGGTCGCCGTTAACGCTGGATGGTTCGTCGTAGTAGTACTCGGTTGGCTTCCGTCGCCGAGAGCTCGCCACGGCCACCTGAGCAGTCCGTCGATCGTCCTGGTAGGACGTCGATCGTCGGTTATCTCGTAGGCTATGGGTTCTCTCTGGCAACGGGGCGTCCCGTGACATTCGACGATGGGAACGATCCTGAATCACCGGCAAGGCAGCTGCAAGTTCCGGCATGTCCATGCGGTCCAGATCACGCTCTATGGCCCTGGACGGGCGACGTTGGGAAGGTATACCGGCTGAGGTATGCATTTTCCGTGGTGGCTCTGGCCGCTCTGGTCGCTTTGCCTGGTGAATCTGTGGCCTGGGCTTGGGTTTTGCTCCTGGTGGTGGCATTCGATAGTAGTCTTCATCCTGTTCCTGGTGTCTTGTAGGAGGGCGCTCACGCTCACGGACATCCCGGGAGGAATAGTGTTCCATAGGTGGCTCGTCATCAAACCATGGATACGCCCCAGAGTCCACGGGTGGGTTTGGGGCAGTATAGATAGATGAGGACCGACGGCGGGATGGCTCCCGGGACCGGGACCGCTCTCGTGGATACTCCGATGGGGGATAGTCCGAGGCTGATGGGGCATAGTAGGAGGGTGTTTGTCCATATGGAGAGGATGAGTATTGGTGCATGTATGCTGAACTGGCTGGTGGAGGGCCATGATGATCGTATCCGTGCTGGGGGTACATCGGAGATGCCATTCCTGAGCCCATTCCATGTGGTACACCGTGGAAACTCATGGGTCGTCCGTTTGAATGATAGGTGTGATACGAATTAGAGCGGCTGGGTCGACCAGGGTGACTGACGTGGATGTTCTCTATGACGCCGGCTGGATATCGAGCATTGTGTGGGGACGATGAGTATTCCGGGACAGGTGGGCGTGGCTGGTAGTAGGAATATTCGCTCTGTCGATGGTCAACCGGGGTTGATTGATGGTACTGAGTAGGGTAATCGTAGTAGCTATCGTGATATTGGCGGGCCTGGGAAGATTCTCGTCGACGAGACTTAGACGACGACCGGGGCACGTGAGTATGATGGGCAGCGCCCGGATAGGCACCTACCATCTTCTCTTCGCGCGAGGGTCGTGATCGTTCTTTGTCCTTACGTTCTCTGGTTGAACTTTTCCTGGCGAGGTCGTTACGCTTGGGGGGGTCCAGCTTATGAGGGATCGGGGGGCTTTTTTCGCCCGACGGCCCAGATTGGGTGCTATTAACGGTAGCGGCGGTGCGACTAGAATAACCTGAGTCACTGGCGCCGTCGATCAGCGGCTCCTGGAATCTTTCCAACCTGGAGGATATTTTGGCAGCTGTATTGGCAGCAATATTGGCAGAAAGCCTAGTGTCAGGTAGGATGGCGTGGTGTTCTTCGTCGTAATCTTCGACGCAGGCAGGCCGGGGGCCCTTACTGGCCATTATGTGGGCTGCAAGGCGATCGGGTGTCTGAAAAAAAAAATTAAAAAACAGGGTTGGTCCCGTTTCCGACAAGGGCGACGTGGGTGGCTCCCACAGGGCTCCAGAGATGTCCAACTTACAGCAAGCCACTGCTCCCCTTTGACGATGAGTCAGAATGGATATTATTTTCCCCCCTCTCAACCCCGTAGATCTGACGAAATGGGCTTCCTTTTTTTTTCTTCTCTTGTCCCTAGTGCCCAACCCAAGCGGGCCACTCAGACAAGTAAGCGGACCTGCCGATCGCAACGGGCGATGGCAGGCGACGGGCGACGGGGTTCTGTCAAGCGGAGAGAGCAAGATGGTACTTTTCAGATCGCAACGTCTCCATCGAAGTGGGATGTAAGGCTAAGAGTCGGGCAAAAGCGTTGGGTCAAAGAAAGAGAGAAGAAAATAGAAAATGACCTCTCTGGCAGACGATGAGTGGTGGAGCGTACTGCAGCTGCAGAGGTTGGGTTGAGAATTTGGGATCCTCTGCCTGACGGTCTTAGAACCCAGTGGGGAGAGTGGAGTCGATGGGCAGCGATAAAAAAAAACGAAGTGAGGGGTGATTTGATTGATATCCAAGGGAAGAGAGAGACAGAGAGAGAGATCTAGAAGATAAAAATGAGAGGAATATAGAGAAAAGGAAGAGAAGAGAAAGGAGGAAGAGTAAACACCCGAAGGAACAGGGCACAGGGTTTAAAAAAAAAAAAGAACGAAAAGAAAAATCAAAAAGTCTCACGAAGAGGCTCTCGGTACCCAACACAAAAGGAAAAAAAAAAAAAGAAGAAAGTGGGGGACAGCGTCATCAGCGTATATTATCTATTTATCTACGGAGTATTTAGTTCTGAGCAGAGTTTTATTATATATTATTGTATAGTACTCCGTACAATATACTTCATTTGAATACATACTTCTTGACTGTATTCTAATTATTTACATTATTTACATGATTTACATATTTACTTACTTTTAAGCTCGGGACCCGCTGGAGGGGAAATCCTTGGTTTGACTCTTAGGATCCATGGTTGGCCTTTACTTCTTTTTACTCTTATCTTTTATTTACTTCTTTTTATTTACTTCTTTCCCTTTTTTTTTTCTTACATTTAACATTTAACATTTTCCGTTTTTCCCGTGTTTGAATAGATTTTCGTGCTAATTACTCCGTACCAGATGTTGCATTCCTATTTCTTCCTAAAATGCATCCCACACCTAACGCCCAACCGGCTTTGCGGCCCAATGATCGCCTCCGCCGTAAAGGGTCTTCCCTGTCAATTAAAAAGGATCCTGTTCCTCTGGCCAAAAATCGGTTATCACTCGGTTGCCGGGCAGTTCGGTTTATCCTTCTCTCCGATCCTTTGATCGTTTGATCATTTTCTCATTTTCGTATACATTGGTTAATGCAGGGCCTCGAGTACAATAACAATGTATCCGACACACGAGAAAAAGTCGGTGGGGATGATACCCTGCAACACAGGCTGCAACTCAATACTGCTAAGGTGACTCCTACTACACCTACCACTCACTCATAGTATGTACGATGTAGGCAGACGCTTGTCTGTGTCGACAACGAAGGCTAGCAGAATTGCCACTGTGGAGTGAGTCAGGTTCGCTTTTACCATAGAAACCACAGATGTCAAACGGCACTAGAACCAGAAGAGGGACTGAGCACTGCATGGCATTCGTCGTCAGAGCCCCTCGTCCATGTGGCAGGATATCTTTGGACGTCGTCTCTTCTACGCCTGCATACTTTTCATTCGTGACTCATACTGGTGGGAAACCTGTGACAATCTTGGAATGTGCTACTGGTTCAAGGCTAAAATGTAGTTGTACAAGTTTCGAAAGTACTCCATACACAGAACACTATATCGTACTAGTGATGAACTAAATGGCCGGATCCTTCTCTCGGGAAGCAGAAACTGGCTAGATCGGTATGACATGCAGCACGGACGGTCTATCATTGCCATTGTGGATTCCTTCACATCCCTTGCGTCCTTGGATGAAGTTCGTTGAATTTTTACTCCGCACGTGTGGGAATGGCAACATTAGAACTAGAAATGACCAACACGCACTAAACAACGTAGCCGATATCTTCCAAAACATCCTGGACCCTGGCTATGTATCCTGAGCCGATCGAAATGTTATATTGGGCCGGAGTGGATATCGTCAGGCCAAGAGGCTGAAAAATCGAACCGGGAAAAGGGCTCCGCTCCAAATATAACTAAGGATCCCCATGCGGCTCCAGTATGGTCATCCCACTTCCCTTTACAGTGACACCTTTGACGGGCACAATTATAGACCTTCGCATCGGGCCCGGGAGTACTAGAAATATCCTGTGCGCACCGGTAAATATCTGAATTTGGATCGCATGGCAGAACAGCCAACAAGCTTTCCTCGCATATCAAATTCATACTGCGATCACGTTGGCATCTCTCCACGGTAATTCATGTAATTTGCCTCGGGGAACCAAAGCAAGGTCAAGGGAGCCACCCCCTTGCTTCATTCTGCGAGATGTCATCAACCCCTCGAGGTCGAGGTCTTCACCGCTCTTTCGTAACTATCGATAAATGGTGCTCGGGCGATGAAGATGAGGGGAAATGAGTCTAACTCTATTCCTTTCTCGGTTCGCGAGGTTTCTATCATGGTTTCCAGTGGAGAAAGAGAAACTTCGGAAACATCATAGAAGGTTCGTGTACATTGTACATTGGTATACATGACTTGCATGTTGATCGCATCACCCCGTCTTCCTTTGTAGGCGATATGATTCGTTGGTTCCAGATAGCCTTTTTCATGACGGCGATGTATGCTCCGGGTTAGGCTTCGGCAAGCGATGGGTAATTAGCATTGTCTGATGTTGTACAAAGAATAACAGCCATGTAATTCAAGTGTTCCCGTGGCTTTAAAACAAGGGTAGCGTGCTACTAAGGTGCTACGGAATCTACGGCAGCTTGCTCGAATGGGGATTGTGGCGCCTCTTCAGGGTATTGGGGCATAGGCCCGTTCCGGATGAAGCTCCCCGAACCTTGCCCTAGGTGGAGGCAAATGTGGTTTCCAACACAAGTGTTTTTTTCTCAATTATGTCCATCTAAACTAATTAATATACGTATTCACAAAGATAAATATAAAAGCCACACTCCAGTCTGTGCCAATAGTCCAATCAAACCTAGAGTATCCCTACGGGATCTCTAGCCCTCGGCCTCCTAATTCCTGCGAAGATAGAGAGCAATCCATCCAAGGACTCGATATCCCACAATGATGCCTAGAAGAATCCCAACCCACTTGCCTGTCTGACCAGTGGAATACCCATACGATTCTAGCACTCCAGTGCCCCGAATGAGACACTGATCCTCCAGGTCAGTAGACCACATGCATCGACAACCGGAACCACATGAGTAAATCCTCTCGGAAAACTCATTTACCATCATACCTTGGAATACGTAAGCCTATTCCAAGTACCAATCGAGTTAGTGTTCATTCTGACAAGAAAATAAACTTCTGATAGCAGTGCATCAACATACCTGGTAATCAATGTAGTGGAACACATATTTCCAAAACGGATTGAGAATCTTCTGCGTGATCAGAAACCCTCCGACACTCATCCAAAGACCATTTGCGAATGCAACAAGCGCCAAGGAGATTACAAAATTTGGGAATATCGATGTCACGAGGACCACTAGGGATTCAGCGGCCACAAGGTCAAGGAATATCCACATCACCCAGGTGAAAAATGCTTTTGCTGTTGGTTGGAAATTGGAGAGCCAGTATGAGACGATCGAGAAGAGGATGGATATCAAAACTGGACATATTAGAGATCGTGCATGTGACAGGAAGTAACGAGTACATACACAGGTAGGGAAGCCCAATGAGAAAGTTTGAGACTATAAATGGTGTCACACCATATAGTCCGTTGGCTCGTTCTTTGGTGAAAGTTGCCCGGTCTTCGAGGAATGCGGGGACATATGCTACCGCCATGAAAGACATGAACGCGGAGCCAAAGAACTATCTCCCATATCAGTATCGGTATGCTTTCAACTCTAAACACATGTAGAACTCACAATAGCGTTGATGAACGGCTGTATATAGTCTTGCGATGGACGAAGACGTAGCCATACTGTGCCCATCATGATAGCCAATCCTGTGCCACATTAGTTCCGGTAAGCTTTAAAGGGGCATAATGATTCGTACCAAGATACATTGCGATTCGGATTCCATAAGCAATGACATCGCGGTAAGACTTAACAAATGAGCGATGTAGCAGAGCTGTAGTTATCGAAATCGTTCCCGGTCGAGTCTTTTCTTCCATGAAGCCTTTGTTAGCAAGTTTCTCTGCTGAGCTTACTCGCTCGGACACTTGTCTTGACAGTGATTTTGCCTCATTCGAGTTTGCCCAAGCAGTCTGAATGGCCTCGACTCGATCCTCTTCGAAGTCCTTCGAGCTGGCAAAATCAGAACTGACAGTATCCAATAAGAATTCAGCAGGGTTGGTTTGCATGGGGATTGGATAGCCAATGCCACTGAAATAGCTCTCCACAGCTGAGATTGCCCCAAAATAGCATGTTTTTCCTGCCGATAGAAGCAGCAGCTTATCGAAGAGGTTAAACGTCGTAGTTGATGGTTGGTGGATACTCGCAATGATAAGAAGCTATAATGAACAATGTTAATAACAGCAGGGAGCCCATCTGATACGAACATACGTTATTGGCTCGCGCGAGCTCCTTTGCATACGACATAACCTCAAAGCTGGCAGTCGAGTCTAGACCGCTGGTGGGCTCATCCAAGAACAAAATCCTTGGATTGGTGATAAGCTGGCTAGCCACACTCACACGTCGCTTCTGACCACCACTGATGCCCTTCCGGATCGGGGTTCCAACCAACGTGTTTGCCTGGTTCTGGATACCAAATGCTTCCAAAAGTGTCCGGATTCGATCCATGCGCTGGCGTTTTGACACAGAACTTGTAAAAAGGGATGGTAAGTATCAGGGTGCATAGGTGAAATTGGACGGCTGTTATTCCAAATACCTGGGCAACGAGAGATCCGCCGCGAACTTCAATGTCTCCTGCACCGTCAACGACCCGATCAACACATCTTCCTGCTCGACGTAAGAGGTCACTCGTTGGAAATCCCGTGAGTCCATTTGTGTGTCGTTCACGTAGTTCTCCCCGAGAACCTTCGCACCAGCTGACGCGGCACGTCGAGCAAGCACGTTGAGGAGTGTTGTCTTGCCGCAGCCTGACGGGCCCATTAGGGCAACGAGCTCCCCTGTACAACCAGCATTAATATGATAGCCTTGATATATAGCATGGACAAGGATACAAACCATGTTTCACATCACCACTGATATCATTGATCAGATCGCGGGATTTCTTGGTTTCCCGATCCTTGACAGTGACCGTTAAACCTTGCCACGAGAAATTCCGAACGGTCTCATTCATCAAAAAGTGTCCGCTGTCATTCCACTCCAGGTCCGGGGTCGTGGATGCGATCAAGGTTGAGGGATCGCCCATGCTGCAAGATAATGTAGAAGATTTATGGCAGATACGAGAGAATTGGATTCCAACCCACATCCAGGTTCGCGGGCTCGGGTTTTATAATTTTAAACACGCCTATAATACATGCAGCCAGACCCACGGACTTACAAATCCCTGTCTAGCGTCCAGACCCTTGGACAAATCCCTTGATACGTGATACGTGGCCGGGGTGGTCCCCGATTGATGCTGAATATAGGGCTCAACTTTGGGACCTAACCCCGAGCTGACATAAGATCTCGATGGTCCCCGATTCCCCGGGGAGACGCCGTCCTTTAGTGGGTAATGGTCCTGGAGGAAAGCCAGGTCTTGGAGAAAAGTTCATGAGCCTGGACAAAATTTATTAGATAAGAATGCACAAAACAATAGCGCTGTTTGGAATGTGGGGTGCGTGGTATGGGTTGTAGATATGTGGACGGGTTCCAACCCCCCCCCGGCGTCGGGGATCGCCCACTATTTTTTCCTATGAATACGGCGTTCAAAAAAGCAAAAAAAAAGAAAAAGGAAATCATAAAGGGGAAACCTGAGAATGATTTCGTTGAAAGAAGAAGCATAATGCCATTTTTATTTGTCCCGCTCTTGGCGCCCAATGCAACTAAATTAAAATCAAGGTATACCAAAGACACCAGTCCTTGAGAAATACTGAGGGAAAACACCACACAGAAAAGTAAGCAAAATCGAGCGTATAAGCCGAATTTACATACTAGAACGGATGAGTCAGTGAGAGCTTCTTGAATGAGGGTGGAGAAGACTAACCGCTGAACAGGGCTGAGACCAAGAACGCGCATGCCGTTGTTCAGAACTTGGCGGGCTGAGGCATACAACGCCATACGTGCCTGCTTGACATCTGGCTCGCTACCGATCACCTTGAGCACATCGTAGCTAGAGCTCAACATGTGTGTCATGCGGAACAGATAGCTGAGGACAGTGATGGGCTCAAGAGTCTTGGCAGTCTGCAGAAGTACGTCGGGCCATTGGGCCAGAAGGCGGACCAAGTCGACAGCGTGCTGCTCGGTCAAAAGATCGAAGTTGGCGTTGACCAGCTCGTCGACATCCAACTCGGACTTGCGGGTCATCGAGCACAGACGAGCGTGAGCGTACTGCAGGTATGGGCCAGTGTCACCCTCGAAGGATGTCATGGCATCCAGGTTGAACTCGTAGCCGTTAATGCTGAAATCAAACATACAATTAGTAAATGGATAGACGGAAGTAGGGGAAGAAAACACCCTATACATACCGCTTGCCAGTCATATCTTGCACCATGACGGAGGTGATACCCAAAATATCGGCAGTCTTCACGGGATCCTCGACCTGTGCGTACTTCACTTCATTCTTCTTCATGACCTCATGCATCTTGTCACCGACATCGTGGAGGATATCATCCAAGAACTTGACGGTACCCTTACGAGTACTCATACCACGAACCATACCAAAGTTGATGTGCTGGCAACGGGAGGCCAGGTCCTTGTGGCCCATAAGTTCAGTGACCTTGAAGAGCTGAGCCAGGTGGAGATCCTGCTGGGCGGCAACAACGTAGATCATCTTGTCGAAGTGGTACTCGTTATCACGCTCAGTAATAGCACCGATATCGCGGGTCAGGTAGAGGGGAGTTCCATCCTTGCGGACAATGATAGCCTTGCCGAGCTTCTTGGCACCGTGCTTGGTGAAGTCCACAATGACAGCACCCTCAGACTCCTCGGAGACACCGGCCTTCTCCATGAGCTTATAGGCATCGGTCATGCTCTCAGACTTGATCTGAGATTCACCGGAGTAAACATCGAAGTCGATGTTGAGACGAGCGTAGGTCTGCTTGTACTTCTCAATGCTGAGATCACGGAACTTACGCCAGAGAGCAAGAGCATCTGGGTTACCGTCCTCCATACTCTTGAAGTAGCGACGGGCCTTCTCGTCCTCGCTCACGTCCACAAGCTTGGCAAGCTGTGCCTCAAGCTCAGCAACGTCCTCGTTCTTCTCCTTCTTGGCCTTGATCTGTTCCTTCAGCTCCTTGATAGGTCCATCCTGTTCGCTGACATGACGGTTAATTTTGACGTAGACATCGAACAGGTGGTTGATGGGGTCCTTGATAAGAGCTTCATCACTGCCGAATTCCTTGAAACCGTTGGCCAGCAGACCATACTGCTTACCCCAGTCACCCAGGTAGTTCATCTTAGTGACCTTCCATCCCATAACAGTGTAGATATTGGCGAGGAAACCACCGATGATGGTACTGCGCAGATGACCAGCGTGGAAGGGCTTGGCGATGTTGGGCGACGAGAACTCGATGATGATCTTCTTCTGGCCCTTGGAGGGGTCGGAGGGGTCCTTCTGACCCTGGTTGCCGTTTGTTCCATAGGCGGCCTTCTCCTTCAGGATACGACCAAGAACATTGCCAGTCAATGGCTGAGGTTTGCAGAAGAACTGAATGTGAGGACCAAGCTGAGTTGGGGGGTGGATAAGGTCGGAGGCGGGGAACTTGGAGACAAGATCCTTGGCAAGCTCCACGGGGTTTTGCTTAACCTGGAGAGAAGCCACCTAATTGTATGCAAGAAGACATTGTTAGTCCAAGCCCTCATGATCATGCAGAACATGCGAATTGCGCTAGGCATGTGCCGCCACATACCGGCAATGAAAGGTCACCCTTGTCCAAAGTGCTGGTCCAGGCAATGCGCGGGTAGATCTTCTGAGCATCGATACCAGAGACTTTGCTCAACTCCTCCGCGATGTGCTGGCGGTAGATATCTATCGGGTTCAGTGTCGGGAAGCAGCCGGCGAACTGAGACTTCTGCGCCGTGGATTGGAGGGATAGAGCCTCAACAGAGGCGGGAAGGGAAGCTGCGGACATGATTGGGAATCCTCGCGATGTACCGAATGCGCGTATCAAAGTCGGAAAAGTCGAAGGTTTAGAGGGGCAACGCAACGGAGAAAAAATGGCTGAGAGTCGCCGAGCCCCGCTTAGACAATGACCCATAAAGAGGGGGAAATCTCTCGGGGGATCTTTTTTTTTTTGCCTTTTTTCTTTTTCTTTTTCTTCCCTTTTTGACTTGCCCTCTGACTCAAAGAGGGCGGTGAGTCACGTGGATGATTCAGCTCTTATCGATTAACAAGTGTGACGTCACTTACGAGCGTGATCCACTGAAACCCTACTTTAGATATATGTCTCACTGTGAGAAACATACAAGCAGAAACCGTTCAATTAGTTTTGTCATGAGCGAGACCTGGTACCTGAATCACTGATCAGACAAAAATCTGAAATCTGACAGACAGCTCCAACGACAAGCTCCAACACATTTTAGTGAATGCCTGCATCTTCAAATCCTGCAGTTTTTGAGACAACAAGTAAGGCAAGTTAGGCTGTCGTCCGCTGACTGGAAGTGGAAATATTGTGCAGCTGTACTCGAGCTCTTTTGGGCTCGATACAAGCTGCAAACCCAGGTACTCTCTGGCGTGATACAAACTTTCAATATTGTCGGGAGATAGGTTATATGGTTGCTTCTCATGTCTATGATCTTGGGAGCGTCCCTTTCTGTTTTTTTTTATCCTCCAATATTTGGGCTTATATTTCATGTCACAGTGGCATCTCTATATCACTTAGCAAGGGAAAGATATAAAAGCTCCAGAATTATTCGCAAGTGCCCGAATCTCCGAACAAAATTGCTCCACAAGGTATCTCCTTGATCTCGTAAAATGCCGGGGAATACACAAGCACTCTGAACTTTTGGGAAGTATGTTAATGGCAGTAGTACACGGGGAAGGAGTAATATAGACGCATGGTGCAAACGGTACTGCGCTTTTCTTGATACACTTGCCTCCCATCCATGTTTCTCACCGTCACCCTGCGACGCGACACCCCCCACTCATTAGTGTAGCTTCCACGGTCAGTAGTCAACTATCTTCTTTCATCCTACTTCACCTCACGGAGTACTCATCTACAGAGATTTAACAGGTCAATATGGGATACAACCCCATGGATTCCACGGCGGGTCCGTTGGACCCAAACATCGATCCCCAGCTTGGTCAGCTGATGGATACCCCGTTGGACCCAAATATCGATCCCCAGCTTGGCCAGCTGATGGATACTCAGCTGGAAATAAAGTCTGAGCCCGATGAGGCCTCAACCGCCCCGACTGGTATCGCAGATGGCTTGCCAGATGCGTCTTCTTGGCCGTTTGATGATTGTTGGAACAGCATCCGTCCAATCGAGCCTACATCCTGGGCGTAAGCACTTACCTTAACGTGTTAAACACGTCTCAAATACGCGTACTGTGTATATACTAGTGACTAACATGGTGTCAGTCCCAATGCAAAACTTTGCGACTGCCCCGAGCACTCTGAAACTACTTGGCCGGCCGAGCATGCTGTTCTTGTGAAACTCCCAAGTGCCTGGAGATTCTGTTTATTTACTGACACCTCCCCAATTCAGTTCATTCCTGACTGTGCAAAGCGATGCCCTTACTGTCCCTGGAAGACTGAAAGGTTGGCGAAAATCGGAAACCCGGCACCAATGTTGCGTCGACACATTCGCCAATATCACCTAGTGGGTACTACACACACTAAACACGATTCAATCCATACTGACTTGACTCAGAAGGAACATGGCGATGAATTCCCCGGTATTACTGTTGATCCGCTTCGTGTGTATGTTTATTGGCCTTTCCTCTATTTATGGTTCCATGCTAATTTGCTACCACTAGGTCTGTGAGAACGGAGTAGTGAGTCTATCCGCTTTATGTATTCCCACGGGCTTTGCTAACGTTTGATCTTTGTAGCGTTAGTTACGAACGAACTCAAGGCAGCCGTCCGAAAGTCGACAAGAACACTGAGGAGGCATAGAAAGAAGCATGTGAGAGGCGAGGAGGATTACTTGTATCCCATTCCTTTGTCCATTCTTTCTTTTGTATCTAAATGTCACCAGCCCTGGCTTCCAGTGCCACTTCGGAAAGGAGAACACAACGACTGAAGATCACGGGGCTTGGTCTTATTGCAACAAAACAATGAATAAAGCAATTTATTTCAAATCTTTGTCTCCTGATTCATACTCATCAAAGACTTGACAATGGGATTGAAACATAATGTCTTTGTTCTCGCCAGAGGACCCCAGGTAGTATGTCATAGTGGAACATTATTTTATAGCTGGCCAGTCCCACGTATGTATTGGGGTTTAATTTCCAGCATCCAGCTCACTGACAAAGTAACATTATCCCGCCACAGGTGTCGCCATTTTGAAGACACCATCCCTTAAGCAGCTAATGAACTTCGGGAGCTAATCAACATGTCATATTATATTTCCATCCACCATGGCCCAGGTGTTGATGAGAGCCCCGAGAACATATGGGTCAATATCACCTTTACTCCTAGACAGTGTTATTACCTTCGCACCGACGGAGCGTTGATTTGCTATATCATTGAACGTATTCGGGAAAAGAAGTTTGAACTTGGTCGGGAACCCAAGGATCGACATTATAGGTGGTGTATCTCGATACCAGTCTCAAAACCACATAGAACCATGGACGGAATTGTTGCCGACGCTTTACAACTGGCGGAGTGGTACAGGGTCCAAATTCTGAATGGGAATGCAAGTATCAACCGCGAGCTACTATTTGATCGGAAGCCCTATGAGGGAGGTAAGGAATGCTGTAGAGATAATGTGTGTGATCGGATACTGCATCCGGAGTGGTGGGTTAAAGATACTAGTGAAGATGCTGGCAAGGACGCTAGTACAGATGCTAGTGAGGATATTAGTAAAGACGCTAGTCCAGATGCTAGTAAAGATGCTAGTCCGGATACTAGCCAAGGTTCTAGTAAAAACTCTTAGTGTTTTGGTTTGCTGAAATGAATGCATATACAACCTCCATGTCTTTGATTTCCACTTCATACTGTGACCGGTACATGATTGATATTCGGAGCTTTGAGAGTTTCTTGAAGAGATAATGGATGCAACCTGCGACTACTAGTGGTGATTGCATTTCAAACACAGGAAGAGCGACCAAGGTGTTATGCTGGGTGAAGCTTTTGAACCGACGTCGAGTGCGTGTATATATAACGAAGATAAGAGTGGGTGCTATGCAAGTAAAAATATACTGTTATTCACACCGATTAAAAATGTAGTATTAATACTCGAGATTTATTTCACGCGTTCGAGTCCCGAAGGGCATCTTTTAATCGCTTGTAGGCCGGGGACTATTGACACATCTACCCACACACCAACCAGAGATTATATATCAAAACAAAAATGCTTCGCGGCCAGGCCAAGCTGAAATTTTATGCCAGATTCACATATATAAAGGGCAGAGTCAAGTTCGAAAACAGCAACTTTTCGTTGATTCGCAGCGAATCCCTTAGAAGCAGAAGACCTGGTCCTCCAGCTTGCTGACGGGGCGCGCCTTGGTGTATCCAAGAGCCTCGGTGGACTTCTTCATGGCGCTGATCATGGGAGGGGGACCGCAGAGGAAGATCTTAACATCGGCAGCGGGGGCGGGCAGGCGCTCCTATACGAAAGTTTAATTAATACCGAGGTAGCACAGCCGAGTATAGCGCGCAAACTTACCTTGATCATGTCGGGGGTCACAAAGCCGACACCGCCGGTCCAGCCCTCGGGAGGGTTGTTAAGAACGTAGTAGACGCGGAATCCATCGTCCTCCTTCTCCAGCTCCTCAAGCTGGTCCTTGAGCAAGATATCCTCGGGGTTGACGTTGGCGAAGATCAGGTCAACCTTGGTGGTGTCGTTGCCACCGTTGCGAGGACGGTTGCGGATGATAGCCTTGATAACCTGCAGCATGGGGGTAATACCAGTACCACCGGAGATCATACCAATGTGGCGGCACATGTTGGGGGTGTAGACCATGGCACCCTTGGGGCCGCGGACCTTCATGTTGTCGCCGATCTTCAGTTCGGTAAGATACTTGGAGATGTTACCCTGGGGGTAAGCCTTGACGAGGAGATCGAAGTAGCCGGCCTCATTGTCGGAGGAGATGGGGGTGTAAGAGCGAACAACCTCCTTAGGCTGACCGGCGATAGTAGCGGCGAGAGAGATGTGCTGGCCGATGGGGAGGCCGAGGATATCGGTGGAGCGGGGGAGGGCGAAACGGTAGATGGCGACGTTGTGAGAGATCTCGTTCTTCTCCTTCAGGACGAAGTTCTGGAACTCGGTGGGGTTCAGGACCTTGCGAGGCTCTGCGATTAATGGGGTCAGTTCAGTCCCTCAACTTCCACACCACTCCGATATTTGGATAAAAAGGAATGTACGCACTGTTGCTGAAAACCAAGTAACCGGCTAAAATTCCAGCCACAGCGATTGCATAAGCGATAAACTCGGGCTTAATGGCGTAGACACCCGCGATGAGCAGGGCCGAGGGCGCCAGGGCCGTGCCGATGGTGGCGAGACTTTGGGGAATCAGCCATTGTTCGATGTTATGAAGAGGTGAAGGATATTAACTCACCTCATTATGACAGAAGATACTGTGGTTAAAAAAAGAAACAGTTGTAAGAGTAGAAGAAAAGAGAGAGGAGAGCGAAGATAAAAAGAAATGAGGGGGCTAGTCCGCCCAACGGAATTTCCCACCTTTTGGGGTTACGATTTCCCCGACTTTCCGTGTGTTTAATCGGACTTCTCGACGAACTAGGCTTATTTACTCCGTAAACTTCTTTTTATTTCCTCTTTTCAAAATCACCAAAATCACCAAAATCACCAAAATGGCCGAAGTACCGGAAGTTCCAGAAGTCCCCGCCTTTAATCTAACGGAATTAGACCATAAGCTGCTGGCCATGACCGACGAGGAGTTCGTATACCACGACTGGGAAGAGCTAAAAGGCATCATCGGTAAGTGTGCCCTTATCTCCAAATCTGCCCTAGAAACACTTCCCCTCATGCCACATCCCGTATTAGCGCGAAATGATCTCGGCGCTCTCAAGCGAAAGCCTTCCGATCTCCGCCGATACCTGGCCTGGACACAAGAGACCAAAACCCAATATGGCACGATCATGAATTATATTTGCCAGCAACGATTAAAGTGGCATTTACCGGTAAACACTGCCAGCGGCATTAACTCCGCAGTTATCCAGCAAAGCGGAACCCCGGCGACCTTCAAAAACCCGCGTCCCTTTGCCGATCCCCAGGACTACAAGATCCTCCGCAATGACTGGCCCTATGGTCTCACCCCCGGAATTTCACATCTAGTTGTGTGGCTGCGCACTCCTATCCCTGTACAATCCGGCGAGGGCCATTTGACCGAGGAATCTCGTGCAATGATCAACAGTTTTGTTCGAAAGACTTTCGTGGACCGCTTGGCTAAGGATCCTCAAAGCTTTTTGGATCCTGACTCCCATGTGCTGTGGTTTAAGAATTGGGTTGGTTTACAGAGCGTGAGGGCATTGGAACATGTTCATATTTTGGTCCGTGATGTCCCTGAGCATATATTATTCGAATGGGTAAACGAGTGAGCTTGCTGGTGGGATTGCTGATAGACTATATCTTCTATAAGATGAAGCATTTCGCTCCTCAAATATATCCATTGGACATCGCAAAGCGCCATTGAGGAAAACCACCCAAAAAAATGAGGATGGCTAAGAAGAGTTCTCGAAATATTTAAACTTTTGTATAGTAGCACACTCATAGACAGCCTACCATGAAGGTCGTGGTACGTGATCACCTTGAGGTCTTTCCCCATACTCAATCTTTACCTGGTCTGTGCGATGAATCTTGCCCGCCAAATGAACTTCTCCCCGGAGTTGATCCGAGTTCAATATGCTTTCCTGGCTACCGCTCTTTGTAGTCCCAATATTCGTTGTCATGAGAATATCGTCGTCCTCGTGAGCGTTGCTTGCTGATTTCTTCGTGGGCCTGTCCGTGTAAGAGCGTAACTTGCCGCTCTCATATCGTCCATGAGAACTCCAGGAACGTTTGCCCCGGATCATTTCGTATATCGGACCCAAGGTTGGGATACAGGAGGCCATTATGATGATATTCGACTCGATACTAAGGGATGAGAGCCAGACGTTAGTTTTCTGACGTCTGGTAGAAAGGCGCAGGGCTGAAAACTACCTCGTCCAGATAACAAGATCTGCTGTGGCGTCTGTTTATGCCATGTTAGCTGTAGATGTCCCAATTTATGCTGGAAAAAAAAACTTACATGTCGAGTCTGCCGTATTATATAAACCTGGCAGCTGGAGGCACTTCACAATAGCCATTGCACAGGCTCTGTGTGGACGATGAGCTACTTCCTCCAGATCACACCTAGGTAAGATCAAGCAACTTACACGGCACCCAACCCCAAAGCTCCGCACAGGGCCAATTTTTTCTGAAGCGACATTTGAAGCCGCAGCAATACCACAGTCGGATAAATTGCAAGATATAGATCGACTACTGCGGACAGAACTGAAAAAGGGTTAGTTGCTCGTTTGCGAAAGACATGCAATCCATCAACATACCTCCAGTGAAGATTGCATAGCCCACCAGGATCTTGGTGGAACGGCATGTTGCCCCCTCACTCATAAGATGAATCTTCCATAAAGCATGGGGAGGATCACACATGGTGAATAGAACGATGATGCAGATGGTTGACGCCACGAATACCGAGCCTGTCAAAATCCATAACCATATTCGGTGGAACCAGCTGGGGTTCATGATGCGATTCAGGAGAGCAGCGATTGCGAGTTTTGGAGTGGTGAAAGACATGATTCCCAATGCAAAATCTGCATAGTTAATCACTAGAATGCGTTCGACCAACTCTATGCCACCTTTTTCCATCAACACAGAAGTATGACTCCCGTAGCCTAGGATGACATTCACCGTGGTGAGAATTGTATAACTGGTGACCATAACCTGTATAGAATGGGTATTTGGCATAGGGCAAAGTCAGTTGGAAGGGACATACCATTGCTGCCACGATAATATAGTCATCGAGTCCAATGTTCTTTAATATCCGGGCTCTAATACAAAGTCGCAGGGATACCATCACCACACTTACACTAAAGAAGGCCCAAAAAACCCCTAAAATGCGTGGACCCTTTGTCTGGTTCATGTACTCGGTGTCCATGGTTGCCATTATGCCGAGAGCAGTGGCTGCTCTGTTGCATATAGGAGATTGGAGACAATATCCCCTATCTTCCCTGGCATCAAAAGGACTGAAAGCCGTAACGCAGGAAAATCATCTTCAAAGCCCAAAATTGAGAGTAAGCTCTGAAAAAGCATACATGCACTCCGTACATAGGTACTATTGTTACAGCACGTGCCAAGGGGGCGGCAGAGCAGACAGGCCAGGCCGATGGGGGCCATGTTTCGACGAGTTGACCAATCAATCTTTCAGAAACCAGGGACCTCATGTCTCAAGATCGCGAGTGGCTTGAAGACAAGCACAATTAACTTTTGGCCCCAACCGCTACAACCTTCGCATGGTTCCACTATGAAACTGTACGGAGTCCGCGGGTATACATCCTCATTCATAGTATACTAGTATAAAGCACGTAGTATGCATGATAATGTAGTACGTATGAATCTGAAAACTCCCAGTCTAGAAAGCAATTCGTACATATCATCCTACCTCTGATATCTCAATTCCTACGAACCAGTCAGTGCGTGAATCCTTCTTAAAGCCGATCGCCGAGCACTATGTGGAGCTTTCAATGCTCCAGAATATATTCGGGCAGAAAAATGGCTCAATATATTTAATATAACTCGCATAATCTGCCCCAGTAGACCCAATTAAACAACCAATTGCTGCCTAGATTTGCTTAGTGGAATATTATACAACACTAATGTACAAGGATAGTGATCCTGTCAGGGGTTCAGTACAACATATGCATCGTTCTATATTAATACCTAGAATTTAATGTACTTTGGAGCACGTAACTCCGTCATCGCGGGGATATTTCTTTTGATCCCACTCATTTTCCTGCATATGCATTGCAGCAAGCGCAGTTCATCATGACATTCTCCAACTGTAACGGAAACTCGAATGGCTCGGTCAATGGTAATGCCATCGACGTAGAGGGTCTTGCTCTCACCTCAAACTTGCCCGACACCGTACCTGATCTCCTTCAGACGGTGGCGAGTCATGGCAAAGACCTCCTCGCTCAGGATCCTGAAGCACGTCTTAAGCTTTTAGAAGCTACCCGAGCATTGACCTATGCATTGGAAACCCCCCGAGAGGCAATCATTCGACACTGCTGGTCCGAGGTGTGTTGTCACATGCTATTCTGTGCTTTCTTGAATGCCAATTGGGATTTGGACTGACAGGTATTGCATTTACTTTAGTCTACGAGTTATGCAGCCCTAGAGACTGCCGTTGATATAAACCTCTTCTCTGCTCTCGGCACAGATGACAAACTGAAGAATGTCGCAGATCTTTCCAAGGCAACCAGCGTGGATCCAATCCTGCTCGGTCAGTGGCATGTTTACACATTATCAAGCACCAATACCTGACAAATTCGTATAGGACGATTGATGAAGCATCTCGCCGCGATGGGAACGATAAGCGAGACCGGCTACAACGAGTACCGTTCCACTGGCTTCTCAAAGGTCCTCACAGTTGAGAGATACAGCGATGCATTCCCGCTCATGTAGGCGGATTACCAGAACCTCATACCCCGAACTTCGACTAACACAACCAGGACCCGCCGTTTCACGAAAGGCATTATGGCCCTACCAGCCTTCCTCAAGAAAAACAACTACCAAAACCCCACAAGTCCCACAGATACCGCATTCCAGATGGGGTACGAAACAGACATGGGTTTCTTCGGACATGTGCAACAAGAACCGCTCACGGCAAAACAGTTTAATAACCACATGTCAGTGTACGCGCAAGGCCGAGTCCGCTGGATGGATCCCGGGTTCTACCCGGTCCAAGAACAGCTTATAGACGGGGTCACGATTGGTGAGGACGACGTCCTGCTCGTGGATATCGGAGGTAGCTTTGGCCATGATCTATCCGATTTCCGCCGGAAATGGCCCGGTCTTCCCGGTCGTCTGGTGCTTCAGGATCTTTCTGAGGTGGTGGTTTCCGTTAAGGATTTGCATCCCTCTATTGAAGTTACTGGTCATGATTTCTTTAATGAGCAGCCAGTGAAAGGTATGGAAACATGAGGCCTTCCCGTTTCCTTGAACAATGAAATTTTGAGCTCATCAATTGCTGGAATATACTAATGTTCTATCCCTATAGGAGCCCGCGCGTACTATATGCATTCTGTTCTCCATGATTGGCCCGATGAGCTTTGTCGCAAGATCCTCGCTAATACGGTGGCTGCCATGCGGCCAGGCTATAGCAAGATGTTAGTAAATGAGAATGTGATTCCGGACACAGGGGCCTACTGGGAAACCACAAGTTTGGACTTAATTATGATGGAGATTGGATCTGGCGAGCGGACGGAACGCCAATGGCATGCATTGCTGGAGTCTGCTGGGCTGAAGATTGTCAAGATTTGGACTGCCCAGAGGGGCGTGGAGAGTTTGATTGAGTGCGAGCTAGCTTGACCTGTGAAAACATGCTGTGCAGCCAGTTTGCAGGTGTTGGAAAAGCAAAGTCGTGCTGTCAACTCTACATATTAGGCACTTCATGACAATGCCATTTTAGGCCGGCAAATAATATTGTTTGCAATTCATTGGACTTGGAACGAAAATGGAATGATAAAAAAAAGAGTTCGGTATCAGAATACGCCAGCCAGCTAGTCCATCGAAGCAAATGTTGATTACAATATACAAAGAGCACACCTGGGAAATACGACGATCACGTTTTCTGCTCCTCCACGAACTTCAGAGCCTCCTCGCGCGAGACAACATCGATAGTACTGGCCTTTTGCCTGAAGCTGACACCATAGCACTTCTCTGCCACGTGCAGCATTTCAGGGCGGAAGGTAGTGCAGATGAACTGTCCATTGGTCGAATCCGAGATGGACTTGAGCATTGTTGCAACGGCTGTTCGGTACTGAGCATCTAAGTTTGCATCGATCTCATCAAACAGGTAGAATGGTGCGGGGTCGCAAGCCTGGATGGCGAAAACTAGAGCGAGAGCGCAAAGACCTATGGCAAGTTAGTTAGCGACTAAAAAAACAAAAAACGGATACGGGCTGGAAATTCTTACTCTTTTGTCCACCACTCAGCTGCTGAATGCGTTGTTGATCGTCGTGCTTGCTATTGAAGCTCACACTGATGCCGACGCCGACGTAGTTTTCGACACTCTGCCGAGCTTCTTCGTCATCTGAGTCAACATCGTCATCGAGTCGCGTAGCACGATCTGTCTTCCTTTGAATAATAAGACGACCACGACCGGCGGGAACAAGCTTCTCGAACACGTTGTGGAACTCGCGTGAGACCTGTTTAAAGGTCCGTTCAATGGCCTCATCCTTGCGTTGATCAAGAACAGAAATGAGGTCATCAATGGACTTTTGAGACGCATCCAACTCGGAACGACGTGTAGTAAGAGTCTCACGCTGCTTGGTAAAGCTGTTATACTGTTCAAACGCCTTCTTGTTGACATGAGAGTATTTCTTAAGAGCCTCGTTGGTCTTGTGGAGCTTCTTAACAACAGTGTTGGAGTCGGTGTTTTGGTACTTGGTGAAAGCTTCATCCGGAAGAACACCGAGCGAACGGATGTTAGCAGCACACTCGGCACCCTGCTTAGTGAGTGCTGCCTTCTTTTGCATGCTCTTTTCCATACGGCGCTGATGCTTCTCGATAGATCGAGCAAGATCCTCAATTTCCCGTCGGGTCTCAGCATTACGCTGTTGGAGATCCATCACGCGAGTATTACCCTCCTCAATTGAGGTGTCAACCTCCTTTAGGCGTGCATTGAGCTTCTCTAACGCTTTGCCAATGCGCTTCACTTCACGCTGTGTCTCTTTCAGATTACCTTGAACTTCCTCGTCGGCGATGTCAATGTCTCTGTTGAGTAATTGGTCAAGGCGAGGGTTGAGGTTCTCTCGAAGCTCAACTTCCAGCACAGACTTGCGTGCCTCGAGCTCGCTGCGCTGACCCGAAAGCTCTTGGTATTGACGGCGCAGATCTTGCACTGTGCTGCTTAAACTTTCTAGTCGAGCTTCCTCTTCGCTGGTGAGAGCTTTCTGGAAAGGCGAGGCTAGTTCGGTCTGGAATGCATTGACTTGGTCGTTCAGTGCCGCAAGATTTGACTCAACATTTCGGAGAGCACGTCGCTTGGCATCAAGAGTATCGTTCTTGTTTTGAAGGAGATCACGCTTGGCCCTCAACTCATGTCGTAAAGGTCCACTACTGTTCTGGACCTGATGTCTCTGTTGCTCAAGCTTTTGCAGTTCACCAACAGCCTTGGTAATCATCTGGTCGAGTTTCTCCAACTCCTTCCGGATTTCGGTACCGCGATTTCTTTTGGCCTCATACTCGTCTCGCCACTTAGCTAGACTCTTGACAGCGTCCAGTCGTGACTGACGAGCGTCGTGGTATCCACCAGTCAAGGCACCACGCTTGTCTGATCGATCGCCCTCTGGGGTGATAGCATTGACGCCATGGCTTCGTGCGTACTGTGAGGCAACCTGCAGGTTGGGGCAAATGATAGTCTTGCCAAACACGTGCTGGAAGGCTCTGTCATACGCCGGGTCGTACTGCAACTTATCGATCATGGGTATTGTGTCACTAGCACGAGGCATATTCATCGGCCTAGAGCGAAGTCTGTTCAGGGGCATAAATGTCACACGACCGGCCTTTTCCTTTTGCAGGATCTCGAGGACGGCTGTAGCAGTTTCATCTGTGTCAACAACGTAGTGGAATAAACTCTGGCCGGCAGTGACTTCGACAGCGGTGCGATATCTATCATTGACATCGAAAAGCTCGGCAAGAGTACCGTAAACTCCTTCGAGGTTATGCTGGCGCTTGATTCGGCGCACTGCGGCGGTTCCGCGACTAGTGTTGTTATCCATCATTTGCGAGAGATTTCGCTCAGCACGATCCACCTCCTGGGATGCATTCGAAAGCACGGAGTCAAGCTTCGCTTCTTCTCTCCAGAGTTCCCTGAGGAAACATTAATATCTGGTACTAATCAATTAGTGATTCAAGAGGACTTACTTTCTTTGGTCCATGAGACGGTCTCTTTCATCCTTAGCATCTTGGACTTGCTGATCCACATTATGCATTGTGTCGCCGCGTCCATCGATTTGCTGGCGCAAGCGTTCAGTTTCCGGCTCCAAAGCGGCAATTTCGCCTTCTAGGTCTTGAATATCTTCTTGTGTCTGAGAGATTACACCCTGGACAGTGTTAATAGAATTATGGCTCTCGCGGACCTCCATATTCAGCCACTTGTCACGCTCAGATTTGTTCTTGAATCGCGAGTTTCGACCCTGCTTGGCATACAAACGCTGACGCGATGTCTCGGCATCCGTCAATTGTGATTTGATCGTGTCTTCCTGATCCTTCAAGGCATTGAACCGAGGGAGAATTTCCCGATGTTCAGCTTCACGCTCACTGATAGCGGCCTGAACAGAGCTGAGGTCAGAGTCGTAGCGTGATTTCAGTGCTTGTGCGGCAGCCTGGTTATCAGAAAGAGACTTGGCCTGCAATTCATTCTGTGCCAGAGTCTTAGATGCCTCACGCCGTTCGTCCTCCAGTTGAGCCTTGTCAACCTTCAGGAACTCAATCTGTTGCCGGCACTCCGCGATCTCAGCATCGATCTGAGCCATGGCCTTCTCCCCTTCAACGAATTGATCCCGATTGTTGTCAGCATCCTCAACGCCGTTCTGTCGTCGCTCTTCGATCTCATTGAGGACCTTGCCGATCTCTTGCTGTTCGAGGGAGTAAATGGTGTACTCTAGACAGCGGCGCTCCTTGTCTTTCTCCTGATAGCTCCGAAGCTCATCCTTTTCTTCTTCGAGTTCGGCAAGACGTTCGTTAATGTAGTCGAGGAGTTCATCGATCTTGGCGCGCTTGCTGTTGGTCTCATTCATAATTTTCAAAGACTCCGAACGACGAGCTTCGTAGACCTGAGTACCGGCGACCTCCTTAAGTAGAACCAGGCGCTCAGAGTCTTTCATGTTGGTCAATGCAGTCACTCGGCCTTGGGGGACAATGTAATAAGGGTTGGACCGAGAGAAACCAGCCGACTCGAGCAGGTTCATAACGTCGTTCTTAGTGGCATTCTTGCGGTCGAGAGTGTATTCGTCCTTCTTAATACCAATAGTACGACGCAGGACGACCTCGGGCTTGCCGGTGGGGAATCGATCGTCGGAGTTGTCGAAGATAATCTCGACATAGGCGGACATCACAGCCGATCCGGAACCTTCCTGCTTGGGGTCAACCTATGTAGACTTGAGTGATACCAAGATACGTACGTGCAAAAGAGCTTGGCGCTCCTCCCTACCGAGATGAGTGTAGGCATCGCTGAGGACGAAGCGGATGGCCGCGAAGAAGTTACTCTTCCCGGAACCATTGCGGCCGACAATGACGTTGTGTTTGGGGGAGAATGGCTCAATAACCGTTTGATCTTTGTAGCTAAATTCCATGCGGGGTCAATGGAAAGTTCATAGAGTCATAGAGATTGCATATGTGGTGGGAAATACCTCTTGAAGCCTTGGATAATGATCTGCTTGACATACATCTTGAGAAGAAACGCGCGACGCGAGGATCAATAAGAACACCCTCGGCCTGACGCGCCTGGCGCAAGAGTAAAAACTAAGGATCGGATGTGCCACAAGGATCTCAGCCAGCAGATCTCTTTAGCAATGAACAGACAAACGCCGTGGGATATCGTGATTGTGTTACAAAACTTTGGATATTGACTACGCGAGGAACGAAATTAGCGCGTCTCGTTGGGCGCGGGGTTCTGCCGGGCGGTGACCCTAATCTGAGCCACAGAAAAAAAAAACCTTGGGGACCCGACGGGACATGTTGAAATCTCTACATTCTCAACTTTGAAGATCCAGAATGGCTTCAAATGAGAATACTGCCCAGGCAGCTGGCATTGCCGATGGTCTTGCGCCGTCGCATACCTACGTGCCTAACGAAGGCTACGTGAACCCTGATACTGCAGACTCCGCCGAGGCGGGGCAAGATCTGCTCGATGAAGAGGGGGAGGAGGAGGAAGACGAATACTACGACGACATTTTCGACGAGGAATTGGATCGTGAAGATATTCTGTCTTCTGATAACTCCGATCTTACCAAAGCATACAACCGCCAACGCAGAATCAACGACCTCGCTGGCGACTCCAATGTGCCGAGATGGACATACCCCAAGACGAACACCCAAAAGCCTACCGTGAACACCTCTGCGTCTGTCGATGACCAGGTCAAGTCTCTCACTCGTCATGCTGCAAAGATCAAGCTGGACGACCAACAGGCCGGTATTTCGGGGCGCAACGACAAGGGTGGAGATAAGGCAGACCGAGCCACATCAGAACAAGTATTGGATCCCCGTACGCGCATGCTTCTGCTGCAGATGATCAACCGAGGTCTCGTTTCGGAAATCCACGGATGCTTGTCGACCGGAAAGGAAGCGAATGTCTACCATGCCATGTCCATCTCGCAGGAAGATGAGGATGCTGCCCCACTACACCGTGCGATCAAGGTCTACAAGACAAGTATTTTGGTGTTCAAGGATCGTGATAAGTACGTGACTGGAGAGTTCCGTTTCCGTCAGGGATACAACAAGAGCAACAACCGTGCCATGGTCAAACTGTGGGCCGAGAAGGAGATGCGAAACCTGCGAAGAATCTATGCCGCCGGTATTCCCTGCCCCGAGCCTATCTTCCTTCGTCTGCACGTCCTTGTTATGGGATTCATTGGTAGCTCAAAGGGTCTAGGCGCACCGCGCCTCAAGGATGTGGACTTCAATATCCCCGAGCCCGAGGCTCGCTGGCGCGCACTGTATATCGAATTGTTGGGCTATATGCGCGTTATGTACCAGACTTGCCGTCTGGTGCACGCTGATCTGAGCGAGTACAACATTCTATATCATAAGGAACGCCTGTATATCATTGATGTCAGTCAAAGTGTTGAGCACGACCACCCACGCAGTCTGGAATTCCTGCGCATGGATATCAAGAACGTCAGCGACTTCTTCCGCCGAAAGAACATCCTCACTCTTCCCGAGCGGACTGTGTTCCAGTTCATCATATCCCCAGAAGGACCGATTGATGGGACCGCCGGCAATGAGGAGATGACGAGTGCTATCGAAAAGCTCCTCGTTGCCCGCGAGGAGGGTGACGATGAGCAGCAGGAGGCCGAGGATGTCGACACTGCTGTCTTCCGTCAACAATATATTCCCCAGACCCTAGAGCAGGTTTATGATGTCGAGCGTGATGCTGAACGTATTCGCGATGGCCAAGGTGCTGACCTGGTTTACGGAGACCTCTTGGCTGGCGGCAAAAAGAAGGCCACTGCCATTGATGCCGTCGAGGAAGATGCCGAGTCTGATGCAAGCGGCGGTGTCTCCGTCTCGGGATCCGACTCAGACGACGAAGAGATTGACCCATTCGCGCCGAAGCCGCCACGAGGCAAGCGTTTCGAAGACAAAGACTCAAAGCGCGACCACAAGGCAAAGGTGAAGGAGGAGAAGCGTGAGCAGCGGGCGAACAAGATGCCGAAGCACATGAAGAAGAAACTTGTTTCTGGTTCTTCGAGAAAGAAGAAATAAGCTCTCGTAGCTTTCTGACCTTATCTTTCTTTGCATGTGCACGAGTTGCGAATGTTTGCACTCTGTGTCAATCTACCGCTTGGCATGATTTGATGATGAAATGCATATATGGATGGAGCATTGGGCATTTGATACCTTGGTCTATACTTGATAGAAATTGGGAAAAAAATAAATAAATATTTCATGCAAGCTCTTCAAGACTGAACCGAAACTCTCATTGGAATACAGTAAAACCTGGCTATAACGAACCCGGTTTTAACAAATACCTGATTTTAACGGACCAAAACTAGTGCACCAATTAATTCCCAATAGTAATAACGAAATCCCCTCCTTACTACGAACTTCGTTCATTCACTACCTATTCTTCCCATACAAAATTCGTTATATCGAAGTGTTTATCACAAGATTTTTGCACATTGTTAACCAATTAAAATACGATATATGCCAGTCACGTGACCCCATGCCGATTCCAACTAATCGAAATACCTCACCAATCGATCATAACCTCCTAGAATATATGTAGCTCTACGAAAATAATTGACTAGCGCGCTATATCGACATAGAAGAGCTTTAGAAGCAAGAAAGTTATGGGAGGGGGAATAAGGGGATATTAGGGGCGTTTTTGGAGTATGAATCTGTACATAAACTAGAAATATATATTTTATTTATATTTAGGACTTGGATTTGTAGTCAGCCATATGTGTGGCCTTCCAAGGTTGTCGTGGACCTGAGGTCCGTTAGTCATTTTAGATTTATTTTTGTATAGATATGTTGTCCTCTTCTCAGTTTCATATATGTAGACGACGGAATTAAGGCCCAATTCGTGAAATGGACATTTCTATCTATGACCATGGACTAGATATATGGGGGCGTATTGAGAACCAAAAAAAAAAAAAAAATTAGATTGAGGTAACAACTTATCAGAGCTCTCTTTGGACGTCACCCCAATCCGTTTTCTCGCCATAAATTCCCCACAAGTGTCACCGACTAGTGCTTACATCCCACAAAAAAGTGCAGGAGTATGCATCCAGAAAATGAGCACCAAATAGGGAACAGAAATGGCGAGCAAGACGGAAGGTCAGACCTTTTGTCTTTCGTCATTTCAAGTTTCAATCATACCATTGTCACGATGTAGTAGTTAGAAGCGCCATTGAGATACCAAAGATCTGATTTCCATATTAGCTACAAATGTAGTGGGAATTGTAGAGCGAGGCTGAGGACGCCAATGGCGCGGAAATATGCACTGGATGAAAGTAAAAAGCTGCCACATCTGACACATCAAAGAGATCAAGCGGTGTGCATTTGGGACACGACATTGTTTCGTGCTTTGACCCTTGCAAAAGCTTCCTCAATGAGGTCCTTTGGCAGGTCTGGGATTTGTTCTCCTTCGGCACTTCCATCCGATACTCGCGCCTTAGCAGATCCTGTGCACTGATGTACACTAGGTTCCTCGAGTGCATTCTGCGCCACAGCACCATTATCTAAGTGGCCGCCTGAGAGGCGCAAGAACTGCACCTGCATTGGTGCTAAGCCAACGCCAGGCCATATGTCAGAGGGAAGAAAGTCACCCTGTTCAACACGGAAGGTGTCACGAGCAGCGGCATCTTCATCGTGGAGCTGGTCTAGTTTGTGTCGGGTATCTCGGAGCACCTTTTCCACACGTTGGCGAACATGATGCCGACGTGCTACTTCTAGCATCAGGCTGTCGTAGGCATTGAGGAACCCGTCGTACAAGGAGTGCAGGTCAGAGAGTTCGGCAAGGCCAGAGTTAATGCGGTCATTTTCTTCATGCCACACGCGCGTGAAATTGTGTGCCTGAGAAATGTAACGGGGTAAGCGAGAGGAGGCGAGAGAGGATAGATGGCTGTGAACTTCGATCGTTGCCTTGGAGATGGACAGTAGGGCATCTCGCTGAGCTTGGACTTGTTCAAATATGGACTCCATTTCGTTGATGCGATCTTGGATCTCCATGACAACATCATCCGCCTCAGGGGCATCTTTGATCAAAACAGCCACCATCTCCTGATACTCAGCGTCAGTCATTGGGTCAAGGGGTGCATTCAAATTGGCGTTGATCTCTGCCCCGATGTTCGGCATTCCGTCGTTGCTGCCGTCAACACCAGTTGGCATATCTCCCGTGATGGATCGCGCAACTGCTCCTCCGCCATCTGTATGCTTTACGGCAGTGACACAAAGATCAAAGTGTCTGACTAAGGCTTCCAAAAGAATGGCCATTTCTTGAGCATGGGCCTCAAGTGATTGGATCTGGCCCGGCATAGACGACAAAGTGAGAAGGCCGGAATCAGACGCAGACGACGAGGAAGATGTGATCGATAACCGGGATGACGCCAACTTTGTGGCTGTGTGGTAGTGACGAAGCGACTGCCTGGTGGCTTGAAGTTCGTCATCAAATTCACGATTGGACGTGTCTAATTCGGCGCGCGCTGTGTTAGTGCGGTCGATAGATGATTTCAAGGAGGCATGTAGCTCCTCAACACCCCGCTCATCAACAAAGTCATGTAGAGACTTCTGCTCTTCATCGCCAGGTCTGAATGACGCGTGAACGATAGTCCCGCGGAGCAGCTCTAACGTGTTTCTGAGCTGAGCATCAGCAGCATCTAGGTTTTTTAGTGCCACTGAAAACTCATCACGACCTCGGTATGATATCTGTTCGACCTCGGTACGAACATCGTATAGAAGCCGGAGTTGCCCATTAAGGCCTCGGCGTAAGAAGCCTGTTCGGGAGCACAAGACAACACTTTTCTCTAGTGCTGAGTGTGACGCAGTGACTATTTCATTGGCTCGCCAGACATGGGTAATGGAAGATAGCGAACGTTTGGCACCCAGCAGATAAGAGATCAGAGTGTCAACCTGGGGTAGGGACTGTTGGTCCCCCTCGTTCAGTCCAACCTGCGGGCGAATAGACGATGAAGAGGACTGCAATGACGCCATTTTGAGAATATGTAAGAATTTGTGAGAATCAATGAACCCTGTCAATGGCGCATTCGGACTGAGATAAGACGAGGGTTGAGGACCAGGGTTGAGGAATAGATAGACCTCTCAGGGGTCTCAGGGGGTGAAATTGACACAGCTACGAGGGAAAGGGGCTGATTGCACCACTTTCGCTTGACCAAAACTCAGGGACATTCCAGTATAGGCCTATATTTACCAAATCAGACTGTTGTAAACTTAACCACAACCAGAGGTAGATGGGGAAATGGCTACTCTGTGGCCCATAGACCTGGGAGCTGGGTGTCATGAGGACCTCGGAAGCCCGGTACACTGGGTCGGGGCCGTGCTCTGCACAGTAGACCGAAAGTGAAGCACGAGCTCCAGCCCAGAAATGGCTTGCAAATAAAGGGATGAAAAACAGCCTCTTACCAATGTTTTTTTGAGTCGTTCTCGGTCGAGACCTGATTCCCTGGGAACAACTTAAAATTTAGACACGGCAAGCCGTCCACAAAAGGTTTAGATAGACCGTAGTAGGGTCCACGGGTGTATGGTAGTAACCAACAAAGCTGGGGGGCAGTGGGTCTCACAAAGGGTGAGTTGTCGGTGTGAGATGGCTGCGGGACTAGCCTCAATGATACAGAAGATAAGATGTGCCCCGTTTCACCCCAGTTAAAGCCAGTGATAGCGAATCAACCTGTCGGATGCGTAGGAAGTGATCGATTGAGGTGCGATGGCGTGGAGATGGCGCCATGCGGATCATAATCACGTGCAGTCTCACCGCCCAGATCACGTATTTGCCGCCCTGCCGCTGTCACGCAATTCCCCGGACTCATCGATGGCGATTGCGAAGACACTTTCAGATTGTGCAATTTTCCCAGATCCTGAAGAATTCTCTGATTTAAAACCCTCTTGTCGATCCCATTTCTACTTTTTACTTTTTCTTTATTTTCCCAGCCAATTTCAGTCAAGCTTAATATCGCTATTATCTCAATCTTTTTATCAGGGTACTCATATCGCCACAATCGATAGCCCTTGACTCTCCCCTCTCTCCGATACTGGGAATTTTTCAAGGACACTCATCGCAACATTGATTGACATTTTCCCTCCGTACTCCTCACTACAAATATTTCAAATTAAGGGAACAGGGATATTCGCAAATCGATTTATTCTGATCTCGGTATACCAGACGCGACCGTCACTCGCCGCCTGAGCGGCCGTCTCCCCCCTCTCACACCGCGCGAGACCGGATCATTCACCATGGCCGATGTACCAGAACCCTCGTCTACACAGCAAAGCCTGGTTCTCGCGAATTCGGGGGTCAGTGCGAACGCCGACTCTAGCCGCTCTCTGCAGCGCAAAGACACCGACAGCACCACACAAACCCCGGAGGAACTAGCGAGGCAGAATGTGGCTCCGTTTCTCGCAAAATATCAGCCGCGACAATATGCGCCGTTCCGCTCGCAAGTTTCAGCTCCATCCGAGCAAAACTTAGTAAATGCTAGCTACTGCTATCGTCATCAACCGGACTCAAAATGTGGCAGACGCCAAGCCGATGAACAGTCAATGACCCAGCTGCAGTCCGACCTAAATTTACTTCCTCAAAGTGATCAGCAGGGCATTGCCCATGTGTGGTCCTTGTACTCCGCCGCTCCAGCAAAGCAGCGAACTCTCATGCTCCAGGGAATTTTGGCGCAGTCATGCTTCCCCCAGCTATCCTACATCTCCGCCAGTGTCCGTGAACTCATCCGAATCGATTTCCTCGCTGCCCTCCCCCCAGAGCTGTCCTTCAAAATTCTCCGTTACCTCGACACGGCCTCCTTGTGCCGAGCAGCACAGGTTTCTCCCCGCTGGAGAGCCCTCGCCGATGATGATGTGGTATGGCACCGAATGTGCGAGCAGCATATCCGCCGCAAGTGTAACAAGTGTGGCTGGGGTCTTCCTCTTCTGGATCGCAAGCGTCTGCGCGAAGCCAAGCGTGAGATTGAATTGCGCGCCACCAATTGGGGTAACAACGAGCCTACCGTTGGATCTACTGAAGCTGCAATGGTCGAATCTTGCTCAACAGTTGTACCTGCAGCCAGTGGCAAACGCAAGATGGAATCCGATGAAGTTTCCGCTCTTGCAAAGCGCCATTGTGCTTCGCTTCCCCAGACCCCTGAAGAAGACGAGGGTTACTTCAAAACCCGTTACCGTCCTTGGAAGGAGGTTTATCGGGATCGATTTGTTGTCGGTATGAATTGGAAGCACAAGCGCTGCTCAGTCAAAGTCTTCAAGGGCCACAGAGACAGTGTCATGTGTCTGCAGTTCGAGGACAACATCTTGATGACTGGGTCCTATGATGCTACTGTTAAGATCTGGGACACAGATACTGGCGAAGAATTAAGAACCCTCAAAGGCCACGTTGCTGGAGTGCGCTGCCTCCAGTTCGATGACACCAAATTGATCACTGGTAGTCTGGATCGCAGCATCAGAGTCTGGAATTGGCGCACGGGCGAATGTATCTCCAAGTACAATGGCCACGCCGAAGCGGTCATCGCCCTCCACTTTGATTCCACTCTTCTTGCATCCGCCTCTGTCGATCGCACTGTCAAAATCTGGAATTTCAAGGACAAGTCTACTTTCGTTCTTCCCCACCCACAGGGAGTCAACGCTGTCAAAATCGACTCGGCTTCGCGTACAGTTTTGACCGCTTGCGACGATGGTGCCGCACGCCTTTGGGACCTGGACACTAAGACTTGCATCCGAGTCTTCCACAACCACATTGGAGCTGTTCAGCAAGTTATTGCTTTACCCCGAGAAATTGAACTGGAGAATCACCTCGCCGACTGCGAGAATGACCACGTCAGCACATCTTCTCAGAACGGTGACAACATCATGAGCACGCTTTCCCCTCTTCTCGAGGCCAAGTCCCTGTCTCTCCAGAATTCACCCTTCGGCTCCTCTTTTGACCAGGATCAAGGCCGCATTGAACCCCCACGCTATATCCTCACCAGCGGCGTGGACACAACCATCCGATTGTGGGAAACCAGCACCGGAAGATGCCTTCGTACCTTCTTCGGTCATTTGGAAGGTATTTGGGCTCTTTCTGCTGATACCCTGCGGATTGCCTCTGGCGGCATGGATCGCATGGTCAAGATCTGGGATCCTCGTGTTCCTACTGGTCAAGATACCTATGAAGGTCACAGTGCAGCTGTCAACTGCATTGGCCTGAGCGACAGCCGCTTCATCACTGGTGGTGATGACTACCAAGTTCGCATGTACGATTTCCGGGCTTAGAGTGTCCCATCCTTTTTTTTTTTCCCTTTGTCTATCAAAAGTACACTTTTTGATTGGAACTTTTCTACTATTACAAGATGGGGCGTATTACTGCGGCGCCGCCATTTTCTCTGTTTCTTTTTTTCTTGCATCTCCGGTGGATGGATGGATACCCTGGCGCATTTGAGAACAGTGGCTGTGGCTCAAACACCGATTTAGCCTCACATATGGCCACTGACTGCATCACAGGCGCAACTTGATTTTCATTTTACTGCTTTTCCCTCTCTTCAGTTATCTATCTGAATTGTGTTAATACCATGTGCCCCTGTTTCAATAGGACCATCAATGAATTTGAATGAATACCTGATTTTTACATACTCCGTACTAGTTAGTTACGCTTATACTACTACTGTACGTGGTTGGGTAGAAGACAACGGGACGGCCCCACCGAGACGGGGGCTAAGACCGTTTGAACTGGCCTGAGGATTGAAGGTATCAAGACAAAAAGGTTGGTTGCTTCACTATAACTTGAACAAGGATGGCCGCTTATCCGGCCTCTGCCGTTGATGATGTAAGACCAATACTTGAATCTATCATCATGGTATTAGGGATGTTAGATATAAGAAGCCTCTGATGGTTTCACCGCTTGCATATCCGTTAAGGTTTCTTTTTACTAAACCTTAACCCTACCTAGGTACACTATATCTTGTTTCGTCGGCTCCTATCTGTCAGCTAAGAACCTCATCGAAAAGGAATGACTGGTAAACCGTCCTCAGTTGTGACCGCTCCAATTTAAATCTTCACAGATTCAGCCGAACTACGTTTTTGACGAAGGTCCGCGTCGCTATATCCACCAACGGTGTCGCCTCCCTGCTCAAGTATCACATTGAATATTGTGTTTGATCAATTGATGCAATGGATACATCGCGAGATTGTGTGTATTTTCTATGTTGGAATCGTATATTGATTTGAATGGATGGAAATTGCTATTGATTGTAGGATTGCTATTGTGTGTGTTCCAAAGTTATTGTCTCCTGTTGCTACAGTTCCCTCATCGAGACATGAATACAATTCAATTCTATTCAATTCTATTCAATTGTTCCTGCTATTAAGATTTGGTACTATTATCTACAACAGCAACCAACTGACATCTTTTTCACCTTCCTATCTGTGGACTACTGCTCCATATTTAAATGGATGTCATCTTATCTTCACTTTTACTTTGCTTCCCGGTGTACAGTTCTATTTTGAATGCTTTGATATCAACATTGCTTGTCACCACGACTATCTTCATACTTCTTTTCCATGTCACCTAAGCGTCTCAGGACATCGATTGATACGTCCAAGTCAAACTCAGCACATGAGCGAGAGTGCTTTTTTTTCCTTCAAGAGAACCTCAAATGTGTGGCTTTCAATGCCACAAAATTCTCAGTTGATTTAATCTGACCAGGTTGTATGCATTGCTTGCCTCAGACTTTTACGTCCATGACTTTGTTAATCAAACCGCAGCTTCTTCATACCTCGCAGCTGGCTATTCGCCATGGCATACTCCCCCGAGAGACTCGTGCGGGCCCATCAGCTCTTTGGCCGTCGCACGGGCAAATTCTGCATGCTTCCACACCTCGCTGGCCCATATCACTTGCGACAACGTGCCTCCAAGCGTGCCGCTGCCATTGCGTCGTGGCATGACAATGACGAAGATGAAGACTACTCGCCTTCCAACAAGCGAACACCGACCAAGCGCAAGCTGTCTTTTTTCAATGGGGGTGATGAAGACACTCGATCTGACAAAAGGGCTCGAAGCATGTCCCCAACTTCTACGCTCCGCGCTAGACTGAGCCCAGATCCGGGAAGAGAAGATTCCGTTTCCCCTTCAACACCCTCGCCACATAGTGAGCCCGACAGCTGGGACAGATACTGGGCCGTCAATCTCGAGATAGAAACACCAAATTCACGATACAGCCTTCGAAGTCGCAACAAGGAATCGCTGTCAGACTCACCTCAAAAGAGCGACACAGCCAATGTCGAGACATCGGCATCAAAGCCAACTGACGATGTTGTGCCTGCCAATACCGAGCTTCCGTTGAGAGTGTGCGATGCCTGTAAAGAAATAGGCTTGGAATGCTCGCTTGCATCTGACCCCGATCCATTCGCATATCCTTGCACAACATGTGAAGTCGATGATGTCTTTTGCGTCGTGAGCCCACCACCCAAATGGAAGCGATCATGCGAGATCTGCAAAGGTCGAAAGCTTTGTTCATATCGGTACGCTGATTACGACCATTCCCAACCTTGTCTCGAATGCCGAAATCATGGCTTCGAGTGTGTTGCTGGACCAGCTAGACATCCACCCTTTGGACTCTTTTCCACAAGTGAACCAAGTGAGCCAAGCAGTTCTCCAAAGGTCGATTCTCCAGAAACCTCCAACTCACTCCATGGTGGATCCCCACAACCCGACGTTTCTGAGTTATCCAAGACGAGTGAACAAATCAGTTTCCAAAAGATCAATTCTCCACCAAGCTCCAACCCACCACATGGTACCCAAGAGGTCGCCGCCATCGAGGTATCCAAACCACCCAGTCCTTCTGCCATCCAACCAAAGGTTCAGACGTCAGAGACTAATCCCACAAAGAACAATTGGGAGCTCCCCTCCCCTCCATTCAGCCAAGCACAGCCATCAGTTGTTGAGGCACCGAAGCCACATGAGGTGATTGTTCTCACTGATTCAGACGACGACACCCCAAAGACCCCGAAGACCCCGAAGAGGAAGCCCTCACCGATTTATATCTCTGACTCCCTTGAGTCACCCACTCACACCACCGTCTCCAACCCAACTGTCTCCAACACCATTGCTTCGCAGCCCGCGAACATCCATCGAATCTGGACCGAACTTGCTCATCCTGTGGTTTTTCTTGCAGATGACAGTGATGCATCTCCCCCCTGCCACTGGTGCAACAACTTTGCGTATGGCATCAATGGCCTCGGTCCTCGTAACCCAGAGGTCTGGACCGTTGACAACGGCACGATCGTTGAGCTTCAGGATGGCCATACCGGTGAAGGAAAAGAGCAGAGTCGGATGTGTTTCTCCTGTACATGGGATCGATGCAAAATCATACAATGCTCCCACAACACCCTCGATCGACTCCCCATGCCTTTGTCCCCCAAAGACGCAGCACGAAATGATGCTGTAACACTTCTACGCCAAGCAACTGATGCTATGACTGATCCCGAAACTGGGAAGGCTGGCCCTTATTTCCCGAGTCCCATTTACGAATGGTGCAGCCTGTGTCGAGAGCCCGCATTCGGGTCTTGCCAGGCACTTCAACCAATTGATGCTTACGCAGAGGTCGTGAACTGTGATGAAGAATCCCATGGTTGTGGACTGATGCTCTGTGAGTACTGTCTCGACCTCACCAAGCGATTCAAAGGTGACCTCAATGCTGTCGTTGCATGGGGTCGCAATGATCAGTCTAACCCCATATCCTACCGAGCTGATGTGGAGTACCTCCTTTCAGGAGCGGAGAACAACACCATGTACAAGCTTTACATGGAGGAGCGTTGATTTACAGGTTGTTTTCTATTTTTCTTCTTCTTCTTTTCTTTATGTACCTATCTCACCATAGCTAGGCTTGTTCATGAACGGCAGCAGCTAAGTGCAGCTGAGAAAATGCAAAAATGTCTTTAATTTCAATTTTGTTTCTGAACGATATGCTCACAAAGCTACTAAACCCATAAGTGTTTGGATATTTTAATCTGTTTGACGAGTTGTGCACGACAGTGAGGGCACTTGTGCCCTAATCCATTGCTAACAATAGGTCAATAGCACTGCATAGGATGGTAATAGCACCATAATTGGAAGAGTACAATAGCTATTGACAATCAATCCTATTCACGAGTCCCTCCTACGGTGCGAACTACTCTGAATAGTGTATCTTCAAGTATAAGTAAGGGCTTCACACCTCCAAGTTTCTAATCTTTCTACTCTTCTTCCCATACATCTTTCATATCTTCAGTTCATATCTTATTCTACTTGTACTCTTACTTATTTTTTTTTTGTTCACCAATTGTCTTTAACTTTCATCCATAGATGCTGGTCGTCTGCATGTGGATAGCCCTGGGGTTCGTTTCCGCTCCGGAAAAAAAAATTACTAAACTTCAGATTTTCTGCCAGTTGAATTCGCTCGCTCACATCCCCAAATCCCCTTGTACTTCCACCAAAAGGAAGTAAGGGTGCTGCTTTGATCCTATCTTCTATTTTCCCCTGGTTGCCCCGAGCTGCGACACGAGGTGCGCAGCTCATCGCCACGACGTCTTCACCAAAGAGACGAAAAGTTTCCCCAGAGCCTCGCACCAGTCCAGGCCTTCGGGCTCGACGTCACGGCCGCTCCGAACCTCCACACTCTCGCCACACATCCTCATCTTCTTCCCGCGGCCAGAGTTCGTCGTTGTCCCCGCCTCGCTACGTGCCTGCGCATCTGCAGTTTCAGTCCGGAAGCCCGCCTGGCCGCTCGCTCACCCCCGCGACCGCGACCGCCGGACTCACCCTCTCCAGCGACCATTCCGACATGCCCTCCGATACTCGAGAGGGTACACCTCCGACCCATGGACGATCCCCTTCTCCCGGCGAGAAGCGCCCGGCATCTGAGATTACCGACTCCGACCCTGAAGGAGGCGTGAGTACTGTCGGCAATAACGCGCGCACATACATCATTCCCCGCACATGCGATGACACAAACAATGAATCGACAGATCCCATCACTTCAAGCAATGACAAGACCGGGTCGGCATCCTCGGCTGGCGAGCAGTCCAGACCAGCATCGCCCAAATCAGGCGATCTTCCTACGATCGATGAGCAGGTGGCTGAGGTGAATGCGCTGATGGAGGCACCGTTGAAAGATGGACAAAAGGGATTTGTGGTTTCAATGGCTTGGCTGAAGAAGGTGCTTGCACGTACTACGGCTCATGCAGATCACACAGATAAAGGATCATTGGATGGAGATATTGGTCCTGTCAACAATTTGAACATAATGCTCGACACCGACCCAGCCACGCCCAGCTTCAAAGACGAAACTGGTGAAATGTTTGTGCCTATGCGCCCTGGTTTGCACGACGCTCTGGATTTCGCAATAATTCCGCAACATGGCTGGGACCTGATCCAGAAGTGGTACGGCCTCGCCGACCAGTCACCTGTGATCATCCGCTACGCCCACAACACCAGCCAACCCGGTGATACTGCAAAGATTGAATATGAGACTTATCCTCCAATTTTCACCATTTTCAAATTGGCCAACCCCGCCGCGGGTACCACCCCGACCATCTTGAGACAAACCATTAAGCCGTCTGTCAAGATCCTGGCCAGTCGCCAGACCAATTACCAAAAATGGTTGAAGGATGCCAAAGAACAGACTGGTATCGATATGTCGACCAAGGTTCGAGTTTGGAAGATTCTTCAGCTACCTCGTAGCACTACTGCATCAGCTTCAGCAACCCCAGCGGCCTCCCGCAGCCAATCACCAGCTCCCCCATTGGCTCTGGTCTCGAACCCCAACGACAAGCTCCTTTTCGATTTGAATGCTTTCCTCGAACTTCCAGAGGGAAGCCACCGGGTGTTGCTTGAAAATGTCAAGGATCAAACTCAAAATGCAAACTACAACGGTCGTATGACCTTGGATATGGCTGGTCTCAGTGTGACGAATTGCGTTGTTCTTGAGGAACAGGTTGGCGGATACAAAGGTGGAGATTGGGTGTCTGAAGCGTCTGTCAAAACTCTCAAGAGTCTGGGTATCCCTGTGGATCAACCAAAGAACGATGCTGTCGCCAAAGCATCTGCCGCTAAAGCTGCGCTGAAGAGCACACAACCCAGTGGCAGATCTACTCCTACCTCAGGACCCGATCCAATCAGTGGGCTCATCTCTCGAGGCCGGAAGGGTAAACAGCTTATCGTGGGATTGCAAAACCTTGGCAACACTTGTTACATGAACTCCGCGTTGCAATGTGTGCGAAGCATTGAGGAGTTGTCTTATTACTTCCTCAGTGAGTATACACATATTACTCTTGGATTCTGCCAACGAGGTCTTTCAATGCTAATCTTAATCTGCAGGTGGAATGTACAAACCAGAGCTGAATCCTACCAACGTCCTTGGATGTGGCGGTACCATTGCCAAGCAATGGGCCAACTTGCTTCAGGAGCTCTACAAATCGGACCCTCAGCCAAGATCTGTCAACCCTTACAGGTTTCGTTCTGCCGCTGGTCGGCAACGTGAAGACTTTGCTGGCTATGAACAACATGATAGTCAGGAATTTGTGATGTTTCTCCTTGATGCACTGTCGGAAGATCTAAGCCGCATCGTTGGCAGCAAGCCCTCTACTGTCATCCCTGATTCGACCGATGAGATGATTCACGACCGCAAGGCTCTTGAGGATTTCGGAAAGAAGTGTTGGGACCTCTATGAGGCTCGCAACGCCTCCGTTATCACCGATCTATTTGCCGGAATGTACAAGTCCACACTGATTTGCCACAATTGTGAAAAAACCAGCATCATCATGGATCCTTTCACAATGGTCACTGTGCCCATCCCAACGGGTCCGACGCTCATCAACCGAACCATTATATTCTACCCTCTTGATGGCCCACCCGTGTCTCTGAAAGTCCGGCTCGATGAACACGATACCTTGAGGACCTGGAAAGACTTTATCGCCGAAAAGATGGGGATTGATGGGGAACGAATCTTTGCGGCAGAAACATTGCACAATTCCTTCTGGCAAACATTTTGTGACGATGACGATACTTTCGGCAGTCTACGCATTACTCAAGAAGACACCATTGTGTTCTTTGATCTTGGACCTCTCCCAGCATCTACTAATTCTTCCGACTCTACCTCCAATGACGATGCAGTCCTTGTACCCGTCTTCCATCGCAAACTTGTTCCACGCAAGAACAAAGAGGCCACTCATGACCTTTTCGGAATGCCATCCTTCATACGTCTTTCTGGCGAAGAGACTCAAGATCTTGAGGCCATTTACCACAAACTCCTCACTCAGGCCAATAATATGACTACACACGACATTCTGGCTGCCGAAGAAAACAGCCACGACGATAATGCAACTGATGACTCTGACACCGTAGTCACAAATGAGGATGATGCACGATCGGCAGATTCCCGAATCAAAACATCTTCGGTTGACGGTGAAGACAGCATGGTTGACATTTCTATGCAAACTGAGGCGTCAAAGTCTGCAGAGGGCACTGATGAGTCGGACTCTGACTCTGACTCTGAATCTGTCAAGTCCCCTCAGCATCCTCTTGCTGGCAAAATTCCTGCCAATTTGTTGTCACTCTTTGATGTAACGGTCATGAGCACAAACGCTACTCTGCCTGACGGACGCAATGTTTCCGCCATGAAAAAATACCCCTCCATTTCCTCTCGCATCCCATCTCCTCCTACTTCTATCAAGGTTTGTTTATTCCGTCTTGTCGGTTCAGATACAACCCGCTAATATTTGCCAGGGATCCGATGCTTCATCCAAAATCTCCGCAGATGACAATCTCGATGAAGACGTCGATACAGATGAATCAGATTCGACACCAAACTCAGCACTCTCGCTTGTTCGACAAGGTGATGCCATTCTTCTTGACTGGTCTTCCGATGCCGTTGACTCTCTTTTCGGCGGCAAGCCTCGTGACCCTGAGGAGCTCCGTGGTCGCCCTACCCACATGAATATCAAGAATGTCTTTGATCACGCCATGGTGGTAAGCCAGAAAAAGCCGAAGCCATCAAATGTCACTCTCGACCAATGCCTGGATGAGTTCAGCAAGGAGGAGATTCTTTCTCGGGCAGACAGCTGGTTCTGCCCTCAGTGCAAGACCCACGTTTCGGCCACCAAGAAGTTTGAGCTTTGGAGAACCCCGGATATTATGGTCGTTCAGCTCAAGCGGTTTAGCCAATTCCGCGGCAGGAACGGGCACAAGATCAGCACTCTCATCGACTTCCCCTTCGAGGGACTAGATTTGAGCAGCCGAGTGGAAGGCCCCATGGATGGAAAGAGTGCGGTGTACGATTTGATTGCTGTCGACAACCACATGGGTGGAATGGGTGGTGGTCACTACACTGCCTACATCAAGGACTTTGTCTCTGGTGCCTGGGTCTATTGCAATGGTTCGATACCTCCCGTTGATAAATTAGTTATGAGATATCTTACTGACCTGAATTTCAGATACCTCTGCAAAGAATGTCACAAACATGCAGTCGATCATTACGGCGGGTGCCTACCTCCTGTTCTACCGCCGTCGCTCCGACCATGCACTGGGCAACCAGGAGCTGCGGGAGCTGGTTGAAGGCTACCGGAACCGCGAGGCGAGTGTTCCTGGCAGTCCCTCCCGCTCCCGCAGTCCCGGTGGTTCCCAATCGCTTTCGGAGGACGGCGGTCGTATCCTTGGCCTCGGACCCCGCAAGGGGTCATCTGCCTTGGCCGGAGCAGGAGTGGCACCCCGAGTGAGCCGGGGGCAAGACTCCCTCGGCAATGACCTGTACTCTTCTGCCGAGGAGAGTACTTCGGACTCGGAAGATGGTGGCAGCGAAGGTAAGAAAATCGACTTCGAGCACGAGAACGGGGGATCGCAGGTCGACTCCCTCAGCAAGCTCACGGAACCCTCTTGGTCGTTCGACGCCGCTCACGACATCTCACAGATAACGGGTGGTAATACTGCGACCGAAGATGGCATTTTCGAGGGTCGATGTTCATGGGGTGATGGCATGGACATCGACCCTCAGTTTCAGCTTGGTCTCACTTCTGGGGGGGAGGGGGAGGATTCCTCCGATGATCTCCCAGTCGTGGAGCTACGTGTGGGGTCTGAGGACATGATGTCCGAGGACCCATGAATATTATGAACAAAAAATAAAATCAAAACCCCCAAAAAAAAGGGTAGGGGGAGGTGGATGGGGGGAAAGGGGGGTGTTTTTCTACATAAAGGGAGGGGGGATGGGCAGGTGGCCCATACAAAATAAAAAATATGTTTCTTGTTTTATTTTCAATCACATTCTCAAAGCAAAGTAAGATCAATTCCAACCCCAGGCCAATGTAAAAATCCAGCAAAGTAAAGATCCAGCGAAGTTAAAGAGAAAGTGAAGACTTCACTCAATCACTTCTATCACTTCTTCATCACACAACTATCAGCTTATTCGCTAAGGTCCTGTATCTAGAATAAATAGGCTGGCGGTGACCTCTCTCATAGCAAGTTGCACTAATATTACCGGGAATCAACTATACGCTCAGTCTTCATCGTCAGCAGCTGCTAATGTGTCCATAGAAGGTGACCTCATTCTATGTAGCTCGGCGGATTTGTTCTTTCTTATCCCATTCTTATCTACTTATAGCGGTTTAGTTAACTACCAGACACTATTTCAAGATCTACAGGTAAGTTAGTCATAAATGTAGACGTAGCTGTTTCAAGATTGCTACAACTTTCACAAGCAGCGTTTCAGTACTAGGCGATATCAAGACTATCACCTATGACTCAACAAATTCTTCCTAAAATCATTCCAGTAGCACATCCTGTAGTATAGAAGACTCTGTATATAAATTTCCATAGACCTATAGCAATGTGTGCCGTATATATACTCGTGGCTTTCAATCAATAGAAGGGAAGGTGTCCAACCACATGGAGTGAAATTCCACAGGTCGTACAGGAGGGCTTTTGCAACCAAATAAAAGATTGACTAGCACCCTTATCACCCTTAGAATTATTTGCATTGGATCTTAGCACATATTCATGTTCTAATGTCATATATCGGTTCCCTTATCAAAATACATCGTAATCAAAGTCACCTAGGTGTTTGGAGCGAGGAACTCCCATTATTGACTCTATATGGGAAGCATAGTATGAACAGATCATGTGTATATGAAGATGAAGTTATGTGACACAGGGGCCCTCTTGTAAGGAAAGTGCCAACCCTGCAGAGTCCCTCCTTCCATATTAGGGCTGGGTGCGTGCGATCAATCACCTCTACGCAGCTAGTACCCCAATTGCCACGCTTACCTCCATTCAATCGCCTATCCTCCATCCATCCACGCACTTATTCCAATATGAAACGCACCGCACCTTCTCCAAAACGTCGGGGACTCATTAAACATGACCCTTGCCAACTTGATCCCCAGCTATCAAAGCTTTGTCCAGAGGTTATTAACGTCAGCCCAGCCAGTGCTAGGTCGATGATCGAAAAGATCAACTCCGAGCACGCTGATAGACACTTGGCTTTCCGAAGCACGGGTGACCAACTCGAGCTTCTGAGGCTCGAGGCCTTGCGTCTCAAGATATTGGAGTCCACGAAACCCAAATTGACTCCAGAAAATGAGATGTCTTCTCAAAACGCAGCCCGCGTTTCAACTGAGAGCTTGAGTTCCAATGGAGAACCCGGTCCCACGGTCCCAAACTCGATGCGAACCTCGATGCGAACCCGTGCTTCGGTCCTGAGCGAAAGTGAGATCAGTGTTCTTGATCTCGGACCCAGTCTTCACTCTACCCATCTCTCAGCTCGAAACTCTCGCCGCAACTCATCCTCTGCAAGCCCTCATACCGGCATTGGTCTCGCCCGTACCACTGCTCCCAGCTTTATGCCAGGACCTGGCAGCGACACTTCAGAACAACAAGTTGAACTCCACCTCAGGACAGATGAGCTTGAGTCTGTCGCTCTCACTTCTGCCAGTGGTTCTGTTAACAACGATTTCCCTCTGAATCTACGTCAACGCCGCCAGAATCGACCCCACATCACTCTGCCCAGCCCCCAGGAGCTGCGCACTCATCGAGTAAACCGTTCATTTACCATCAGTGGTGCTCATAGTTCGAGAGATGAATCTGCCTTTGACCACAGCCCTAATTCCTTCACCGACGAGCCCATTCGCCGGATTTTCTCGCTCTCTGTTCCACAATCTCCCCAGTCCCCGGCCCCACCACCCCATCCAACCCTACGACGTTCTCAGAGCTCGTTCAGTGGGATGGACCCGGCATTTTCAGCTATGCGTAATGCAGAGCGAGCAAAGAAAAATGCACGCGATGCTGCAGGCTCTCGGGATACCGATCGCAAGTGAGACACAAGACGCATAAACGTTGAGGTACCAGATATGAGGGTCATTTCATGGGAGGAGAAAGGTTTATGGACTTTGATGCTTGTGTAAGGCAGGGCGGAACAATATCTGAGGCTTTGAGATATGAGAGTCGGTTATGAGTTCTAGGACCTTGCAAATGTTCGCATTCGAGGCTCTTTGCTTTGAGCCTTTTGTCATGCATGCAAGCTTCGGCACACATCACCTGTTTATTAGCTGATCACTCTTAAATGAAGTTGATTTCAAAGTCCTTGTTGTGTATAGTAGCTTCTTTATTTCGGGAATATATTTCTAAATGAGAAAAATACTTTAATAATAGCATGGGTATGGTATGAGGTTGCATCAAAATATACATCAGCCGCTTTTGGATCATTATTTAGTGACGTTGCGACCGACTGGAACCATCGCAGCCATTGTATTCTGGGACAAAAAAAAAAACATCTACCAGCCTACTTTGCAGTTTTCCTCAGTTGTCCTTTCTTTACACTGTCTTCCCCATACTCTATCCATGAATATTGAGGGCCAAGCCTCGTTCGTGACGTAATCGCTAACACCGCCTTGCACCAGCCACACCACGACTTCCCCCCCGCAGATCCCCAGGCACAGCTTCTCCAACTCTGTTTCCAGTACTAGTCGGCCTTATCAAGCCTTCATACCTTCATAATGTGGAACGACGAAGACAACAATCCCTACGGGGCCTTTGACCAACATCAGTCTGGCCTATCTGACTCCCTACATTCAGCCGCACTCTCTCCCCGTAAGATCTCTCGGTTCCTACCCTAACGCTACTGCCTTTGGATCAGTGTCTGACAGCAGCTAGCTCTCTACGAACATGACTCAACCCCTCCATCCAGCCGCGACTCCAGCAGCGAGCCTCCCGATTATATCACCCACACTGAAGACCTCAGCGATCCTGAAGATGAGGCCGAGTATGGTGCCTCCAGTGAACAATACCATCGGAAGAGCGTCTATGACAGCCGGATTGAGCAGATTCTTTATGAAAACCCCGAGATGCCAATCTTGATCACGGATGCCGGGAAAAACCATGAGGGCGGCGGGGGCTTTATTGTTTACACAATTCGGACTGCGGTATGAGAATGGTGCCCGACGGAGGACTGTACAATGCTGAGTGTTGATAGGACCTGGAAGTGCGCCGTCGATATTCCGAGTTTGCATCACTGCGACAGACCCTGGTCAATTTGCATCCTACCTTGGTCGTTCCGCCAATTCCCGAGAAGCATAGCATGGCGGACTACGCAGCCAAACCCACCAGAGCCAAAGATGATATGGCCATTATAGATCTCCGAAAGCGCATGCTCAGTGTGTTCCTCAACAGATGCAGGCGTATGAAGGAGATTCGCGAGGATGGAGTGTGGTGGAGATTCCTTGATCCCAACGTCAGCTGGGTGGGTTTGAACTGGATGTTTCTGGTTACTAGTTTATTAACTAACATTTGCTCAGAGTGAGGTTTTGAGCTCCCATCCTGCAGCATCGGTTCCGAAGAATAACCTGAAAGCACCGCCTCTTGACCCCGCAAATCCCACACCAGCCCATGGCTGGCTTCCGATTCCGTCTACATCCGCAAAGCTCAAGCCCAGCGGGGGGACTACCACAGCTGGTGGAACCGCAGCATCGCCCACGTCGCCGACTGAGCCAGAGCCGCCCTCATTCCCTGGACCTGAGATGCTTGGGCGGTTCCCTCCTGAGTCCCGCAAGCTTAGCGAGGAAGAACTGGATCCTTACTTTATTAATTTTGAAGCGTCTACACGGGAGCTAGAACTACTTTTGCAGGGCAACATCGAGAAGGTTAATCGACGAACTCTTTCACATTTGTCTGGGCTTTCAGCCGACCTGATGGAATTGGGAGCGCGTTACAACGGATTCTCTCTTTCAGAACAGTCACCGACAGTGGCTGCTGCTATTGAGCGGATCGGCCAGGCTGCGGATACTTCTTATATTGAAACCGAAGAACTATCCTCGGCTTTGAGCGCAAGTTTTGCGGAACCTATGCGGGAGAGTGCTCAGTTTGCTAGTGTCGTTCGCGGAGTTCTACGATACAGAGTGCTCAAGCGGGTACAACAAGAAATGACTCGCGATGAGTTGTCGAAGAAAAAGACTCTGTTAGACTCCCTTGAGCGCAGTGAACTCGAAGCTAAGCGCATTGAGCAATATCTCAACCGCACCAACCCTCATTCTGGAGGAACGAAACCTCGTTCTCAGTCAACCTCATCCGCTATCAGCAGCGAAGGGGGCAATGGCCCTGTCATGTCATCTGACTCAGGCTTCCCATCTACTCACGACGATTCCATGAGCCCTGCACCTGGGTCGCAGATCGGAGGACTCAGGAGGTCTGACCCGTCAGTACCAGGCTCCCCCGCCCATCGGAAGTCATCCAGCGGGACGTTTGTGGCGAACAAAATCTTCGGTCGCATCAGCCATGCTATCCACGGGTTCGCAGATGTAGATCCCGAACGAACACGTCGGGACCAGATTGGCAAGACGAAAGAAAGTTTGATTCAGGTATGTGGAAAGTGGAGTAGAGTTCTCAAATGGTTCCTAAATTAATCTCGATCTTTAGTTGGAGCAAGCGTTAGAAGTGTCCGAAAAGGATGTCAAGGATGCCAGCGCGGGCGTGCTGAATGATCTCAAACGCTTCCAGAAGGACAAAGAAGCCGACCTGCGACGATACATGGTATGGATGCCCCCCCAGATGATTTAAGACTAAGACTAATATGATTTTCTAGGTTGCATATGCTCGTTGTCACTTGGACTGGGCTCGGAAGAATCTGGAGACATGGACTGAAGCCAGAGATGAGGTGGACAAGATCGTGGCTCGATAGAAAACCATACTTCATCTTCAGCCTGATGGAGTGATGGAGCTTGGCGCTGGCGTTCGGCGGATATCTTTTACTTTTACTTTTTTAACTCGTCACTACTCTGGAATTCGCTGGAAATGCAACTCTGGTATATCTAATTTTCTGAGTCGAGGCCATTTTGTATAGAACGTAGTAGCCCAGGAGGGACAGGGCTTTGTCTTACCTGTGCCTTCGTACCTGCAACCCTACAGGGTTATATTTTTGGAAAAGTCTCAAAAAGATGAGAAAAGGGCTAGTTTCCAGCTCCTGGATATGTTTATATCCGTTTTCATTAAACCCTGGAGAAGTGATGTGCTTGAAAGATAAAAGGACATTCCGAACATATGGACCCATCACTTCCCCTGATTTAAAAAGGACGATCAAAACTGCAACCGATCGGTTTTAAGAGTCACTCATCTCCCTTGCTTGTCAAATTCACTCACTTATGCACGTTACAGTGTGTGACTATCTCGGAGCTTAATGGCCTCACATGCACTCCGTAGTTAGTTTGGTCTAACAGTGATCCATCTTTTGTGCCACAAATCCTTCCACAAATCCTATCCTTCCGCTTCCATCACGCCAAGGTAAACAACCCATCTGTACCTCCTCTACAGACAACAACTTACTCTCGGCATTCCGAAAACCCTGCAGGCATGTCCGATTGTGGACCTCTATTGAGTTACCAAGTGGATCGTGTCGCAGTTCCTTTACCCCTCTGCCTCCTTCATCACCAACTCCACCCTAACAGGGTGGCAACGCCGTGCGTCGACCGAAAACGATGAGTGCCTGGATCCATCAAGATGATCGCCAGGGCCGGCCACTTATCACGGTCGATGTCGCCGTCTGGCCATCACGATGAATTTCAACATCGGTCTTTTTGGAAATTCCCTCGACGCTGGGTTAAGATGCTTTCCTTCCTCGCCTTGATATGTTTCTTCTCTGTCGGTCTTGGTATAAGTATCAAAAGAGACCAGAACTTTGAACATGGTGAGAAGCTACAAGATCTCGGAAATGATCAGGCTATAAGTCGCTTTCCTCCTCCTCGTCAGACACAGCAACATACACACGATCCTACTATTCTCCGTGTGGGCGATGAATATTATCTTTATCATGTCGGCGAACACATCTTTATCCATACTGCGCCGAGTATGGCCGGCCCGTGGAAACATGTCGGCAGTGTGCTGGATGCCAAGAGTGTGATCCCGAAGGGTGACCGTGCCGTTCCCTGGGCCCCGACCGTTATCACCGTCGATGGAACATACTATTGCTATTACAGTGTTAGCAAGGCCGGTTGCCGCGACAGTGCTATTGGCGTGGCTACCTCTAACTCTCCGGGTCCGGGCAACTGGATTGATCACGGCGCTGTCATTGAAACTGGCACGGGCAATGGTTCGGATGTCTATCCTTACACCGCGTCAAATGCCATTGACCCTAGCACATTGGTCACTCCCGATGGACAAGCTTATTTGACTTATGGAAGCTACTGGCATGGGATTTTCCAAGTTCCGCTGAGCAAGGACCTCCTCTCTCCAGCCAGCACTACTGAACCCGATGAGCGTCAGCTGGCGTGGGAGCCGGAATCCCTCGCCGCGCCAAATCGCTTGGCTAACAACATCTGTGGTGACCCAAGCGGTCCCCATCCTATTGAGGGTGCTTTCATCTCCTACAATGATGGATGGTACTATCTCTGGTATAGCCATGGTTTCTGCTGTAACTTGAAGGAAGACAACCTGCCGCCCGCTGGTCAAGAGTAAGTATTGGTGATCAAATAATTTGTTGCTTCATACTGACCTACTTCAGGTATTCCATCCGCGTCGGACGTTCTCAGAATCCCCGTGGGCCATTCACAGACAAGGCCGGGACAGATCTCGTCAAAGGCGGCGGCGAACTTGTTTACGGCTCGAACGGAGAGACCTATGCCCCAGGTGGGCAAGCTGTGATCCGTGATGGCGATACCGATGTGCTCTACTACCACTACTGTGCGTTTAACCCCCCTGAACATAAATACCAGTTTTGAACTTCATACTGACCTCATCACAGTGAACACGACCGTTGGCATTGCATTCCAGGTGAGCTCACACTAAACTATTGGCAGGCTTGTGGACCATGATTGTCATGGTTCATACACCCCTGTCGATCCTCCTTTGTTATCCCTTGCACCATACCCACGAACACCATGAAGATCAGATCTAACACATGTACCCACAGGACGCCTTCCTTGGATTTAATCCGCTCAAATATGTTGATGGATGGCCTATCGCTCAGGCCTGATTTGATCTCCGTTTCACGTCATCCAGTCTTCTATCTATCCTCAACTTTCCGCTTCTCCACCACTATGGATGATCTCGACCAAACCCTGCCACATCTTGCATCCACGTTCATCTCATCCCTGTTCTTTCGAGAATGGATCTCGAATTCTGCACATTTTTGCGTTCTTGTTTCCCACTATGCCTGACATAGTCGCATCGCCATCTCTTTCGCGCTGATAGACTTGTTTTCATCCGCTTTTCCTGACTCCATGCTTATACACATTACCCGTTCTGTTCAAAGCTCCCCGTCTGCATTTCGTGGCGTACAGGTTCTGGTTTGCTCCTGGTATATTTGATCGTTTTTGTTTGGGAATTGTGATTTACCTTACCAATACATATGGTTCTGCGAATGCGAATATAATCTCACTGGTTTCGGTCATATTTATAAAAGGCGAAGCAGACCAAACCGCTGTTCCGATCTAAGAATAAAAATTGTATAATCCAGCCCATACCATACTCATTACCCGACAGGCCCTGTTCCACCTTATCATACAAATATTCTTCCTATGTTTCACGCTACCTCCACATTTTCCTACGTTAGATCCCTAAGTGTTCCGACGTCTCTTCCATGGCCTCAATCCATGATTTAATAACTCTCCTAAACGTGAACGGAGTCTTTTCCGAATTCCGGGATCTTGTTGATGACTGTCCCCCGAGGATGTCGCTACATCCTCCGGAGTCTCTACTTCTGACTGCTTGGAACTCTCGGGAACCTCCGAAACCTCCGGCTGCTGTTCTCCCTGGTTATTGAGTACGCCTGGTGCTCCACCCACTACCTCTAGTTGTTCTTGTCCAAGATTCTCAGAGATTCCAGGCGAGGCTGGGTGATTCTCATGATGATCGCTCACCAGGTCCAATGTCTCTGCTTTCGCCTCCAATTGGGCTTTCTCAGTGATTTGACAAACCTCCGACACCTGTGGCTGCTGCAATTCATGACTGACAAGCGGCTCAGACGTCCCTGCCGAGGCTTCTGATTCCTGTTGCAGACTCCGAGGAAGGTGCGGTAGTTCTTCTGATTGATGGCCATGTCCATCTGGTAAATTTGTTGTCTCGTCTTGCGCCAGCAGCTGCTGTTCATGATTTTCTGACAAGTCCAAAGCACCTTCCGGGACCTCAGGTTGTGGTTGTTCAGGGACCTCCTGAATCCCAGTTATCCCAAGACGTGGTTGCTCGTCACTGATTGGAAGCTCTTGTTCGCTGTCTGGTGCATGATGTGCTAGGGGGAAATCGATTACCCACTCCAATACCACTGAACTTGTGTGCATTGGCCCCTCACGGAGTGTCAAGCGATCGGACGGTCGGAATCGCAGTAGTCCGTCAATTATCGGCAGAAATTGAGCCAGCCTTTCATCATTGGCTGCAATTTCCTTTAGACGACGTGCTAAGGGTAATGTTAAAAGCGTTCTTCACTGTGGAGTGGAGCTAATATGCCGACCTTTGCTTGATGTTCCGTCTTTGGCCAGGTGTTCCTCCAATCCTGGGCCTTCTTTAGCTGACGCTACACAGTCTGCTGGGTCTGGATTTTTTGTTCGAGCCATCTCTATGACTGCTAGGTCTTTGGTTCTTTATATGGCTGTCGTCGGGGCGTTTTCTAGTGCAGAATTTCGTTCAGAAATCAATCGTAGCTCTTCCAGCTTTGACTCCCACTCGATTGGTAAGTCTTCCACAACCCCAACCATGTGCCTTATGTATTCGTAATTGTCAAGCGAATCGGGGAATAGGGGCTTCAGCATTGCGAGTTGATAGATCTGTCACGTATAGTTCAGTCGATGTCATTATGACCATAAGCATTGATGAACACTTACAAAACACCCTGTGTGCCATAGATCAAGACGATGGTCAAACTTCTCTCCCATGATTGCCTCGGGGCATCGAAGATGGACTGGTTGCTTCAGCTTATCTGGCTCCTCTCCGCGGATGAAACTCTTTCCAAAGCCAATGAGACGGATACTCTCAAAAGGGTCATCATCAATAAATCCTGTCCACTTAGCACTTTGTATTATCTCTTTTGGAAGCCCTTTACCTAGGGGCATCCCATCACAGCGCTCTAGTGAAACCACGTGCGGCGATCCGAGAATCTCGAATAGTTCTTTGCTATTGGCAAAGCGTGGCATGTCGGTATACTTGAGGGCGATATTTGCACCACTGATACCTAATGGGATGTGAGCCAGACGCCAATACAGCTCAACTCTTCATTGGAGTTGAAATAATTCATCTTGGAAAGCAGGAAATATTACCTCCATGGCACAATCCCAAGCTGTGCATGTATTGCACAGCATTCAAAAGCCGATGAGTAAGTATATTGGTGGGAAAATATCCCATTTCGAAATAACGAGCGGATTTCTTGAACTCAGTATTTTCGAATTCGAGATAATGACCGTAGTTGTTGAAGTCGATATAGGATTGTTCAATCGATTCGAAGGAGGGACCAACGAATTCTAGCACTAAGCAATGATGCGTCCCATTCGGACCCTCGATGAGAAATGTGTCGAGCATAGTAACAATACTGTGCCTCTTCGGCAGACCTGCCGACTTGTCCCTCAAATATTGCAGGTTTCGAATCTCCCTCGGCTCCTTGATATGCGCGGCCAATATCTTCAAAGCGACCCATTTGGCACCATCCCTCCAAGTCCTTCGGATTGAGGATGTTAGTTGCTGCGTGTGTTTTGAGGAGCTGAAGAGTCTCCATACGTGTTATCTACCGCAAGCCACACTGTCGCAGATTCACCAAAGCCCAACTTATGGTACACTGTGTACTGGCCATCGTGGAAATTATCCCCGAGAATGACTGGGTGAAACCCACCAGGGCAATACCTGTGGATGCCTTTTTCTGTGAACAGAAGAGGATCATGTTTGAAATTATTTATGTCGAATTTGGGGTCTGCGTTGATCTCCATTGAATCTATACAGAACAGCAAGTTTAAGGTAAACAAGAGAGGAGTGGGCGATGCCCGAAATATAAAGACCTCGGGATCCTTTGTTTGATATTTAGTTGGTAGCCCTAAGTCTTGGCCCCTTGAAGTACTGGTTGTATATAGTGGTTCTCTTTGTTGACTTGAGACATCACCTCCTTTGATTCGATTTCATGGATGGCCTAGTATATACTGGCAGTGCTATTTGAAGGATCAAAATGCATAAAAGCCCTTGATTCTCCAATAGCTTATCGATTGTTTGGGGTAAAACACAGGTGACAAAAAAGACCATCGACTACACATGTATCATGCATAATGTGTGGATGAATGCAAATCCATAATACCTAGAGAGCTCCCCCGTCTCTAATTCACGCAGAAAGGTGACAAAAAGAAAGAAAGAAAAAACAATTTGACCTCACCATTTCTGTGCCTCTTTCCAGCCAGAAACCTGACTACGATTGTCCCATCCTGCATCCGAACGTTCGCGCGAGCGGCCTCGGCTCTGACGCATCTTCTCATTCTCCTCTAATTCAATCTGCCAGCGCTCCTTCTTCTTCTTCTTCTTCTTGTCCCGGTGCACATTGCCATCTTGAATTGAGGTTGGACTTCCACCGCCATGGCGGTTTTCTGCATGTTTCCAGGAGTTGGACCTAGATCTGTTGCGGCCGTGATCCCCCCGTTCCTCGTGGTCATTTTGTCCCCAATCGCGGTTGGGGCTTGATCGGCCTCTTGACTTTTGCTCCGGGGACGCATGACGGTTCCCTTTTTTTTTCTTCTGGTAACTCTTCGTATCGTCATCCCCCCGTCCATAGTGGCGGTTACGGCCTTCGTCGGGATAGATGCTCCGTCGCGGGCTGTTCTGCCGTATGCCGCTGTTATTCTGCCCCCAATCACTGCGGGTATCTGCTTCTTTTCTTGACTCTGGATCCGGGGATGTATGGTGGTTACGTTTGCTTTTATTGTGGTAACTTTTCGCATCGTCATCTCCCCATCCATCGTGGTGGTTGCGGTCTTCGTTGGAATGATTGCTACGTGAATGGCTGTCTCGCTGTGCGCCATCGTCACTCTGGCCCCAACTACCGCGAAGGAAATCCGCGTCGTTTCTTGACGCTCGATCTGGAGACTCAGGGCGGCTGTTGTCCCATCGATGGCTCTTTTCCCGTGAGCTATTGTGGTTGTCTCTTGAGCCTCGTCGTGGGGAACCTGATCCACTATTTCTCTGCCCTCCTTGGTCGTCGTTTAAATTGTTGCCCCAATCGTTGTTGTTGTCGTTCTGCCCAGTATTGTCCTGATTATCCCGTGGGGTTTCATCATTTCCCCAGTCATCTCCGCCATGGTTGCTAGTTCGGTCATTTTGTCCTTCTGTGTTTCCCCATGGATCATGCTGCTCGTCCTGGCCTCCCTGGGCAGTGGGGGACTTCTGGTGGTTCTGGCCTTGATTTTTGTTTTTTTGTTTGCGCTGGTTTCGCGTCTTCTTGCCCCGTTGCTCATTCTGACTTTGCTGCTGCTCTCTTTCCTGTTGTTGCTTTTGTTTGTTTTGTAGCGCTCGTTGTTTCCTTTGTTGCCGTTTGGATAATGGGTTCGGCTGCTGGTTCACCGTATGAGGAGGACTATGGGTGTTCGCTCGGTTGGGTCCTTCGAAATGTTGGTCAGAATTGAGGTTGCCAGCAGGGTTTGGCTTCCGGGGGTGGACATACTGTGGTGGACGCACATCATGGGATAGTCCTCGGGTCTTTGGTCGAACCCACCCGCGAGGGGTAAAGTAGGGTCCAAATATGGGGTTATGGGCTCCGTCCGCGGGCTGATAGTTGGCCTGGGCGCGATCTCGGCTTCTTCTGTTGAAGATTTGGCCTTCTTGGTGCATTCGGGCCACATGTGATCGATGCCAAATGTAGAATAACCATGCGAAGAATGGGATGACCAACGCTATCGTCAGAAGAACCGCGACTAGAATATTGTCCTGCATGGTGTAGAACAGCAGTGGCAGAGTGGCTCAAAGTGACGGGTGTAGAGGGCATGCAGCTGAAGTGAGTGCTGGGAGTGAAGATTTATGTGTAGTGCACGTCAAATAATGATAGAATAATGTAGAGTGCAAGTAATGTAGAGTGCAAGATAATTAAGAGGTTGAAGGGAGGGAAGAGGATTGACTCAAGAGCTTAAAAAAGAGATCGAGATATCAGAGTGAGGGAGTTAAAAAGAGACGAAAAGGGAAGAGGTGACAAGGCGAGTGAAGTGAGGAAATGGGCAAGGAGCAGACTCTCAAACATGGCAAACAATATATTGTTCAATGGATATGTATTCTACCTGATGTAGTTATCTTTTCACTTTCAATTCATATTACAGCTCACAGTTCCAATGCAGCTTGGATTCTTGACAACCAATCCCCATGAACTGATGACAATTTCCCTGCGCCTAAGAGGGATTCGAGCGATGCCCGGAAGACGTTTGGCTGCACTCGCAGACTCTCCGGTACTGGGAAGACTTGCGAGCCTAGAGCAGACGAGATGACAATAACCCGAAGGCCTAAGGTGAAGATCTCGGGCTTTGAGACCCAACCAAGAAGTCCATCCGGCTCTTTCTCAGAGCCAACTAGAGAACAGAGATATGTTAATCCGTCAAAGGCCCAGGCAGAAGTTTCGTCCAACGAGAACTTTGTGTATGCCGAGCGAGTCAACTTCAACAGAGCTCGAGACCAAACTTCAACCTCACGCACATCATCGATAAACAGATTCTGTTTCTCCTCCACGAAGAGGACGGTACTCTCTTGGCGATGCTCTGTGATCTGGTCTGATACAGCGACCAAGTAACTGCGTTCGTCGGATCCACTGATCCTTGGCTCTTGGCCAGTCAAATATCGAAGAACTCGTTGCCCGAGGAGTGCGGAATCTGAATAATTATCGATAATGAAGTCGGCAAGCAGAGCGCTTGCATTAAGAGGCGCCAGGGACACATCTGCGTCAGGTGAAACGGATGAGTGTGATAAAACCCAAGAGGCAGCTGATGTAGCCACATCGCGAATTTCGTCGTCATCGTCATTGAGCATGTCGTACAACACAAGATAGACATCTAGTAGCACCGCATCCACGCGTGGCTGGGAACCAGGGGATCTAAGAGCCCGTGAAAAGCTGCCAACAGATACGGCTGCAGCAAAACGGGTTGTGAATTCCTAGAAAACGAAAATGATTAGATTAGTGACTCGATTATAGGACAAGTGCCATGATAAAAACTTACTGTCTCCTCACTCAAGGCAGAGCGAAGCTTGATAGCCCAGCTGTGGACATCGCCTTCAAATGAGGACGAAGCTGACTGATCAACAAATGGCCGGATTGCCAGTAGACAGCCTCGAAGTCGGAGCTCGGCGTCTGTTGCCTCTCGGTTCCAGGCTGTGATATCTGTTTCGGGGCGGAAGCTATTTGCGATGGCATCCCATGGAAGACCAATACTTGACACAGAATCGAACTGTGATGGTATTAAGTTCTCCACAATAGAAGCCAAATTGGATGCAGCCATTGTCTTTACATCGGGTCGACTATCACCCAAAATCACAGACGAATACAAGTCGGCCAATGGTTGTCTGTATCTCTCGTCTTCACCAACTGACTCGTGGAGCTGCTCCAAAATCCAACGAGCAACATCCGCATCGAATTGCGATACTCCGATGAAGAATGCTGGGAGTGGTTCCCACTGTTGGGAAGTAAGCATTTTCAACGTTGTGCACCAAGCAAGCGCTCTTCGAAGAAGGGCAGATGCTCGGCTAGAGCTTGAGAGATTCCATCCCGCCTGAGAAGCATCAAAGACAAATCTCAAAATCCCATCAAGGTCATGAGCCTCGAACATCTCGTTGATGAAAGATGTAACTTGGTCTATTGATTGGTTAGTCCGTGTCGTTTCTTTGCTCAAATAAAGTGTATTTACCTTCGCTCTGTGCTTGGATCGCCCGCTCCATCGTGCCATTGAGAATTTCAACAAGCTCACTTGCCACGGTAGGCGATTTCCCAGCACGGAACAGGAATTCTAATACAGTACGTAATGTCGTGAAAAGTTCATCAAGGTTCGCTGCCAAATCATTAGCCCGGTATTGTTAGAGATTGATTAGTGCACTCACATGTCCAGAAATCATCAGTGGTGAAGGCATATCGACGAAGGGCATATCGCACACACAAAGCAAGACCATGAACATATTTCTCGGTTATTTTTGAGGGAAGAGTAACAAGAGTGCGTAAATCTTCCGGGATATTTTGTCGGGTAAGCAGCGACGCATATACACGGGCTGCATGCTCTCTGACACCCCAAACCGGGCTGCTCAAGTGCCCAATAACCAATCCGCGTAGCATCTCATCAGTAGGATCATCCAAGCTGGGAACTTTGTCACCAACGAGTTCCAGGGCAGGGAACACCCGCTCGGTAATAATTTCAGTGCCCTCGGCTGCTTCACCCTGCGTCGTGGTGAGAAGACCAGAGAGCAGTTCAAGCAAACCAGGGTACTTGGGGAATGTTATCCGAGATCCTGGCTCTGAACCCGAGTTTCCTCCAAAGCCGGGTCCAGCACCGGGAATGACGCGGCACATTTTTGTGAGTAGGGCACGGAAGAGCATCAGTCCTGAATTGCGAAGGGCCCAGATTGGCGACCCTAGGCGTTCAGCGGACAACGTCAGTGCCTTCATTATGAAAGGCTCGGTATGGGGGCCAAGCTTCGCGTTGGTGAAGATATCTTTCAGGCAATTCATTGCATGAACCTGCGGCAGTTCCAAGTACTGTCTCTCTTTGTCATACTCCACAGAAAGGGATGAGATCTCGTGGAGTTCATTAATGGCCTCGTTGAAGAATGGAGTACCGGGATCAGAGCCAACAATTCCTGTCACCAATGCAGGCAAGCCAGCGGAACGACGGGTGAGTTGAGATGCCGAGCCAAAGATGGTTGACTTAGCTTCCTGGTACCAGGTCCTAGGAAGTTCTCGGATTGATGGATCCTTCGAGGAGCTGCATCTTTGACAGCATGTCGCGAATGTCTGTGAGACGTTGGAGAATGCACCTCTATGGCGGAGTTCAGCCAGCTGTGTGAAGCTTACGCCTCCGATGTTTGCAAAATCGCCTAAATTGAGTCCGTCGCTACCGCTTGGTCCATAGCTGGTGTTTACCATAGTAGCATGGAGCAAAAGACTACTCCAGTCAGCGATTGTGCATAGCCAAAGAAAGAATTCAACTTACCTTGCTTCGCGAAGAGATCTCCAGGAGTAAGAAAGGGCATCCTTGGGTCCCACGTTCAGATCCTCGGTGGGCTCATCCGAGTGGCCTTCGGGCGAGTCGATACACAGCAAAGGCTTCGCCTCAATCCATATCTTGTTGCAAATGGCAACAATGCGGTCATGGACAGACCGCCAGGCAGCGGATCCCGACCCGTCAGATACTAGCGAGTGGAAGCTCGGCATAAGGACAATATATCTGCCATTGCAATCAGCATACTATCTCATGTACGGACCAAGATAACATACCTGAGACCGGACGTATATCCATGAAGTGGCGCCTCGCGCATAGTAGAGTTGAAAGGGGTCTTTGAATTGAGTAGACGTTCCTCAAGCTTTTTCAAAATTGTGTCGACTACTGATGCCTTAGTTGTCCACCAATCAGAAACCGGTTGACCGGAGTTAGCTGGCAGGGCTGCGCAGAAGATGATGTGGTATAGGCGAGCAACAGTATCAGCGTGATCAGCTCTACTCGTGTTGCTTGCCAGGCTTTCCGCTCGGGTAATGGCATCTGTCAACCGCATGCCTGCAGCCGACTGCTCGTCTGTCTTATTGTGCAAGCCGTTGAGCAGGATCTCTCGAGGGCACAAATTCAAGATCGAGAGCGATGTTTGTCGAACCTCCTCAAATGGATCCAACAGGAGATCAATCAACAACCGGAGTAGTTGAGCATCGAACACTTCGACGTTTACTTTCCAAATATTTTCGATCTCTGATTTTTGAAGCTTAACCTCTATCCGTGGATCAAGACCGGAGTCCAGCAGGAGCTTCAGGGCTTTGAGAGCCGTGATGTGACGCGGATATGAGGCCGCCAGACGCAAATCATTACCCAGTAACTTAAGGTATGCCTTTAGGAACTCTGTGGTTTCAGTTTCATTTCTGACCTGGCCTTGAGCTGGCTTTGTGGCTTTTTTCTCTGTCTTCAAAGCAACATCTTCATCTTTGACAATACCACCTCTTAGACGAACAAAGAATTTGCGTGTCAGACTCAGAATTTCTCCACGAGTATATGCGTCGGATTCAGCATGCATCGAGGGTAGCCCTCGAAGGATAGCGTTCGTTGCCCGCACCGTAAATGGCTTTACTGTGGAGAATGCCGTGATCAACAGCGAGAGAGCTGCTATACGGATATTGGCGTCGCGGTGCAGAAGGAATTTGCCAATCACGTCGCTCTTCATGACCAACACCTCATTTTCGTTGAGTTTCATTTTGCCAACATTAAAAATATCTGCACATATTAGCAAATTAGTAATAAATCCAGGTTGCCAACGCTACTCACAATCTTCATGAACCAAGTTGACTTTCTTGCCGATCTGCAGAGCGGCGAAAAGAACCATATACTCTTCCTCAGGCGCGTCGGTCATATCACCTTTGAGGAGGCTCTTGACCGGGAGGGTGTCAAGGAATGTCTTAAAGCCATTAGGGTCAATGGTAAACAGAGGTTGCAGGAGCCTATTGGACAGGTCTTCCAAAGTTTCTATATTTTGCAAGACCATGCGTCTCACTGGCATTACCCACATCGCTGACAGTTTTTCCGGAGAGTTGTCAGGCTTCATCTTCTGGATCAAAATTGCTAGTACATTTCCAGCTGGCAAAGCCATGGTTCGGTTGTTGGTTTGAATCAAAAGTCCCAGAACAAAGATCCTTGCTGCTAGTTCATCGGATAGGCTGCCAGATGCAATGTCAAAAGCGGGACCTGATTCACCCAGAGAAAGAGTTTCATGATCGTTGGCGAAGAGAGTTGCCCATTTATTTGTGTTCTTCAAAAGCCACTGGCGAATCAATGGGATAAATTCGCTGGGTAACAGGGCATCCTTTCTAATGAATGTCTCCAAAAACACCAGACACCCCTTCAGTCGGGATTGAGGCTCCCCAAGCACAATGCTAGGAATTAAGGCATCAATAATTGAAGTTTGAAGGGCTGCTCTTGTCGCTCCTTGGTGACTTTTGGCTAAGATAGCAGTGATTGAGGCGAGAAGTTGCTTAACAGGCTTTGGCTTGGCGTCTTCATATCGAGTCAAACAAATATCAAATAATGACAGCCATGCCTCTTGTGAGAATATCAACTCTCGAGTCGCATCACATTGTGACTTTGTGGCAGCATCAATGAAAGCAGATGCCGTATTGCATGCCTCTGCAAAATGAGGTGGCGAGATAGATGCTGTCGATAGCGTCTGAACCAACGACTGCCATACCCGGTTCACCTTTCTTTTGCTCAATATTAGAACAAATCGGTTCTTTTGAATTTGAACATATACTTCACTTACTCAGTGTCTTGGCATGTCAGTGTGAATTTCACCAATGGGCCTTTGGCGATATCTCGGAGAGTTTTCTCCGAGAGCAATTGCACTTTCTGCGCAAGGTCTTCCATTTCCGTTGATATAACACGTTGCACCCGACGTGAATTAACAGTCAGAGCCCCAATTATACAAGCCTCAGTATCTTGGATAACGGTTCGCGCGAAAGGTCTCCCCGACGATTAATTTTTATGCTCCCCGCGATGCCTCAGGCCGTCAAATGATAAAAGTGGGATTCCGTATCGGGTATAGCGCATATCCATCGGCCAAACTCTTCTCCGTTAGATCGCCGGAAGTCACGGGACCGAAGTTTTTGCTGTTCCGATGCCAGTGGAGCTGCGTACACAGGGTCATCACTTCTTTTCCAGTCATCCGCCCCTACCCTTCAAGGTTGTCCTTAGGTTCTTGTAATTTTATCTTCTATCCTCTATCTTTCCATATCTCTCTTCACAATGTCCATCTGGGACTCCCTCAGCGGCCGCAAGCAAACCGGGCCCGATGCCTTCGACCCTTCAACCGCGCAAGATGCCACATCCTTCCTCTCCGAGGTCGCTATTCCCGATCCCTCTCGCCTCCACCCCCTGGCTGGTCTGAACCAGGATGCCCTTGACTACCTCTCCCTCGACGACTCCGCCCTTGACGAACTCCCCGGCTCCCGATCAGTGTTGCCATCCCGTGGATGGTCAGATGACCTTTGTTATGGTGCCGGCACTACCTATCTTGTTGCACTCGCAACTGGAGGCGCATGGGGACTTGCAGAAGGATTGAGAAAGACACCAGCTACGGCAGCACCGAAAATTCGTCTTAACAGTGTACTCAACTCGGTCACCCGTCGCGGTCCGTTCCTCGGAAACTCGGCTGGTGTTGTGGCTATGGTTTACAATGGATTCAACTCCGGCCTCGGATATGTGCGCGGCAAGCACGACGCGTCTAACAGCATCGTCGCCGGCGCACTGAGCGGCATGGTCTTCAAGAGCACACGCGGAATTAAGCCCATGATGATCTCTGGCGGCATTGTGGCTTCCATTGCTGGTGCCTGGGCTGTATGTATATTGTTTTGATGTACTGTGTGACATTTGCTAACTGTGACTCTACAGGTGACGCGAAAGGCCTTCTTCTAAATTGCTAGATTGGCCAGTTTTATCCTACTCCGCTTTTCGGTTATCCGATACTCCATACCCTCCACGCCACCCTTAAACGACATTGGCGGTTGACGATTAGCCGCCTTACTTTGTCTTTTCACCTGCGATGTATTACAACTATTTTTTTATTCCCCCCTGCGGGTCTCTTCACTCCGGCGCTTCAAGCTTCATGTTTCGCATTTATGCGTGGGTTGGGAATGGGATGTGCAACTGGGTTTGTACTTTGTATTTCTTCTGTGTACATAGAAAAGTCTCTTGCATACCTGCGATTCATTGGCTATGGCGCTTGCAAGTGTCTGTCAGTAACGTATCTTAATGCTGCTAGTGACTTCCAATAGACAATTTCTCAAACTTCCTGACCCAGTCTAATAAGTGAAGTTCACATTCATACTGACATTTTAGCTGCGAATTGAAACAATATTGGGTGGGCTTCGAGAGTGGCCCTAATGCCGCAAACGAGCTGTGGGGGTGGTTCTCAGGCTAACAACACATGGACAGCTACCCTAAACATCTGGGCATGCGGTATCTGTCTCACCCCGTTATATCTCTTCTGGCTCCCGATTCTCAGAGTTCATGCCGTCCTACAGTCTATCGCTAACCCAAAAGAATAGACTTGCCACATAGTCTGCCACCAAAAAACCATGCCAACAGCCGACTCGGATGAAAAGGGCACTATCCCAGCCAGATAGTACGCATGGAGTACACAAAAAAGGAGGAATATAGAAGAAACCATGAATTCTTGCTATGCATTTGATCTCTTCACCAACACAGTGGAACTTGGTAGTTTGTCGGGCAACAGAGATGTGGAAAAGTTCCAAAAATTGGGTTGAAGATGAAAACAGAGCTCCAGATGGTCCATGCAGGTAACCCCAGGAAGGACAGTCTGTATCCGCAGAGGTGAGTAGGAGTGTCTGCGGCTGGTAGCCCTGTTACCTCCACCGACATGCTTCGTGCCACAACCTACCCTGAGACTCCACATAGACCAACCAGTCAAAAAATAGGTGAGTACTCAACAGGTAGACCTGGAGTGGTATGAAGAAGAAAGGAAGAAGAGAGAAAGAAGTGGGGTGAGGGGGGAATTTATATCTTCCCAGTGGCTTAAGGCAGGGGAACTGGGGTGAAGATTTTGACCAAAAGGGAAGGCACCTGATTGGAAGGTACATGCACATCATTTGCATTGTCAACCTGATCTTTTGAATCTCATCCCTCAATAAGACCGTCCTCATTCACTTATCATTACTTTCGACTTTCGACATGCTCTGTCCAGTTCAAAAACACCTTGTGAATTTACGCAAATCTATCCCAGTTGTATACCTGATATAACCCATCAGGCACTCTCTGCCCATTCCCACCCAGAAACTATGGCCAAATCCAGCATGTGGGCGAGGTATTCGCCCCATCCGCTTGGAAATAAGAGGAGTAGGATGGTATCTGAATTCTCTTTGTCGCTGCTGTACCTTTGGAAGAAAATCAAACTGTGACGGAGCTCTACGAAAGACCAGGCTATAGATTCTGTCGTTAGGAGCGATACCTACGGCGAATAGGAAGAGCTAACAGGAAAGATTGGACGAGGAAGGGTTTTGATATGAAAGCTTCTAAGTCAAGAGGCACTCCGATATTAATTTTTAACAAGAACAAAATCGTTCGGATAAAGCTTATCAATTAATTCAAACTAATAAAAAGTTAATAAATCCTCCGGGGAAGCTCACTAATGACTATATATCGCATTTTCGTTGTAGACATGCAGTAAATACTAAGCTTTAACCCGACTCCTTCCCCCCACCTCTATAAATACTTCAATGCGAGTGTATTTACTGACATAAGAACAGCAAGCTATATAATATATATTTCGAAAACATTTGCCGGCCAACTTCAGCGCTCATGGTCCGTCTATCAGGAGCCGGCGATTGCCGACGCGCGGTCAACGGGGAATAATTTTGTCGCCCGGGCCAGAGCTTTCGCACCCTTCTTCAGATCCTTGGCAATGCCAGATTTATCGACAACTAAGGCAAAGGCCCGCAAACCACGGACCAAGACTTTCACTGGATGTTGGACTTGTCGAGAGCGTCGAGTGAAGTGCGATGAGGAACACCCTCACTGTCGACGGTGCCAACGGACTGGTTGGACATGCAAAGGGTATGATTTGCGCCTAGGATGGTCTCAAACCCCCGGGAATCGCTCTCATAGGCGTCAATTCCGGCCCCTATCACGAGATGTGAACCATGAGCTGTCATCTGCCGCTGTGACAGCACTGCTGGTTGAGTTGGATGAGTATTCAGGGGACGGCTGTGCCCAACAACGAGGACCATTCTCGGTCTTCTCTGTTTTTTCAAACCCGGAAGTCCACGATCCAGGCCCTTTTGATCTACACAACTTGGAATATGCACCTTCAACCCAAGATTCGGAAGATACACAGCATACCTCGTCGTACTCAATTGACTCACCAGTTGGTGGCAGATATAGCGAGGTGGCTTCACCGAAACCAACGTGGGATGGATTATCATCTACTACCATACCGTCCACATCTGAATCCCATGAGGAATCATGCACGGCATTATTAAATCCTAATTCTCGGATTGGTGAGATCTCTATCAGTGCAATCGCTCATGTCGTTGATCACAACAAAGCCGAAAACAGGCCGCCAGAACCGAGTGACTACGGCACACCTGTATCCAATATTCACAGCAATAGGACTGGGCTGTCCCTCCGGAACTCCATGAGTCCATTGAGTCTCCCAAGACTAGAGATGGAACTAATTCATCACTGGGTTGTTTTTCTCAGCGGAAACATGCTCCTAATCGACACCCCGGACAATCCCTGCCGGACAGTGTTCCTTCCTCTGGCTCTGAAAGGCCTCGATGCCTCTCCAACAGAGTCGAACATCCATCTCTCAATTTTCCACGCTATTTGTGCCTCTTCTGCCTTCGGTCTTTCTCACCTCCGCCATGATTCGCGGTACCACTCCCTCGCCCTCCACCATGACCATCTGGCTCTGCGTCATTTACGAGGAAGCCTGCAGCGGGCTCGCTGCCTAGATGAGCCCACATTAACTGCCGTCCTCACTTGCATCATGGCTGAGGCCATGTCTGGCCGGCGCAGCCGATGGAGAGCACACGTTTCTGGATGCCTTGGTCTTCTGCAAAACGATGTCCATGGCGACTGGGTTCGAAGTCCGACTGCTGCTAGATTACTTCAAAGTTACTTGTCACTTTCGTCACTATGCAGTATTCCCATACCCGAACAGCTCATGTCACTCCTCGATGGCCCCTCCGATTTCCATCACTACCTAGAGCGATCGCATGGAGTCACAACGCCACTGGTCCAATACCTCGCTCAAATCACCACACTTGTTGAAACCCGGACACAGCTGCCCACCGAGGAACTAGACAGACTCGAACTCCAACTTTACTTGAATTTTCCATCCTTGTCCAACCCAGACGCCCCGGGCTCGATCATCGTCCAACATGCTCTGAACTCATTCTACTACGCGACGATTGTATACTTCCGCCGCAGTTTGCGAGGCGCACAGTTGTGCGACGTACAGGATCTGGTTGAGAAAGCAATACACGAGCTTGAATCTGCCGATGCGCTCACGCGTGACAAGGGCGGTTGTTCTTACAACTGGGCAAGTTTTGTGATTGCCGCTGATTGTGAGCGGCGTGATCTGCAAGAGCGCATGTTGACATTCTTTGGCTGGAAAACTCGGCACGGGATCCTGAACATCAATGCACTATGTGAAATCGTTCAAGCTCTGTGGAACCGACGGACAGCGGCTGGACCGCACGTCGATATACAGTGGCAGGATATTGCAAGGGAGGCTGATTTTGACTTCATGCTTGTTTGAATATGGATAGAAACATACAGAAATCAACGTGCTGTGGTTCGTTGTACTGGGGCAACAAGTTTTTCTTCGGGTGAAAACGCTATCACTACCAAAGCCCCATCGCACATATTGACCTCGGGATGTTACACCCGTCTATAAATACTCGGGGGCCCACAGAACAAGCCATGTGGAGCCCGAAGTGGGTACTCGAACCCTTTCCCCACAGAACAGAAGAAGGCTTACCTAGGTACTTTGTAAGTCTGTACTATAAAGTTCCATTACTGCATAAATCTCTACAATCAAAAGTCAGTAGAAAGTTTATTCGCATTAAACCCCGCAAAGTAAGATTCATTAAAATCGTCATTAAGTCATTAAACAAGTTCTCTTCACAGAATGGCCAGTGCATTAGGAGGACTCGCGACAGCACCAGGAAAATTCAGCGGTGACGAAGTAAGCAAGAAAGAATACTGGCCACTAGCCCTACAAGCATGAGCCAGCGCTTTCAGATCCCAAAGCTCCCCAAGCGGAATACCCAACAAACTAAGACACCACTGATGCAACACAAGCTCATGGGTGGGCTGCTCAACACCATCTATGATCGGCGGCATAGCCTCAACAGCGGTGTTGTCGCTAGCAACAGCAGCGAAATGTCGATCCCAGAGCCAGCGCGCCATTTCCTTACTCCCCTCCAGTCCACACATCTTGCCACTGCTCATCGCAATGCCCTGCTCGGCGCCAGTCATTTGACCCAGCGTCTCTGTTACGCCGAATCGGATAAGCAGGATATCTCCTGCTCGGAAGGTCAGTCCCTGCCAGGCAGCTACTGCTTCTAGCTCGGTGGTCCCGATGCGGAAGCTGGAGAATTGGTCGTAGTTTATACCGTGCCTCTGCGCGTAACTTTTGAAATCAATTAGTACGCCTCGGCCTGTCACACAGCCGCGTTGGTGCCAGTCTGGTTTTCTCCGTTAGCCTTTTTCAGTGCTGGGTTTGAGACTTATTGGAATTTACTTACGGTCTAGTGTTGGGAGATGCTGGGCAGTTTTGGGGGTTTGAAACGCATCGATTGTTGGTTTCACTCCGTTGTAGGCGAGGCCGGTTGGGAGGTGCATGAAGTGAGCTGTGTTGCGAGTCAGTTTTTTATTCTACTGTCTAGAGTTCGTGGGCGCACAGAAACTGTCCCATTGACTACTGGCTTGGGTATTGAACTCGAGCTGGAATTAATTAGCTATGACGAGATAAAGAGCGACCAGGCAACGCAATACCTCATCGTCAAACCCATAGGGGCTGCCAGATGCTGGGTCTTCCAATTTCATGACATTGTGACATATGCTTTTTCGAAAGAACCCTGGGATTTTGATGCTTCCAATTGGCCAACTAGATGTATTAGGGGTAATGTTCTGGAGATAGTGGGGGCATTTTACTTTAGAGAAATAGACACGCCTTGGCGAACCTCTGCGACAGCATCCTTGACGACTTCTGGGGTGAGTAGATTCAGCGTGCCCAGGAGATCTTTCTTGTCGTCTTTGTCGAATATCCCCCATGCACAGCCTTGGGGCATCCCCTTGACAGGGGGAAGGTCATCGAAGCTCGGAAGAGATGTCATAGTATACAAGGTAATATTTGATCTGATTCGGCTGGTTTATAGAGGACAGAGGCCCCGGATCGGGAAACCGTGTGCCAAAATGGACTGTTAACTTCCCGTACCTAAGTGGCCTTTGTAGGAAAGAGATGAAACAATATCTCGATTGTTCTGATTATAGCAGTCAGATCCGCGTGGGTTTGGTCTTGTTTTTAATTTCCCGACCTTCGGCGTTCGGTGTCAGCGTCCCACACGAGAGATTGAATGCAACACTTGCTTCTATAGTCATCTTCTCGTGTTCTAAAGTATGGATTCGAGGTAACAAATGAGGCTGCTCCTGCTGGACTACAGGTAGCGCAGGTCCCAAAGCCAGCCTTACACGATGCGACAAGGCGCGCCCAGCTGGTAGAGATGACGACCGAGATATTTAATCTGTCAAAGGATGTGGATCGCCACATTTGCCAGCTCGCGCACGAGATGGACACAACCTGCGGGAGGATAATTTGGAATCAGATACTGCGAGAATAGGCTCCCAATCGACGTATGTATGAGGTCTGCCTGCGGTGAGTGATTTAAGCTGTATCCATCCACTATCTGCAGACATCCAACTTGGAGAAGCATTATGTGCACAAATGAACAACCAGTTCGCAGATAGGCAAATAAGAAAGGTGGTCCAAAAGCCAACACTTCCGCTTAATAACGCCTATTAGTAATAATTCAAATCTCATCATTTTTTGTTCGAAAGTCAGGATTCACCATATAAAGCCCCGCCACGGTCGGGTCCTGGATGCCGATCCCTTCCCAGCCACTTTATTCAGCCAGCAAATGGATACGGTGCTGGGTTGCACGATACAGCGCTGATCAACGAGTTATTATCTATCCTGTACTCCGTACTCCGTAGTTGACCTTGACCTCGACGTTGGAAAGGGTACGGAGTATAGGGTTTTCCAACCCCAATACCCTAAAAAAAATACCCCCGCCAACCTTGGAACTCGCCATACAACCCCTCCAATTAATGAACGTATGCACATAGTGCCCCTTACCATTCGACGCCTCTCCCGCAGTAGCCGCAAAGATAGCATGAGCGACATTATGCGGCTGATTTATCCGGAGAATGGGTTATAACGGGATGGACCGGGGCCATATCAACTCTCAGGAATGGAGAATGAGTTGGTTTACGAGTCATAATGTGATGACATCCGGAGTACATCGTACATCGTACTGGATAACGAACTGAGTGTCGTCATACGGTCAGCCATGCCAAGGCGGAGGATGCTTCGGTTTTGGATTCGGGAGGCAACGGCGATAGCTAAAATTAGTTATACCAGTGGCGCACAGGACGCGTTTGACCCCTACATGACTGCAGGTAAAATGGTTTTGGGCCTCGCCAACATATTGTTCCCGAAGGCCGAGAGTAAGGGTTGGTCATTGAGGTATGAAGGAAACGAGAATGAAGTGTACAGCCTACTATGTAGAGAGCGTAGAAATGACCTTGAGTCCAGATACCTAGGTACTAACTATGAGGCATAATTACTAGTGAACTTAGTTATGTATATATACCTGAGCCCTGAGGCCCCAGAAAAAAGCAGATGATAGGCATACCACCTTCCCCATTTGGAACTACACTCGGAGCAAACATCTTCGGGCGTCACAGTATTGACACAGTATTCAAAGACGAATGTGATTATCGAGTCTTATAAGTTATATCACTTTAAATTGTATAGTATATATGAATATTAAATAATAGAAACCAACATCTTCCATTCCCATATCTCCATAACACTCACTATATTAAAATTGTATAAACTCAAGTAAACCTGCGGGGAACACATGGGAAGCTAAACTAGATTAGGATCGTCAGCTGACTAGCGCCTCCGATGAATCCTGGCCAGGTCATTTTTCGGTTCTTGTTTTTTTTTTTTTTTTTTCATTTTCGCCGCATCGCCCAGCCATGGCGCTTTTCCTTCCTTTCTAATTGTATTTACTCGTTTCCCCCCTTTTCTTCTTTCTTTTAGAATCTATCTTGCATGCGGTTTTGAGCTTCCGCTATACCTAGAGAGCCGTGACCCTTAACGGGTCTTCCCACGCTAAGGCCATTTGGGCCTGGATGCTTAGCCGGGGGGTTCCCAAGTCTTATCTTTGCCCGTTTTATATCTTGTGACTCCCACCCCCCACACCCCGGAGGGTAGAACTCAACGCTCCCGGCCTTCCGTTTGCGGCCGAGTCATCTTCCCAACACCCTTTCGATTACAAATGGAACACAAGTCCGGTCTATCGACCATGTCAACAATTTTTCAAGATGCAAGCGACAATGAACATACAAAGAAAGAGGAAATGGATGGTCTTCTTTCGGTAGACGACCTCGCACCTTCCATACTTAATCCTGAGTCGCCACTGCCATCTCTACAGATTCGCACCGATCTACCTAGTATTCGTCCGTCCAGTTCGCGAGACTCCGATCCTTATGCTTCGGCCAGTTTATCCGGAAGTTATTCACGCCGTACCCCGAGTCTTCGCGCCCTCATCGCTCCACCTATATACAGCGCGGGTTCTTTGTCCCCGGCATCTTTCATGTCCTCGCCTCAATTGAATGCGATGGGTGACATAACTCCACTACCGTCGCCAATTGGAGGAGCCTCACCGTGGCGGAAATCCGATCTGCCGTCATTGTCTCGTTCTTCGTCGATGGCGTCGCGTAACGGTTCCAGCCTTCGCCTGAGTGATTCATCACAGATGCTTGGGCCACCCGTCATGCCCCGTTCACGCGCCAAACCATACACTGGCATTGATGGCCAAGGGGAAGAGTCATCCGGGAACAATTGGCATCATCGCGACTCGTCCTCAAAACATTCTCATTCTCGGAACCGCAGTCTGAGTGACTATGCGCCACCCGGCCGTATCTCCGTTCCTCCCCGCCCGATTGCAGTGTCAGGGAATAACGGGCTTGGCATCGCCTCATCATCAAGCATAGATTCAAAGTCCAATGGGCTCCATCGCGAGCAATATCTCGCTGTTCACCGAGGTATCGCGTTGCCGACCGTTCGTCCTCCCAGCCCGCCTCGCAGCAGTGGGAGTGGCTATAGTGACAGTGAACCCGTCATCCATCATCCTGCCCCTCTCTCCACGCCCCAGGAGATATATTCTGTCCGGTCGGTCCGTACAGAGCAGGCCCGTATCTACCAGAAAGTTCGGGTATTGGGTCAGGGCACGTTCAGCCAGGTCAGTCTGGCAGCACGTGTGGAACCTATCCCTGAGATGCCTTTGTCGCCGGATGGTGATGGAGCTGGCACATTCCACGGATTTGTCAACAACCAAAAGCTGGTTGCCGTCAAAATTATCGAACATGGACCTGCTGGAGGCGCGGATGAGGGCCGACTGGAGGTCTCACTCAAGCGTGAGGTAGAAATCTTGAAGTCGGTCAACCATCCGTCCCTTGTTCAACTGAAAGCATTCGGCAGCGATGAAAAGCGTGCTTTGTTGGTTTTGGACTATTGTCCTGGTGGTGATTTGTTCGAGTTTGCCACGTCGGGAGCTCCTCGCATGTCCGCGGGTCTGATCCGACGTATCTTTGCCGAATTGGTTGATGCTGTGCGTTATCTGCATGCTCATTACATCGTTCACCGGGACATCAAGTTAGAAAGTTAGTCAGCGTTTGTCAAAATACTGCACATCTTATACTGACCATGTTTCTAGATGTTCTGCTTACCATGCCCGCTCATGTTATGGACGACGTGCAAGACTGGCGTACCTACGACCGAGCCGTGATCACTCTCAGCGATCTCGGTCTATCGCGACGTATCCCTGAACCGCCCGAGAGCCCACTCCTACAAACCCGATGTGGCAGCGAAGACTACGCAGCCCCCGAGATTTTGATGGGTCAGGCTTACGATGGCCGTGCCACTGACGCTTGGGCGCTCGGTGTTCTGCTCTATGCCATCATGGAGAATCGGTTACCCTTCGATGTTCTGCCTGGCACTCGCGGAGATCCTGCCAAACTTCGTGCCCGGACTCCTCATCGTATCGCACGTGTTGAATGGGCTTGGTATAGGTATGCCGACGAGGAGGAGGAATGGGATCCCGAGAAGGGCAAGGGACTCGAAGGGGCCCGTGACTGTGTGGAAGGTCTTCTCAAGCGCAACACGAAGCGCAAGACCCTTGATGACATTGCTGCTATTGAGTGGGTGCGTGATGCTATCGATGTGCCTGGTGGTCTGAAACGAGGCGACAAAGAAGTGCCATAGAGCCGGTCTCCCATGTGCCTTGTTGTCCCGTATATTGTCATTCTTTTTTTTTCTCATCTTCTTTTTTCACCTGTCCGACGTTCATTCTCTTCCCCTCTTTCTTTCTTTCTTTCTCCCTTTCTCTCTTTCTCTCTCTCTCTCTTTCTCCCTTTATTGACTCACATACCTTTTCTCTTATTTGTTTTTTTATTCATTCTTATTATTCACGAGACACGATGACTAAATGGGTCATTATGTGGATTGAATGTTATGTTTTTATGGCTAGACCGGTTTTTATACCCTTTTTTTACATACAAATACCTCCAGGAGATAAGACACGGAAATACAAGACACATTTTCCCTCTGATCCTTACTGCAGACATTCCGGCTTGCGATGGTCACGATGTCGCGACTCGTGACCGAGTTAGTTCACGACTATCATCTTCCAAAGTTAATGCAACATATAGGCCACACAGCTACAGCTGGAAAGACAGTCACTTCCTCTAATACTTACTTCGAGTGGCATGAATATCGAAGCTCTGTGACCTATCTGGGAAACAATACTTCCGTTGCTTGTTATGTCTTTCGACCTTTAACCAACCTTGTTCTTGCGTGTGACTAATGACTATGGCAATCAAATGGACTCGCATATAATGCCCGGGCGATTCAATATTAGACAAGCCGGAGCTATGGTTCCGATTCAGTCATTAACAAAGGGACTACTCCGTACCTAGGTAGGTACGGAGTACGGAGTAGTCAGCAACTTGATGTTCGACATGTCGAGAATATAGCCTCGAACAAAAGTACTAACAATGCGACTAAACCCAATATGAAAGCAAATTAGGAAGCCGCCTTTATTTCAGCGTAGAGGGTTATATAGTTCAGAATTATTGGTCTCTCATTGTTTTGTGTCTTATCTCTAAATTTTATACTTTTTATACTTTAGTCTATACATTTTGTATTATTCGACATGTCCAAATCTCGTGATTTCAAAAAATCAACAAAATGATATGTTCTCAGCTGAAAACCAAGCTTTGTTGACATGTGACCAATCGCAGTTGTCGTAGAGGCGCCCGGGATGGGGCTGTGCTCGTGCTCGGACTCCAGCCTATCGACGGTCAGCGGAGCCGAAGTCGATGGAGAATCCGCGTGATGGGAGTGGTTACTAGGCATGTTTAGCGTGAAGAGCCTGCATAACTCCTGCATCGTTGCCTTTTCTTTTTGTCTTACATCCATGTACGATGCACAAGGGCTGGGGCTGGGGCTCTTGAACTCTCGAGTATGAGATAACCGGATTGAATTTAGGCCACGCGTTCAACACACTGAGTTGGGATATACACCATGGCCTTTGGGCGTTCAAGTCACTCAAAGAGACCGTCATCTCCAGAGCCCCCACCAAAACCACCACGTCCGAACCAGCGAGAGGCTGTAATAAGGGTACCGCAGAACTATGTTCCTCCGTATGGCTCCCCAGCGGGGGCGTATTCAGTCAACACATTCCATACAGCTACAGTCCCATATAATCAAAACATGGCAATGTCGATGGTTCATCTACAACCTCAGCCAGCACCACAACCACTCTATTTCGCAGGAACTGCTCTAAACAGTCCCCCAAGGAACCCTCAACCACCGAAACCTTCAAAATGGACATCATATACGAATCTGAACCAATCAATGACCACCTTGGTATCGCATACAGTTGAAAAAACAAATGCCACCATTCTTGATCTCGAGCATCTGGTCCACCAGAGCTTAGGTGGTGGTACAAACGTCAAGGAGGCCACATCGCGGTTATTAGACCAAGTTATCACCTCGATCGACCTGGGGTCGTTTTGCGGGAGAGAAAACGAACTGAGTAAGTGGTATAGTTATGATCATAAATGGAAATAAACTCATTGGTGACAATAGTTGCTGCATGTACAATTCCTTCCCAGTCAGACAAGAAGAAAGATCGCCGATCACAGCGAAAAGGGAAAAAGCCAACAGGGTCTATCGATTACTTCTCCAAGGTGTATCTGTATGCCAATTCACGATTACCACCTCATTTATTACCACTGAAATTGTAAGGCCCTCCATACCCAGATACTCTTTAGCCCAACTTGCTGATCTCGCATGAAGCTATCTTCCAACATATCCTCTCCTCCAACTCGCAGCCAAGTACTCGCGCCGCGTCTACGACAAACCCTCAGGCCGTGAACGGCATTCTTACGTGGACTCGGATTGGCTACAAGGTACCAAAGCTATGGTGGTCAAGTCACTACCAATCGACGACATGAACACAATCGTCTTCGCCATACGTGGTACGCAGAGTTTCCTGGACTGGGCAGTGAACGTGCGGGCAGCACCAACCTCTCCCATGGGATTTCTAGACGATCCATCCAATCACTGTCACTCGGGGTTCTTATCCGTAGCCCGAAAAATGGTTGCCCCCGTTGCAGCCCGGCTACGTAGTCTTCTCGAAGAAGATCCCACTCGCATGTCCTACTCGCTAGTCTTCACTGGTCACTCCGCAGGCGGTGCAGTCGCCAGCTTACTATACCTACATCTCCTATCCGAGTCTCCAGTCGTGCAATCCGAACTCATTCATCTCCGCGGCTGCTTTAAACACATCCACTGTGTTACATTCGGTGCTCCGCCCCTTTCTCTTCGTCCATTACAACCCTCTCCCACTGCTCGAGGATCAAAGTCGATGTTCTTCGCTTTTATCAACGAAGGTGACCCGGTCTCCCGTGCCGACAAAAGCTACTTTCTCTCGTTGCTAGATCTGTATGTTTCGCCTGCTCCGGGGTCACTACTAGCTTTGCACGACAGGAAAAAGAAATCCGCGCCTATCTATTGGAGAACCCCCTCATCTGATCTGTCACTCGCTGGCCGGCTTGTTCTTCTTCGTCCGGAAGATCAACCGAGTGGCCGCCCTGTGTTTGTAGCGCCTCCGGTCCCCGGTGGACCCCCTGCACTGCCACCAAGGGAAAATGTCGATGCCTGTGGAATTACAGACACTGAGCTCCGAGGTGTGGTCTTTGGTGACCCTGTCATGCATTTTATGGACTTGTATTCCCGTCGCATCGATGCCTTGGCTAGAGGGGCCTTGAGCAGGCGATCATGATGTATCACAATCTGCATCGTGGCTTAACGTACGGAGTTTTTGTGCTTATTAGCAAGCTGTTGAAATACCCAATACCCATTTGCTGTTTTGATATTGGCGGCAGATCTGTTCATTAGCTGTATCATTGACAATTACTACCTTTTGAGACAATACTCTGTGTATGCCTTTGTTAATTGAGTGTCTTAGTAACAACAGAAACAGCTCAAAGCGACACATTAAAGAAACAAAGAAAAGAACAAAAGACCTATGAATATATATAGTCTCCAGTTTTGACTTCTGATTTCTTAAATATATAACCATCCATTAAGTTCTTTTACATATATCCCAAGATCATAAGCCCGAACCCGAAGGAACAGAAATCACAAGTACATTAAACTGTACCTGTATTCTTTCCATTGACTTAAGCTATAGACAACACCCTCAAAATGTGCGTACAGACATATCACATGTGGATGATGTGCAACTGCATCCGCTTCGGACGAATTGAACGTTGTGAAGAGTTCGGCGTGCCATTTTCCCAACGAGAGCGCTGTACAGGACGTGTTTTACGAGCTCTAAATATTGGCATCATTGGAATTCCTGAAGACCGGCTTCATCAAAAGGCGGGAATGTGCTCGGGGTGCTCGGAGAAGTTGCATCGAGAGATGTGGGCGCTTCGTTGGGAATGGACGTCTCGTCAGAGTGAAGAGTGGGCGGCGAAGCAGGAGAGCGAGAATGAATAGAGATACAAATACGAAGAATTGAAAGGTAAGATATTGTCTTGTTGATTTAGTCAAAGTTTGATTACTATGCTTCTAAACGATTTTACAAAATGTGTTGATATGACTGCTCAACGTAGTTCTGAATGTAGAAGATCCGGTGGTTTATCACAAAGGCTCCTTCTTGGCAGGAGATGGGCTCTGTGGATTCCGAAACACGTTGTTTGGATCAACTTGCTCTTTGATCTGCTGCAGCCGGGGGAGATTGGTGCCCCAGTATGCCTCGGCGGCGTTGGGCATAAGAGGATCAACATAACCTGGGTAGGCAGTGTAGGGAAGGGCGACATCGGTGACAATCTTATTAAGCCCATCGAGGAAGTTGATCTGGGACTGGGAGATGTGTCCCATGAAATTGAGTGTGTAGGACTGTAGCCAGATGAGCACATCACGATGTGCGTAAGATGTAGCGTTAGTTGGGATGTCGTTGGTGTAACCTCCCTGGAAATCGAACAACAGGAACCAGCCCAGAGTGCCCTTGTCGACGGTACCAATATAGTCAAACATTTTTACGATAGTCTCCGGGGCCATCAGAGTCTGGGGTGTCCAAGAAGTAGACTTTGTGTAGAAATTTGTTGGGATTCCAGCTGCCAACCCCAGAATAAGGTCTTGTGCCCAGTGGGCGACGAGACCTAGCCAGTTATCAAAAACCAATGCACTTCCATTTGCACCGGGGAACTTGCTGCCAAGGTTTAACTTATCATACTCCTCCTTGGTGCCGAAGAAGGTGCCGCTAATTACCATACTACCCTCAAGCACAGTGAGGGTGGATGCCATCTTGCGAGTCAACTTCGGATCTGACACAAAGGCCTGCCAGCTCTTGAAAAGGGCTGCCTGATTCTTGGAGTTTCCAATCTCCATGCTGTATGCATACTGCACCGCAGTACCAGGCTCAGGCTCGGTTCGGACCTTGAACTCTGTAACGATACCGTAGCCGGAGGCAGCACCTTTGATAGCCCAAAAGAGGTCTTGGTTTTCCGTATCAGAAGCTCTGACAATGCTCGAGTTTGCAAGAACCACCTCAGCCTCGAGTACATGGTCAAGTGCGGCACCAAATTGACGCGAAGTTGGACCAAGACCACCAATTGTGAAATGTCCCCCTGAACCGACTTGAGGACAAATCCCGTGAGACATAGCCCGTCCGCCAGCGTGATACAGCCGCTGTGTCACGTCACTCAACAAACTTCCCGCTCCAATTGTCGCTTGCCAAGTCGTGTTGTCCATGGAGAATTGTTGGAGATGCTTCAAGTCAATCGCAACGGCACCGTCCGTTCCTCCAAGGCCTGTCATATATCGCATGTTAGTCTAGTCCTCAGGTCAAATTCCTCTGCGCTAGGATAATTTCAGAATCTCACCGTAATTTCCATAGCTGTGTCCTCCACTTTTGGCCTGAACTGGATATCCGTTCTCCGAAGCACACTTGACTACTGCAGCCACCTGCTGAGAAGAACTGTGGTGTATGAGCAAGAGACATAATGAATCATCCTCGTCAAGGACACTCACGTGGGAAAGGCCACTGCTGCTGGAGTAACGGGAATGTTCAAGTTGTAGCGATTCACAATGTGGTCATAGAACAGATCTCCAGCAAAAGCAAAACTTCCTCGGTTTGTCAAAGCATTCTCGAAGCATGACTTCAATGCCTCATTGGGACCAGCAAGAGCCATCGATGTGGCCCCCACTGCCAAAAGAAGTAGCCAGAGAAGCATGGTTGGTCTCGGCAAAGTGTGACCTCGGTCAGGTCTACGATGTGGAAGATAGATCGGGAAAGGAAGAGAGGAAGGAGCTGAAAAAGAGAGATGTGTAAGAGAGAGAGAGAGAGAGATGTAAATGAGGGGACCACGTCATGTAGTCCAAACAGAATACATTCAAACGAGAGGACTATCAGATATGACTGAGTGATTTAGTTTGAAGTGTCGAAGCAATTTCGTTTGCTCATCTCATAAACTGAGCGGGTGATATTGGGATGTCTTGAGGCTTGACTGATCTACAAATCGAAGGAGAAATACACAATATTCGTTAGTTGTTAGGTCAATCATAAACTACGAACTGTTCCTAATTCCAATCAGCACCACTATTGATGACTTTGAAGTACGTTAAGTTGGTTAGTTCTCGGCATGGACATCGTGCAATGATGAAGACACACCCTTCTCATACTGCAAAGCCCCCCTACGATATACAATGATCCGTACCTCTATACAAACCAAGCCCCAGGCCCCGAGTCAAATATTGATCCTCGTCAAGCAAGATCCACCCTCTACCATTAATTCTGTCCCTAGCAAACCAGATTCGACTTGCGGACTGCATATGCAAGCCATGTACCAGCAATATTGGCGGGAATAGAGCCCACACAATGAGTTTGGGTTGAATATCTAAAATATACTGAAAGAAATACTATCTATTTACTAAGATCACCATGTCCGACGACTCTGACTCCACGCTCGGGAAAACTCCTGCTTCTCTTTCACCCCCAAGCCAACTCGCTTGACCCGACCCAGACGGGCAAGCGATTCTCCCACATTATCCAGCAGCGCCTTCTCGCTGGGTGAGACCTGTTCTTCTTGGCCATTTTGGTCCAATGCATCCAGGTAATTCGTGTTGAATGTCGACTTGGGAGTTGCGTCAATGGCATTGTGGCTATTTGTAACAGACTCCGCGATGCGCACTCTGATGCAGTGGGTCGGCTTGCTAAGCAGCGTCCACAGCAGGCTCATATAACTCCCGGGGAGCGGGGTCACGATATCCATAGGCGTATAGCGCAGACTGACGGGGAAGATCTTGGTCTTGGGTGGTACGCCGAGAAGGGAGTTGCCCAGGGTCAAGATGCCGCGACCGTTAGTCGTGGTACACTCTGGGAACAATACAATCGGCCTGTTGGGGTACTGCTCGACCAAGGTTGAGACATCCACCATCCGGGCACCGGGAGCCGGCTGCGTAGCGGGGAAAGCGAAGGCGCGCAGGATGGCCTGGAACAGAGAGATGCGCTCGACTTGGCGAGTGTTCGGGTAGGACGCTGTGAAGATCGGGTCGAAGATAGCTGCCAGGTACACGGCATCAATGGGTGATGTGAAGGACGAGGCTATGACCGAGCCGGGTTGTGGCAGACGTGCTTGCTGCTGCTTCAAAGATCTATATCGGGATTGTTAGTTATGAATGAAAACAGGCTATAGTTCCAATAGTTCAGAACGAACCCTTTTCGCACCCCATCCACTTGAAGATCAATCCACCAGATGCTTGCAAATCCAAGGATACACCATAGAGCAGCCTTTTTCCCCAGCGATCCGATAGGAAGCCATTGTAAGATCAAAAAATAGCTAAGAGTGATGAAAATGAAGAGCGGGAGGCGGAAGCAGAAGAGGAGAATACGTAGGGGTGTTTGGAGGCCGAGCGCTTCAACAGGGATTGGGAGGAATGGCGCAATGCCCGAGCCTGGGATATGTCAGTACCCTTGTACTTGGAGGGGCTGTTGTCACAGCGGAAACTCACCTCGATCCCGGAACTGAGAGTATCTCTCCATCGTGTTATGACAGCTTTAAGCGGAATGAGCTGTGGTACGGGCTCAATCTTCAACACGCCATGTGCTAAGGAAGTTTTTATTTGGGAATGTGCTGGCAGCACAAGTTGCGACTCGAACTCGGGGTTAATTCTGACAGTGAAATTGGGTTGACCAGCTGGTGATCTTCACATGCGAAAAGAGCTGCCACGTGATATATGCCTGAGGCACCAAGGCATATCTCCGAGGGGTATAAGAGTTCCCGGGTTGCAGGCGAGCGAGGTATACATCGATGGACCTCCGGATATTAAATTCTGTGCCATTTGTTTGATCGGGTTCAAACATAGAAATATATATAATAAGAGATAACGAAAGAAAAAGAAACGCTCTAAGTGCGCACAGAAGCTATGAGTAGTATACAAAATCTATAAGATCACGCCCTGTCATCTCCATCATAATCCTCCACCACAAAGTCTGATGTGGGAGGACTTGGAGGCAGGTTGAAAGACCATATGGCCACTCCAACTAAACAGAAGAGTGTACTGGTCATCATCCACGCGAGACCAATCCAGAACCCACCGAGACGCAGTCCAATCTGGAAGACAGTGGTGATGGATAAACTTGCAACCACATTTCCCAATGACTGTATAATTTCAATCGCAGTAAACAAGCGAGCAGTCTCGTCACGCTCAACCAAGGTGGTAATGATGGAGCGGGCAAGGAAAACGAAGCCCGATCCTGAAGTCTGGACGATCATACTGGGGATCAGGGTTGCAATGGTTGGCGAGAGGCCGATTCCGAGAGTTCCAACAGTAAGACAGAATATACTGCGCCGCGCGAGCCAAAGATCTTTTTCTGTCGATGAAAGTCGGGGGTTTAGGACTCGGCTCTTGAGGAAAGGTAGGCCGAAGAGGAACAGCGGGATTGACACAGTCGGGCGAGCAGATACCAGGAAGTTGGACTGTGCCAGTGTCCATGAATAACGTGTCGATATATATTGGGTCAAAAACCAGGAGGAGCCTCGGCTCAGGCGGTAGACCAGAAACGCAGTCAGAAGAAGGAGCACTGGTTTTCGGTTGAGGATGAAGCGATAGGGCCTTAGGTAAAAGCGGTAATTTGCGCGGAACTTTGCCAAGATAGATTGGTGGGAGTATGATTGGATACTCCAGGACGGCGGTTCGTTCTCATGATCACCATTCATGTCAGGTTCTGTACGATATGGTTCGGGTTCATTGAGGTTATGTAAAGAATGCTTTCGTTCGGGGTCATCTGTCAGATCTGACAGCTCGACATGAGTGGGTTCAGCTTTCCGGGGTGGCAGTGCATGCTTCGTTTCCGGTAGCGCCAAAATGAGCATCATGCCAGCCATTACAATTGCGAATCCAATCACCAATGGTATCCAGGGATCCAAAGTCATCAGATAAGAACTAAGAGCACTTGAAGCGAAGTCAGCGCCCATCGAGACGATAGCAAATTGAAAGAAGATGCCCGCTCTGTGCCACTCGATTAGCATATATAAAACTCATGCCCGAATTAGAGTAGCATACCTTTCGGCCTCGCTGGTTACATCGGCCATCATAGTCCAGATAATCGCAAACGACACAACTGGACCACCCCCAAACACCCATGTCAAGGCAGTAAACCAAAGCGCACGTAGGGGAAATATATCCGAGAACCATAATATAGTAATTGTAAGGATGGAATTCAACGCAAAACCGGGAAGAGACAAAGCGAGTGTAGATTTGCGCCCACGACGGTCTGCCAGCAGACCATAGGGAATCGCCAAAAGAGCGCCTGTAAAACAATCAGATAATGGTCTAGTCATGGACATTTCAAAGCAACCTACTCAGCGATCCATCAAAGAACATATGGTAACCCTTGACAGCCGCCAGTTCAGCCTGCACCTCGCCGATCTTACACATGGCCTCCGGCACTTGTCCGTCTGCACCAATCTTAGTCGGATCCACACCCAGGAAATACTGGCGACAAGCGATAGATTCCATTATCCGGACCATGGGACCCTCCAGGAAAGCGAAGCCGATTTCAACTGCGAGGACCATGGCGAATAGGGTCGCCTTGAGGCGAAAACTAATGGCGCTGGCGGAAGCATTGGCCTCCACTGGGCGGCTGCCTATACTGGGTTTGCCATGAATATGACGATGGGCTGGGCCGGGGTTGCTCGGATCGGGGGAGTCGAGGAACGGGGCATCCTCGCGGTCCTCGCGGTCGAGAGACTCATGACGTATCGAGGCCATCTTGGCCAGTCATACCGTCAAGTGAGGGTATATATAAAAGAAGGTAGTCAAATCGAAATTGTATAAATGAGGGGCAGTATCAGATCATAGTCAAAATTGAGTTAGAAAAGAGTGTGAGAAATGCTGTCTTACGTGTCTGGAGGACAAGTTGCCAATCGTCGCAAGCCAATCCGGCACGATGTCTTGGCAATTGTTAGTCTATCGTCCAGGGGTTAGTGGCTAACTAGTGGGTGTCCACTTGTACTATTCTTATCCATTACTTTGCTTATCAAAATCTTAGTTCGTTTTTGATAGATTGTTCAGAAACAAAAAGTATACAATATACTAATTACTGATACTAGGTATACCCCTTTATATGCAAAAAAAAACACCCCCTTTGTTAATTATAGTCATATCCTGCCTCTTCAAATAAGCTTCCCCGAACTTGTACTACTGCGGACAGCTCTAGAAGGAATTCATAAAGAATCACCACATTCGTCAGTACATGACCAAGAGTTGCGACTGGGGTATCCTTGATATCTTCTGAGCCCGCGGCTCCATCTTCGGATGGAGACTGTAGATCCGCGGGTGCAGGCGGAAACGGCGTGGTAAGGCGCTGACGAAGAGCCTCAGCGGCCACGGCTCGGGCGTTCGAGGATCCGCGCGAGTTAGGAGGAACAGAGGATCCATCCTGATCTCGACTAGAAAACATAGGCGGCGAATTGACCGAGTACGGAGATCGACCACGGGAAGCTAGGGTAGAGGCATCCGGTGAACCCGGGTGTGACAGACGCGAGCGATTCGTTGAGGATGCTGGATGCTCCGAAGGCTCTCGTGATCGGTCCGGCGTCTGTGGGCGATCATCCTGGTGCAAGAGTTCCCGTCGGGCAGCCACCAGTACATCGAAATCGGGAAGTTCACGTTGCCATTGTCGGACCTGGTTCACGAGTTGTTGGAGCGCCAATGTCAATGTCGGAGCAGC